AGGGAACCCTAAAGAGATATTACCTCTTTACCGGCTACTTCGTCGCCGATGGTAAGGAAGCTAGCTTTAATATCGAACTTAACTATAACGTCCTATAGCTAGGGGATACCTAGTAATAAGAGGGTATCGTTATTCGTAGATTCGGGTCGTATAATAGCCTATACCGATCTCTAAATGCCTTATATTCCTACATTAAATAAAACGAATTCCGTTACCTTTAAACGACGACCGTCTAAGGTTAGTAAGAATAGGCGTCTAGTACCTAGGTAGCGTAAAAGCCGTCGCTTAATACGAAGCTAATTTATTAGCTTGCCGGATATAAGGTTAATATTACTTCCTTGGTTAGCTTAAGTAGTATTTTCGGGTAAAGAGTAAGACATAAGCGATTCTTTATCTTATCTAAAGCGAAGAACGGCATTTATATAAAAGGATCTAACCGGCTTTAATAGGAATAGGTTAGTTAGGACTAAGGCGGCCCTTAAAGCTAGGGTAGCGCCGTTTATATTTATCTAAACGTTATTAGGGTAAGTATCGTAAGGAACGACATCTAATACCTAGGGTTTTATATTTTCTTAAGAACGGGGTAGGTATTTAGGTATGTTACTTATCTTAATAGGTTCATCCTCTTTCTTTACCGCTAGTTCGGCTATTAGTTTAACGAAGTATATAGACTTTCCTTTCTTCGGGGGTAGAGGATTAAGTAGGATATAGGGACGAGGCTAAAATAAGGTTAAAAGTTTAAGGGCTACGATTTTACGAGCGGCTCGGGCTTTAGCTTTAGCGTTTTTACGAGTAGAGAAATACCTAAACTACCGAGTATATTCGGGTAATACCTAAAATAGGTTTATTAAGCTTAACTTTACCTCGATCTAGCGAGTTAATATATTAAAGTTAAAGGAAGGATCCCTTTCTTTTCCGTAAATAGTCTAAAGGCTCTTACGAGACCTCTTCTTCTTTTTAATCTTGCTATCGTTTTCTCTTACGATGGTACCGTTATACCGGCGTTTACCTAGAAAGGAGGCAAGCTCTAATATCTCGGTAGCTAAGTCGTCCTAAACGTTAACGTTAGCCGTCTTTAACTCTATTATACCTATTAGCTTAACTATAAGAAGTAATAATTAAGTATTTAGAAAGGCAGTACCTAGTAAGATAATATCCGGAGTAGCTAAGGTAGTCGTCGAATATATCTCTTCGGCTACCTATTTATACTTAATCGCGTCTTAATTTAATACCTTCTATTCTTAAGATTACTCGTAAAAGAACTATGCCGATTTTACGTCGAGATTCCTACCTATTTTAATTACCTACTTTAAGGTAGGATAAGTTAACGACTTAAGAACTAACTATTCCTAGTAGGCTAGTTATTATTCCCGGGGAGCCTTATAAGGTTATACGTAATTAAGACTTCTATACTTAAAGTATACTCTTTCTCCTCGTTATAAGACTCGTAAACCGTTAACGATCGGATGCTTCGACGTTCTTTTATTAAGAACTACTCGGGATATATTTCTAGAGCCGTTACCAGATCCTTAATTAATACCGTTATTATACGACTATTATCCTTATAAATATTACTAAGGTTATTATTATTAGCTATTAAAGGCTTAAGGTAAAGCTATTAGCTAGGCTTTAGGAACCTATTAAGACTACTATATTAGGCCTTAATTCGGATATAAATAAGGAGGATATAGTAGATAAGCCGTAGGAACCGGGTAAGGTATGGTTTACTATATTCGTACGTAGGAAGGCGGAGCCGCTAGGGGCTAAGGTAGCGTCGTAGTAGTAACCTTAGGAGCTAATACCTAGTTAAGATATTCGTTAGCGATAGTTTACTTAACTAATAAGCCTATCTTTTTTATAATAAAGCGTTCGATTAGGTTCTCCCGTTCCTTTAGCTATTACTCCTTAAGCTATTCTTTCTTAAGGTTTACGACCTTTTAATAACCTTATATTATGTTATATGCCTCCTAAAAGGCTCTAGATACGTAAGCGGTCTTTTCGAGGGCTTTCCTTTTTAGGTCCGGATCCCTTAAACCGTTTATAAAGCGTATAATTACCGACTTAAGTATATAGGTTTCGAGGATAGTTAGGTTATCGGTACCGTTTAGGCGTAGAACTTAGGAGAAATCTCTCGATCCCGTACGTCTTAATAGCTCCTATGCCCTAATGTAATAAAAGGCGAGGGATTCTTCCGAGCCTTATAAAATATCGACGATTTCGTTTCGTAGGTCCGATTAATTAATTATTTTAAACGGAAATCTCTCCCTTAAGAGCTATTAAACCATAAGTAAATCGTTTTAAGTAGCTATTCCTTACCCCGCGAGATCTAGAGCTCGCCGGATACGAGAATTACGATCTAGAAAGGCTGCTACCTCTCCTTTATATAAAACATTTATAGCTTAAAGCTTATTAAAAGCTAATAGAACTAGATAGCTAGTTAACCTAAAGGCCTACGTAAGTAATATAAGCTATCTAAATATAGCCTTACTACCGTTAAAACGGCCGTATACCGTTAAATCGGATAAGGCTTACGGAGGGATCGGTAGGGAAGGCTCCTAAGGATCGGTTATTACGGATAGTAACGAAGCTACGGAAAGTAGCGAAAAGGGCGACGAATTCGATAAGCGAAGGAATAGTAATACGTTTTCCTCCAAAGGAAACGAAGATAACGATATTAATAGTAATAACTAAGCCGAAGAAGGCTATTCTAACTATACTAGATCTATTATTAAACTTAATTAGTCTTGATTTAAAGGTCCTAACGCTTCCGTTTCCGTCGTCGATTAAGACTAAGGAGATATTCCACGGGGAACCTCGCCTAGGTTCTTAAGGTCCTATAAAAGATCGTTTAGTTCGGGACTTCCGGAATTTAATAAAAACCTAATTACCCTTACTAGGTAGGGGTATCCTATAGCAAGGAAAGAATCGGCTAAAGCTTTAAGAAGCTCTAGGTTTCGGTTATAAATAATAGCAATATATAGCTCGTCGGGTATAGGAAAAAGGGAACTACCTTCTCCTTCCTTCGGTATATTACGCCGGTAAATGGTATCGGTAACGAAGGAACTAATATACCCTAAAATAAGGCCCGAAAACGAACTAGGAATGCCTTTTTTCGATGGAAAACGACGAACTAAAGTATTACCTTTTAGTAAATAATAACAAAACAAAAGGTACTCTTATACGAATAGGACGAGCTTTCTAAGACCCTCTATACGAAGAGGTTAAAACGGAATAAAAATAACGAGAAAATAACTAAGCGTACCCGTAGTCTAGATGCCTCTCTAAGGCCTAGGTTCGATTACTAGCTAGATAAAGTATAAAACGTACTTAATTCTAAAAACCTCCTATCTAAGGTACCCTTACTAAACAATACCCTTTGACTCTCGAGGGTTACTTATATAATGCGTATTACATAATTCAGGAGGGCTCGCACTCAGCTGCCCCCGCGCGAGCTAGGTACCACGTATCCACAGCACACGATCCGCAAAGTTGATAGGACTTCTTGGAAATTTCAGGCAATTTCAGGCAGGCATATTGACTATGCAAATGGCTAGGGACGCGTCGCCCCGATCTTCTACGGTGAGGGGCCGTCGGGTGTGGTTGCAACGACTTTCTGATCGAGATCGAGCTGACGTTCTATGCATTCACGGCTTCTATTAACCTGCGAGGCACATGATCAGCACATCCTTAAGAATACCCCAAATTAAAAATCTCGACCGGAACGACCTTTCACCAAAAGCCGCAGAGACCTTCGCCATAAAGCGACGAGTTCCTTAGGTCGATGGCCATAAATACTACACGGGCAATGTGGACGCAATTGTTATGTGAACCCGGTTTCACGGTCGACGCTATCAACCTGGTCAATGCATGCAACACTGCACAGCTATTACGCATTGCAGGTAATCTAAGATCGTCGAGTAAGAGGAGGCTGGGTTCCAAGCCAGGTTCCAAGCCAGGTTCCAAGCCAAGTGCGCTTTGCTACTAGGTATGCAGTAAACACTGTTGCATCGTTGCGTCCCTCGTACCGAGAGAGCGGGAAAGACCCGCCTTGAATCCGCATCAGCAGACAACATGAACGAAACACGCCCTACATCATCAGGTGCGATGTCAGCGAAATATCTCTTCCTACTGAGGCAGCGGCTCGTATGCTTCTGAACGAACGAGTAGGTAAGAAGAAGAACTTGGGCCAGAGCTCCCTGATGTGCTGTCGAGCCACCCATGAAAGGCGCGTCAGTCGCTACTTAGCAGGCCCGTCGTCCCGATATGACTACACCAAAACCGGCGATTGCCCGAGTACACATACTACGTGGTATCGAGAGGTCGGACTATTCTTGCCGTTATCAACTCATTCCCCAGCGACACCGACCAATTAACCCTTGCTTTCTTACGCGACCACGAGGAGGATCTCCGACGCAATCGCCCCTCTCGTTTATTGATTCCTGGCAGGGGTGTCTTCTTCTCCGCCGGGGATGCAGAAAGCCTGGCTTCCCACATGGCCTCCAGCGGTATCCTCTCGCGCCTACATTACACATAAGCTTCATCGGTGTCGAGGCCGTTACACCAACGGGGAGGTCGTCCCTCGCCCGTCACCGGCACCATCTGTGCAGCCGCTAGACCCCCTCGCCCGATGAATTCTCGTCGCTTAACGCCTTGGATGACGCATCCTCCCCCACGCCGAGAACAAGAGGCAGGTTGAAGGGCTGGGTAGCGTGCCCCTACTGAACGATCCCTGTTCCAGTCGAGTTAACCTCATACGACTTTACATACCTGTGCCCCATAGCATCTCGGGCCTAATGCCTGCAAGAAGCTAGTTTTGCCAACCTGGGTGCGGATCCAACGACAATTCCTTGAACATGTAAAGAGGAAAGGAAAACAATCACAGGCTCCCCAGCTGATATCCTCGTGTTACTGTGCGAAGCCCACATGCTAGTTCGATATGTGCGTGGGGCCATCACGTAACAACAGCCACTATATTGCTGGCTTTAACGATAGGTATGAGCTGATCTAATCAATCAGATCGGATCAGATAAGATAAGAAAGCGCCTTGATTATGAGGCGCGAACATAAGGATCCCGATGCGATACTCCCTATCGCAGGCGTCCCATCGCTCTTCTGCTGTGCCGTTAACCAGCCGATTTCGGGCAGCATTGGTGGGAGGCCGAGGTCAACATCCTGGCCATTACCTACCTACCGGATGCGGTTTTTTTCTCCAAAATGAACAGGCTTGGGATGTCGTGTGGAGCGGCGGGTCGATGCTGGTTCTCTTTCTCTGCAGTTAAATCGCAGGGTCGTCGCCGTCCGGTTATTCGAACAGTTTCCCAGCGGCTCGCACCTTTGCCTTCTGCGCTTCCTCGCCCTCCCCAACCACGATGGCGATTCTAGACAAGCTGCGGCCCAAGCCAGCCCAAGGCGCCCGGGACGAAGATCCTGAAGCTATCGCGGTCGCCAGCCCGCCGACCGGGAACAGCGCTGGTGCTAACGTCGCGAATGCGCCCGCTGAAAAACCCGAGGATGCGCTTCCGAATCAAGACACTCAACACGGTGTTCAGAAGATCGAGGCCGTGACCTTATCCTGGACCAAGGGGTCTCTGGCCGCGTTGCTGATAAGGTATAAACGAATTTCTTCATTCTCGCCGCGGTGTGTCCGCGGCCTTGCGCGCCGCTCGGCGGATGGCTAACGTGGCCACTCGTCGACAGCATCTGGGTCATTTTCCTCACCAATGGATTGCGTCTCGCTATTCTCGCCAGCCTGACGCCCTACGTCACTAGCGAATTCCAGTCCCATTCGCTGCTCACGATCATCCGCGTTGTTGCCAACGCCATGACCGCCGCGGTGTACATCCCCATGGCCAAGCTACTCGACGTCTGGGGCCGAGCTGAAGGCTTCCTCCTCATGGTTGGCTCGGCCACCCTAGGTGTCATTCTCATGGCCACGTCCAACGGCCTCGCTACGTTTTGCGCCGCCCAGGTAAGACTGCGATTCGTTGAACCCTTGAGCTGCTAGCGGGTGCTGATAACTGAGCCGTTTGCAGGTCTTCTACTCGATTGGCTTCGCCGGCATCATCTACACCGTCGCCGTCCTCGCCGCGGATGTGACCTCCCTGAGGAATCGTGGCTTGGCCTTTGCCTTTACCTCGTCTCCTTACATGATCACTGCCTTCGCCGGATCCAGGGCTGCCGAGGCCTTCTACTACAACGTAAACTGGCGGTGGGGTTTCGGCAGCTTCGCGATTATTGTGCCTGGCGTGACGATCCCCCTGTTCGTCCTGTTGAAGTATAACCTTCGCAAGGCCGAGAAGAGGGGTATTTTCTTGGAGAAGGAGAGCAGCGGTCGGACGTTTTTACAATCTGTGCGACATGTTATCATCGAGTTTGACGGTGAGCAAATACACACGTCTTGGTTGGGAAACATACCGGTGCTAACCTCGCCGACTCTACAGCGCCCGGCGTTTTCCTGTTTGCCGGTGGCCTTACGGTATTCTTATTGCCATTCACGCTCGCCACCTCCGCCCCCAACGGATGGAGGACGGGCTACATTATTGGCATGATCATCACCGGCTTCATCGTCCTCGTCCTATTTGCCTTGTACGAGGTCTACGTGGCGCCGGCACCGTTCCTGAAGAACAAGTTCCTTCTAGATCGAACGGTGATCGGAGCCTGTCTCATCGACCTGACCTACCAAATCTCGTACTACTGCTGGGCCAGCTACTTCACATCCTTCTTGCAGGTCGTGAACAACCTTACCGTGGCTGAAGCCGGGTACGTCAACAGCACTTTCCAGATCGTGTCCGGCGTCCTCTTGTTCATCGTCGGCTTCTTGATCTACCGGACCGGCCGCTTCAAGTGGCTTTTCTACTTCACAGTCCCGATCTACACCATGGGCCTGGGCCTGATGATCTACTTTCGCCGCCCCAACCAGCACATCGGCTACCTCATCATGTGCGAGATCTTCATCTCCATGGGCGGAAGCGTCTTCATTCTGCTGGTGCAGTTGGCGGTCCTGGCCGCGGTCGACCATCAACACGTTGCCGCCGTCCTCGCCCTTCTGTACGTCTCTGGCACTGTCGGCGGCGCCATCGGCAGCACCATCTCGGGGACCATCTGGACCAACACTTTCTTGGGAGCCCTCCAGAACAACCTGCCGGCGTCCGCCCTGCCGGACGTGTTGCTCATCTACAGAAGCTTACCGAAGCAGCTCTCCTACCCAGTCGGGAGTATCGAGAGGCTCGCGATCCAGGAGTCTTATGGCTACGCACAAGCCAGGATGCTTACTGCTGGCATTGCCATATTCTCTCTCTCTTTTGGCTGGATGTTCCTGATCCGGAACTTGAACGTCTCCAAGAACACGGGGCAGACGAGAGGTATCGTTTTCTAAGCACGCGACAGCGCTGTGCCGCAAGGGGCAGTCTAGCAAAAAGAGAGAAAAAAAAGCTTTGGTTTGGTTCTTGGGGAAATGAGGGCCCTTCCTGATCGGAAGGGCATCCGTAGGTGGACAGTGACTTGGAGTGTGTGTTCTAGGCGGTTGGTCGGCTACGATACCCCAGAGACGAGAAAATAGATTCATCGCTTTAGTTGTAACTGCAACTGAAACTTCAAATATTGCTTGTTACGATGTGCTGTCATTCTAGGATATTAGACATGCTGGGCGAGAGCGACACGTCTCGTGGATATTCAAAAGTGTAAGTAATAAATCGCACCAGTGCGACGCGATTGCCCCACCAACTCGGGTGTCGCCAGTTTCACTTCAAAATCCCCTCTAAAAGGCAACGTGGAAATAGTATGAGGTATAGTTTACCGGTAAGTGAATTGAACCATATAGCACGATTTTATGCTGAAAAATGATCTGGATGTGTTGTGGTCACGGGTTGTTTGGGCTGCTCTCTCTAGGAGAAGTTGTAGAACGAGGGGCATCGTCGCAAAGAATACGCACGTGCTTCAGTCCGCATCTCATCATCACCAGGAGTGCCATATTAGCAGCATTAGCCCTGCCATTTGGATGCTTCAGTAGGTAGCTAGTCGCTTGGCTATACAGGATTTGTATGAAATCACATCACAGCTATCGGCGATATCGGCCCTCCCGAGCGATGATGTGGCCTAATTCCCAACTACGATGGATTCATCCTAAGAGGGGCGGTAGGCAACCAACTTACCCTTTTTCTTCCTCTTCGTTTCCCCCCAGCATCACCCGGATACAATAAACCTCACCGCTTTTCCACGAAGCTACGACCATACCCGATACGCCACTACGATAACGCGCCAATGACGATACAACTCGAGCCCAGTCAAATCCCCAACGCCGGCCAGTACGTGGTACAGACAAGTAGGGGGGACTATGTTATCCAGGTAGCGTGGCCGCTGTGCTGGACGGAAGACCGCGTGGCGCCTGAGGGGGACCCTCCGGTCTCGACCTTGTGAGTACAGAAAGGGCACTGACTGCTCCGAAACGCGAGGGCGCGGCGACTGACCTTTTCTCTCGCCGCGCACGCAGCTACCTCGTGGACGGCAACGCGTACTTCCTCACGGCGGTGGACGTGGCGCGGCGGCTCGAGTTCACGAACGGCGCGCGGGCGATCGTGGTGGGCGTCGGGTACCCGCGGACGCAGTACGTGTACAACTGGCGGCGGGGGCCGGACCTGACGCCGGCCAGCCCGGACGGGACGTACGAGATGCCGGTGGGGCGGGACGGGAAGCCGCTGGCGGGGGTGTCGTTCGGCGAGGCGGAGCGCTTCCTGGCCTTCGTCGAGCGCGAGGTGGTGGCGGCGGTGGAGACGCGGCTGTTCGCGCACCTGGCGCGCGGCACGGGGCGCCGCGCGCTGTTCGGCCACTCGTACGGCGGCGTCTTCGCGCTGCACGCGCTGTTCACGCGGCCGACGCTGTTCGACACCTTCGTGGCCGCGAGCCCGTCGCTGTGGTGGAACCGCTACTTCCTCGCGCGCGCGCAGGAGCCGGCGCTGCGCCAGCGCGCCCCGCCCGCCGACCCGCCGCCCGCCGTCGTCCTCACCTGGGGCGCTAGCGCCCGCCGCCGCCCCGGCGAGCCGGACGACGCCTTCGCCCGCCGCAAGGAGGCCGCCGAGGACGACAGGCTCGAGGCCGACGCCAAGGCGCTGGCCCAGCGCCTCGAGACCTACCCCAGCGTGCGCGCCGTCCGGACGGCCCAGTTCGAAGGCGAGGACCACGGCAGCGCCGCCGTCGCTGGACTCCAGCGGGGTATCATGACGTTTCTCCTGGAAAAGGAGTAGGTACGGGGGGGGAAGGAGGGCAGTGGCGCGGATCGGGGAAACCTGGAGAGACTCGAACGCCGAGATCAGGCCTCTCGTCAACTGTAATACCTACTTACACCTTACGCGCGTGGATTTTCTTTTTGTATTCGTCTTGGGATCGTGATTTCTTAAAGAGCGCATTTCCCCCACGAGGTATGTGAGAGAGCCAGTAATATTTTCCCAACTTGAGAACATGCAGAAGTTGAAAAAAAACGTCGCAAGAGGCTTGTGTGTGTGTGGTAATGGTCGATCCCCTACGCTGATGCGATGCAATTGAGTGGCTTGCGGATACGGGCAAAGGACTAGTGAGGTACCGCGTTGGCTTGCAACTACGGGGTGGTAGAACGCAATATGGAGTTTTCCCCAGCGAGCTCAGCGTACTTTGCTGCAACTCTCGAAGAGTTGTATGCCAGTTGGAGCTTGGTAGGTAAGTGGGTATGCGAGGGGCGGAGCGGTGAGCTATTTTGGCGGTATTTCCGGGGCGCCGCTGAGCTATTCTGTACTACGACGAAGAACGGCGTCTCTGGGGACGGTGACACCATCAATCCCCTTCCTCTGTCCCGATCTCCGGTTGTACGAGGAGAGCGTGGAAATCCCGGGGTGGGTTTAGAATGGACCGCGCTATGTTAACATGATGTATGGTGTCCCCGAAGTGAATAGAGGCAACTCTTTTGTCACGTGAACAGAGGTATAGACGCCCCTACTTCCCCATTTAGCCACGCGGGCGTACGTGTGTGGTTGTTTTCCTGCTCGCTAGATTGGGTAGAAATAAACGACGCGGCGCTGTGAGGCTTCGGCGAGAGACTCGGGTTGACCCGAGCAACCAGGGTAAGGTTGGTAGTCGGTACGAGCCATGCCTACACCCTCCGAATCTACTATACCACGCATTATAGTACACAGGTAGTCATTGACCGTCTGGTTGCCTTAATCTTGTCAGCAACGAGAACCTCATGACCGATGTTGCTTGCTTAGTGTGGAGACTTTCGTTGATGCGACGTCTCGTGAGCTGAAAGGTGGGTGGGTTCTAATCCCTCTCCCTTGGGGAATAAGCATCTTACAAAGGCAGCCCTAGAAGGCGAGGGTAATGAAGACAAAGCCATGCTGCGACAAAGCTACGCCGTCAGCGACGGTTAGGGGCGGTATCGTCTATCGCTTTTTGAAGTCCGATCTTGCGACCGTTGCGACCTTCGTTAGGACCGCTCGGGTGTTGCAGAGCCCGTCGATCGGCACACCGGGCCGTTTTGCTTTCTTTGGCTGGTTGTCCACTCGCACAACGAAGTGGTAAGACGAGCGTGGACTACTACACGGCTAGCTAGGGGGTTTATCTGTACCCCGCGTAAGTCGATCTATCAATTAGAAGAAGAAGAAAAAGAAGAGCGTCGCGGAGTGTGTTAGCACTTCGAATCGACTATCACGAGAAAACGCGGGTTCGTTTAGTACGAAGAAGTGCCCCTGAGAGCTATCCACGCGCTCTTTTTCCTTCTTTTTTGTTCTGGTCAAAATTGGGGTTTCGTTGCCCATTTATTATACATGCATACCTACGAACAGTTATGCGTTGCGTTGTGCAATTCCGTTCAATATACTCCGCGGTGCATACTAGGTATAATTCGCCAATGCACCTTGACCATGTACCCGAGAGGTATCCAATGTATGCGGGCAATACCTCCTCATGCCCGTGCAGGTAGGCTTACGTGATCCCCCCTAGCCGACGACAGGGGGGATATACCTTCTCATCCTGTGTACCTACATAGGTAGGTACCTACCTCTCTCATACACATATGAGTACCTAGGTACTCATATGCATGCGTGCATACCACGAGGTATTCCCCTCCGTTTCCCTGCGTACCAGGTACCGAGCTCTTTTGCCGACGCCGCCCTGCCTGGCCCGCTAATTGCCGCGGCAAATTCGAAGTACCTCATCTCACATAACATCGGAAGCCCCCCCTAAAGCCTCCCTACTTCAGGTGCCTATGCGCCCGCCCCTCCTCGCCGGCAGCGACCCTACGAGGTACCTGTATCGCCTGGGTGGCCGTCCCGCTGATCAAAGTACTACCCGTACAGGCACCTCTTTTAGCCTTGTCGACGTCGCCGGGCGCGGAGCAGTCGGGTATTTTTCCCTCTCTGCGTCTCTCTTTCAACCGCTCCATTCGGCCAGTCGGGCGTCCCGTCGGAATCGCAACATGTCCATTGGACCCTCGCGGCCTGCCGCGCCACCTTATGCTCGACAAAGACCCAGAAGGTCGCCTCCCGCGATGGCGAGAGATGCCGCTGGTGGTCTCCACCACCGCGTGACATCGACGGCGGCGCTTCTGGACCCTCTCGCTGCTTCCGACCAATCCGTAAGGGAGGCGGCGACGTGGATATCTCGGATCTGGCCCTAGGACCGGTGCGAATCTGTCGTATTAACTCCGGCTCCTCTTCCTCTCCTCTGGCTCCCTTTCTCTCCCCTCCAAGACCCTGCCTTGGCCTAGTCGAGGGCGCGGCCTGCTGATTAAACGAGTTATCGTCTTGGCCCTGACCTGGCGCGGCTCCCCCTATGGAGACGGCCAAGGACAGCTGTATGGCACCCTAGTTGAGGCCGATGGAGTCTACCCCACAACCCCACGAATTTCTCCAATTCCTGGGGTTGGTTGCTTTCTCTTCCTCTCTTCCTCTCGTCAGTTTTATTATTCGGTAGCCCCTCCCCCAAGTGACAGCTCGTTGACGGCGACGATGGACTATACACCCGTCACCACGTCCTCGGCCAGCGTCGAGGCCACCGAGACCGTCGGGCCGAAGCCCAAGTCGGCGGCCAAGATGCGCAAGAGAGCGCCCAAGGCCTGCTTGTCGTGTAGGAGTCGCAAGGTGCGGTGCGACGTGTCCCAGCGCGGGAGGCCGTGTATGAATTGCTACCTCGACAGCGAGACATGTGTCGTAACTGGACGAGCGTCCAGGTTGTGAGTCTGCCGCCTTTTCTCTCCGCATATAACCCCCGCCCCTCTGGCTCACCGTCTGGTCTAGCAGACGAGGCCAGCGTGGTGACAATGACAACACCCACGCCTCCTATCCTCCCTACGCGACAGAGGAATGCGCGCATGGCCGAACTTCGGAAGACGTGATGAATTCGCGAATTAGCGGTCAGCCACCGCTGCCCAAGGAGGACGGCGAGAGCAGCGCGCCGAGACAAGAAGACGCGACAGACCCGGTCGGCCGTGCTCAACCTCAAGCTAATCCCACGGTGGAGGGAGGGCAATGGGCCGGGCCGTCACCAGTGCGCGTGTCCGGCGGGTCAAGTCAGCATCATCACGGGAACAGGACTTTAAGTCCTACCTCCACAGTCAAAGGTCAGTTCGCCCTCAGCGCTCGACCAGCTTAATTTTGACCGCAGACGCAGAAACCGTGACCCTACCGTTAAATACCTTCAATTCTTTCATGTCCCCCGAGATACCTCTCTGGGTCGGGGACCAGCGTATCGCCATGAATGCGGACGTCACCTATTCCTACTACCCGTTCATCCGCATCGGGAATCTCCACAACATTATGCCCCAGGATGTCAATTATCTCGAGTCGCAGGGATGCCTTCGAGTCCCAACGAGAGCCATTCTAGACGAGTTTGTCCAACAGTATTTTTTGCATGTCCACCCTATTATGCCCATAGTCAACGAGGGAGATTTCTGGGACATGTACTGTGGCCAAAACTCGGCCGGACCGACAGACAGCGTGTCGCTCGTCTTTTTCCAAGCGCTATTATTTTCTTCTTGCAACGTAGGTTGCCCGCATCGCCCTGACGTGACCGATCGAGACTGACCCCGAATGCGCAGTTCGTCTCGAAGAATAGCATCAAGGCGTTAGGATTTCCTAGTATTCGCACAGCCAGAGCTACATTCTATAGACGCACGAAGGTGTGAACCCCCGTCCTCTACCCGCTCTCCCGGTCCAGCCGCTGCTGACACGAAACTAGCTCTTATTCGACTTCGACACTGAGGCATCTTTGATCGATCTTGCTCAAACGGCTCTTCTGCTCTCTTTCTGGGCTACGAATTGGTCTCTTGCGTCGAAGAAGCTGAATAGCACGTGGCTCGGCATCGCAATCCAGAACGCGAAGAGTTCCGACGCCCACCTTTACGCGGTTAAGCCCACCTACTCGGCGGTAACCGACCCAGTGCAACATAAGAAGCAGAATACGTTAAAACGATTGTGGTGGTGCTGTCTCATTCGCGATCGCATCTTGGCCCTTGGCGTGCGGCGCAGCCTCCAAATATCCCGCTCGCACTTCGACCTCGATGCCAACACCGGTCTCGGATATACGGATCTGGCTGACGAAGTCGACCGGTCCAAGGTCTACAACGCGGATACCAAGCGCTGCCTCATAGAGATATTTGTTCAGCTCGGCGAGCTTTCCTCGGTTTTGACAGACCTGATCACGCTCGTATTCCCCCTCGACGACGTGCCGGGCTGGGATAGGGAGCTAGGCCCCGAGGGAGCCGCGAAATTGAAAGAGTGCAAGGTAGCGTTGAGAAGATGGTACAAAGGAGCAACGCTTCGGTTTCCGATGTTTGGCGGCGGAAACACGCCGAGGATGGCGACTCCGAATGCCAAACAGTTCCAACACGATTCAGTAATCCTGTACACGAATTTGATGTACATGCACTACCAGTGAGACCCCCTTCCATCACCACGAGCTTGCAGGGCGATCGCTTACTCCTTACTGCAGCTCCGCCAGAGCGGTCCTCTGCCACCACGAAGTTCTGCAGTTGGCTGTAGCGTGTACTTCGCCCAACCTAAGCAACAATCTTCGAGAGTTTGCCAACATCTACGAGAATAGACACGAGCTTCAGGACGCGGCATGCAGCGTTACGGAATGCCTCAAGGAACTCCTGCAGCTGCGTCTCGCTCGCTGGCTCCCAATTAGCGCGTGAGTCCCCAAACTACGACACCCCTATTCATGGACTGACTTGGCCTAGGGTTGCGTGCACGGCATTGCCCCTCGTCCTCCACATCATCGATGTTAAATTGTCGTCGCAGAACAATCACACGAACTGCTCGGCAGAACCCGACCCGCAACTAGCGGCCAAGCAACATCGTCTGAATATTCTCATCGAGGCCATGAAGACATACCAGCCACAGTACGACGGCGTCGACTACATTAGCGAAACCATTCGACACATCATCAACCTGGCGCAACTAGACGCACCCGCTAATACAGGTGCAGGCATCCCAAGCTTCGGCAACAACGGGAAGCAGTCGCGAATATCCGACTGGACGGATATACTAGCCTCTCAGCCGGGTTACTATCTACGTCTGGCCATGACAATGGATTTGTGCTTCAGCAAGGGCCGACTAGTAGAGGAGTCCGATTTCCCAGCCAACCTCCGGGGATTGTTCGCGGCCGACTTCAGCTCGATCAGATCTCTCGTGCTCGGCCGAAAACACGTTTCCGCTGCCGTGATGACACAAAACCCGGAGACTGCTTACTACGTGACAGCCACGACCTTGGACATAACGCCCGGGACGGTGCATTCTCTTTCCTCGGACGAAGAGTCGAACTCGCCCAACTCCCTCGACGGAAACACGAACAGTACCTCCGAATCTCAGTTCGATGGTCACCATGCTGCGGCAGCTTCCAGCGACATAGATATGTCCGGCGTTTTTGCTGGCACTGTCGGCCTCGACCAACTCACGAACGACGTACTCGCTGCCTACGGGCTTAGTGCGGATGCAGACGCGGACACTTTGAACGAATCGGATCAGTCGATGTACGAGGGACCGGGCCAGGGCGCTGGCCTGGGGGAAGACGACTGGATTGAGAAGGCGTGGGTTGATGAGGACATCGAAGAGTCTAGTGCGGTGACGCACAGTGTTGGCGAAAGGGAAACGACTCGAGTGCTATTAGACGCCTTACGAGACGATGCTGTCAGGTGCAGTGTGTAATGATGGTTTACAGTTCTGAGTAATATGCCTCGGGGCCCATATCGCATAAGCAGGAGTCCGGCCTTGTAAAATAGGGGGGAAATGGGGGAGGGGAAATACTTTGCCTTGGCAGTCTGGAGATCATTTCTAGGGACTCGGTAGGATAGAACAATGTTTCGGCGTAACGTAAGCCATTTATGGAGATATCTAGCACGCACGCCTGTGACTCACTTGCTACTAGGTAAAGGATGAATTTCTTTTCTTTTCTTGATCCCGTTGATGTACAGCCATCGGGGCTTCGTAGGTCTCATACGCGCCACACCGTTAGGCGATAGTGTGTACGAGGGGAATTATACGTGGAAACGGGTGTTTTGATGTGCGTCTATTTCTGGTTTTGCGTACCGACGTGACAATATTCCTCTACACGCCGGTAGGAAAAGGCGACGAATCCCTCGCTTGCCTCTTGAAGAGGTATTGCCTGCAGTAGCCTCTGTATCTAACCGGCGCTGCCTTTTCCTATAGCGGTTGTCGGTTCTATATTTGGTTCCTCTCCTAGCAATATCCTGAAACCGACGTAGTGATGGAATTCGACGCCGGTACCATCGAGGTAGCTACCTCGTAGGTGCCAAAGTGTTTTAACGCAATAGCTTAAACTGACTGACAATATCCTTTCTAAACAGCGAGTGTAACTTGCGTTATTAATAACCTGGGGAAACCTAAAAAGAGTCGCGCGGCCGGCCGGTGGAAATGAGTAGAATATCTCCAGCCATCCGGGAGGGTATAAAAGCAGAGAACGCTGCTCCTCTCTTTCCCAGATTCTTCACAACCCAGAGCCGTACGCCCATCCATCCATCAATTCACCATCAACGTACCATCGCCAAAGAAGCGAAAAGGCTTCATCAGAAAGCCAATTATTCGCCAATTTGTCCGGATATAACACGCAAGTGGACGCGGAACGCGGAACACGCAGCATCATACCATATTATTATATACACATACAACGACCTCATATACAAACGCCACATTCGGCACTCAGACCACAACAACCACCAAACTATAGCACGCAAGATTTCAACATGCGCTTCCAAAGTCTCCTCGCCGCGGGCCCTGTCTTCATGGCAACCGTCATGGCCGCACCCCTCCCAACAGGCGACAACAGCAACAGCAGCATCAGCATCAACACCAACAGTAGCTCCTACAACTCGAATGAAGCCAACATTACCGGCACTCAGGGGAGTGAAGCCACTGTCACAGACTTGTACCAGCCAGAGGCCCGCGACGCGCCGCGCGTGTGGCAGCGTGAGGTATGCCACACATGGCAGGGACTAAGCGCGGAGGGAGAATAGGAGTGCCGGGGTGTGATCGTCGAGACGGAAAACAAAGGGGAAGGGGAGGGGGAAGAGGGGGGAGCTAGGGAGAAAAGGAGTTGATGTACAGAATGGAATCTCCTTCAGCAGCGACTGGGCTAGTGTGGATCACGAAAACGTTGGAAAGGAAGAGTTATATTTGGCGTTGCGGCTACTCCAGCACATATTATTGTATACCCCATTTACATACCTCGACACCGTGGCATAAGCAGCAGAGCGCCACCTTCAGCAATTCAAATGCAATATTCTAGGTGGCCTTTCCAAAGCCTGGAAAGGAAATTGCTGCCGACTTGGCCTTGTTATATACCATATTATCTATGGATAGATTTTCGGAGATTATACGGGCACGTCGCTGGAGGTAACTTGCCTCGAAGTTGTCGAGCTTACTTCTGTCGGCCTCGAGAAGTAATCATGTCCCGGACTCCGCCTATGGAACTACCTGACATAGCCACCTTTACTTCCATGCTCATGCCCGGAGTTGCCTACTTCCAATTCGTGTTCTGGAGAGCAGAGGCGTCGTTGATCGCGTATTACACCTAGGGTAATAGCTAGTCTCTTACGTCTCCCATAATACCCTAAACTTGATACACTATACCGGTAAGTAACTAGAGGGTAGTCAGGCCGGGTAGCAAGGAAAATATGTATTGTCACGTAGAGGTTGCGCCTCTTCGTTGCTTACCTCAGTAACAGGAGCTCCTATATATACGCTCCCGTTGCTTCCATTCCTTTAGTTAGTTCTTAGATAGAACAAGACCTTTTCTCCTTTGCTCCTCCTCCCGTTGCTCGTGAGATAGCTCCTCGCTCGCGCTCTCGCCCACGTAGTTCTAGCTACGTAATATGTATCGTAAGAACCAAACGCATAAGCGCCTACTTGACTGGGCTTACTCTCACTACGAGTTCCGTAACTTCGAGTTACACCTTCGACATGGAAATGGTGTTATATTAGATCGTGGAAGCCGATACGCGACAACTTGCCACATCGCTGACACCCGCGTCCTGCCTCCGCTGCTGAACCCCTACCTGCCTACTCATGCCTGAGCTTTATCCTCGATAGAAGGGGCCTATTCAACCGCAACCATACCACATGTGATTACCCAACTCAGGTAAGGTTTACGCAACTATCAGTCAACTCCGATCCTACTTTCACCAATTCCATAGGGAAACACCAGCTGTGGAAGGCGACAGTCTGGATTTGCAGTCCTGGGAAAGTACACACACGACACGCGCTGTTCACCACTACCACCGCTCACCATGAGCTTTCTCTTCTCCTTCTTCTCCCCTCTCTTCTCCTCTCCCTCTCTTCCCTTCTTCAACTCCGCTCGCTCCAACCCTCCCCCCATTCCTCTCAACACACTCCCCTGTCCTGGTTCTTTCCCTCTTCCTGACCCCGGCTCTCCTCGTCCCGGTACGCCTATCCCTCGGCATCCGGGTACTCCGGTCCCTCGCCGCCGCGGCAGCCCTGCTTTTCTCCGCCGCCGCATTTCTCGCGGCGATTCGCGTATCGTCCTTCCGGACGCATGCTTCCGTTTGGAGACCCGGTTCCTCTCTTATTGGCCTCTATGGCTCATCCTCTTCGTTGCTTCTTCGGTTTGGGCTGTCCCGTACAAGTTTTGCTGGACCACCCTGATGGTTCCTGCTAAGACACTGGTTGGTCTTGACACTCCATCATGGGGGGACGCGTACTTGTGGGGGGTTGGGGTTGGTTTGGTGGTTCTTTCGGGCCTTCTCAAGTTTGCCTGACTTGCCGCGTGGATCGAGTGCCTCGTAGTCACTTGGTTCCGCGATAAAGACTGGCGCCCCCCTGAGGTACGCTATCGGCAACCTATTTCGTGTGATAGCCTGGCCAGCGTGATGCTAACCTATTCATAGAACTCATCAACCAAATTCATCATGCAAGCCGACGTTCGTTGGTGGATATCTGCTTCCGTTCGCGGCGATGTCCCGTTTGTCGACGGTTAGTAGACCCGGAGTCGTCTCGTCTTCGGAGTTCAACTGGGCTCCCCACGGAACAATTATCGCTTGCTCTGACTATGTGTTCGTACAGGTCGTCTCCCTCGGAGATGTCGCCTCAGCCGGGACAGATGTCCCTACGACTTGTCGGACCGGGTGTACCACTGCTCGAGATTTGGTCGCTGTCTCCCCGTCTACGACCACTTCTGCCCATCCATCCAGTCGACGGTGTACCTGCGGGCGATGAAGCCGTACTGCTCCCTGTTGGTATTTTTGCCACTGGACGCAGTATTCTTCTTCGTCGTCTCCACTGCTGCTGCCGGCATGAGCTCCACGCCGCTCAACATCCCAATCTCGTCTTCGGTTGCCTCCTCCTGTGTCATCCTTTTTCTCGTTCTGCTCTCGAATTCGCCGATGAATCTGAGGCGACTGCTTTGGGAAAACCAAGTCTGGCCAGAGCTCAAGGTATGTTCCCTCGCCCCATATTGGTCGTGTGTATAGCCTTCTTTATCGTTTCCCCATTGATCTTTTGGTCTCTAGGAGGATCTCGAGAGTGGAGGACGGAAATGGGTGATCGCCTTCAAGCACGATATTGAAGGCGAAAGGAAACTGCGCCTGATCATTGATTTCGACCAGAACAACTACTGGAATCTCGGTCCATCCGGGAACTTCCGGCAAGTGTTCGGTCGAAACTGGTGGCAATGACCCTTTTCCTTCTGGCCCTCTCAGACGGTCCGAAACTACGGGCGATATGACCACGGCGACCTCCCATTTGCCGACTTCGTTACGAAGCGGCACTTGAAGTTCATCGCCGAGAGGGTTCGTGAAACCCGAGGATTCGTGATCGTCCCACCGGCTTCTCCTCCACCGGTAGCAGTCGGTGGCGGGCCGTGGAGACCGTCCCTGGGAAGATCAGCGCTCCCACGGGTGTTGCGCCACTTTCGGCGTAGGACTCAGGTCCAGTCGAATAGTGGCAACGCCTAAAGGATCTTTGTTCTCGTGGGGTGGAAGGTTGCGAGCCCTCCCCCGGAATGGAAGATAGATGCAACGCAGGGGTTGCGTGGTGTTTGGTGGATTCAGGGTCAACAAACAGGTAGCCATTCGGGGCGGGTCTATCTTCTGGGGGAGGGGGGATGGTAATGCCGAGCCCTTCTCTAGAAGATAAGCTTGTAGGAGCTGCATGGTGTTCGGTGGCGGATTCGGGGTCGGTCGACTAGCAGCGGCTCCTACCAGGCCTGTCTTCTAGGGGAGGGGGGACAACGAGCCCTTCTCCCGAAGACGAGAGCATCTTCGGATGGTAGGTTGTGTTCGGCGGGGGATTTACGGTCACCGGAATACTGGCGAGGTCCGGCGGGTCCATCTTCGGGGGAAGGGGGGACCGAGGGGGACGAGACGGGGAGGGATGGGACGGAACGGAACGGGACGAGACGGGGTGGGGGGGTGGAGGGTGACGGGGCGGAGGAGGAGGAGGAGGAGGGGGAGGAATGATGGGACGGGGTGGAGTTTGAATGGGGACGGAATGGAGCAGCACACATTGTTACAATATGGTTTCAGGGGCTGGTTGGTGGGAAGCCGATATGACTATTGCGGCAACATCTTTTTCATGGGTGGGATAGCGGGCTACATTCAAGAATTTTTTTTTTTCACGAATACACATATTAAATGGTGCCGTCTTTCGAGGTGGCAGCTATCCTCTCCTTTTCAATTGTCCGCCGGACCCTTCTTGCACCGTGATGGTCACTCTGCCGTCGTGCTGTCCCACAGACATTGCACATCTAATCCGAATGGAGATACAGTATCCTCGCTTTCGGCAGGGCCGAGCACGGAGGAACAAGCGTGATTCCCCTTTGGCGTCAAGATATGAGAACATGGAGTAGCCTGGTTGTGTGAGAGGGGGACTTGGTGATGGGCGAGGGAGAGGAAAGGATTTCGGGACATGGATGGATGACGACGAGAAAACAAAACAGATAACGGGCAGGGCGTAGTGCTAGAGATACTCTTATCTGGAGAGATACTGACGAATGAGACATGACTCATTGAGCGAATGAAATTAGTAAACATCTTCACCTCCTATATAAGACCGGGAGCGGGGGACGCTGGCTGCATGTTACCTATCTGCCACACCAGCTATCCGCGTGTTGACTCCAGTGTCGAATACGATATCGGTAGTGATTATGGTGCCTCTTATCATAGTCGTCATTAGGAAGCCTAGAGCAGCCAGAATCGCAGCGCTCAGCCATTGCTCAGTAACCACCTCTTCGTCCCTGTTGGCATTACGCCTGTACGCAAAGCGCAACTCCAAACCATCCGGAAGCCCTCCCCAGTCTGTAGCGCATATTCATTCCCACACATCCGTCGACAGGCCGGTTCACCTGCTCAAATCGGCGGACATCAGAGACCGCTGACGCCATGGGCTGCTGGCGCCATCTCCTCCTATCGTACGCGGCCTGCGCTGGGGCGTGGGAGTTCCCGCAGAAGCCCATCTCGTACCTGTTCGGCCAAGAGCCGGTCCTGGAGGAGGATTGCAGCGTAGACATTATGACGGGCAGCCAGTTCAGCGGCTTGACGACGTACGCGAACCTGCCGTACCTCAACTGCTTCCTGGACGGCGAGGCAAAGGGGAGGCCGTACGACATCGCGATCATGGGCGCTCCCTTTGATACCGTCAGCCTGAACCACCAGGATATCGTCGAAGACCGGCGTTTCCGCGCGCCCCGAAACATTGCGCTAACGTCATACGTAGGGCGTCACCGCGAGACCGGGGGCCCGCTACGGGCCCAGAGGCATCCGAATCGGAAGCATGAGGAAGTATGCGGGCTTCGGATGGAGCGTCTACGATGGTGAGTCCCTGCCGGCAGTCGGGAAGGAAGAGGGAGGACGATGGTTACAACTTCCTTCTAACGACATCCTTTCAGGAAAAAACGCCCTCCAGTCGTGGGCGACGGTGGTGGACTGCGGCGACGTGCCGTTGACAGTGCTGGACAATAAAGTCGCGCTCGCGCAGCTGGAAAAAGCACATACAGTTAAGTGCAGACTACCCTCTCCCGTTCCTTACCGCCACGCACACAGCCAAACACACACACTCCCCGTGCTCCCTACTTGCCTACCCTCTCAACTGCCAATTGCTTACTCGTAGTCGCGCGGACGACGACGAGAACATCTGGACGCTAACACGATCCACGATCCGCGCGGGGGGCGATGTCGCAGGTCGTTTCCGGGAGGCGAGCCACGACCGAGGCGCGCTCGGCGCACCCGCGGATCCTGACGCTGGGCGGCGACCACACGACGACGCTGGCGGCGCTGCGGTCGACGTTCAAGCGGTGGGGGCAGGTGTCTGTCGTGCACTTCGACAGCCACATAGGCAAGTCCTTCCAAGCTGGGGCCGGAGCCGTTCGTGCCTTGCAGTGTGGATGTCGAGGGCGAAGGGAGGGGACAGGGACCAACTGACTCGCGTCGCAGATACGTGGGATCCTATGGTACTGGGTGAGTTGACACCGCGGCGTCAAGCAGAGGCTACCCCGTCCCTACTCCCACGCGGAGCAGAGCAAAGGGTGGCGTTCGCGGATAACAGTACCTAGCTAACCTCTCCGGCACCACTAGGCGGCGTTTCGGAGTACGCGTAAGTACGCCGGCGACGCAGCAGGCCTCAGAAGCAAAATCGCGGCGCCTATCTAGCGTCCGCGAAAGGGCGAGAGAAGAGTATCTAACTAACCGACGGCGCTCCGGGGCCTGCCTCGCTGCGAAACAGGGGCATCAACCACGGGACGTTCCTGCACGTGGCGCACGAAGAGGTGAGCCCGCCCCCAGCCCCCAGACTTCCGCTCCTAGCGCTGACCAGATCGCGGGCAGGGCCTCATCCGCAACACGTCGATCCACGCGGGCGTGCGGGCGCCGCTGGCGCGGCGGCGCGACGACCTGCGCAACGACGCGCGGTGCGGGTTCGTGGCGGTGACGGCGCGGGACCTGGACGCGGGGGGCGCCGCCGGCGTCGCCGCGCGCATCCGCGACCGCGTGCGCGGCAGCGGCGTCTACGTCAGCGTCGACGTCGACGTGCTGGACCCGGCCTTTGCCCCCGGTGAGTTGTTGCCTTGCTCCATCTCCCCCTTCCCCCCTCCCCCCAAACGCCCCGAGAAGAAGAAGAAAAAGAGGGGCGCCGACCGGAGAGGACTGACGCGTGCGCGCGCCCCCCGCAGCGACCGGCACCCCCGAGCCCGGCGGCTGGTCCTCGCGCGAGCTGCTCGCCGTGCTCGACGGCCTGCGCGGGCTCGACCTCGTCGGCGCCGACGTCGTCGAGTTCGCCCCCGCCTACGACGACGCCGGCGAGACGACCGCCCTCGCCGCCGCCGAGGTCGCCTGGTCCCTCCTCGAGCTCATGGTCGAGGAGCCGGCCGCGGGCCCCGGCGAGCCCCAGCCGTGAACACGGTTGCCCCGGCCCCGGCCCCGGTCCCGGTCCCGGCTCTCTTACGTGCGTCCGCGTCGCTACTGCTACAAGGGACGGGCCCATCCAACGGTGTGGGGTGGCACGGCGTTAGACGGGACTGGACTGGCCTGGATTGGATTGGATTGGAATACCACTGTCTGGTCTGTAGCCTAGATTTATGCTAGCTACAGAGAATTGATGATGACCCTACTGAAGAGATGAGAAGGAGGAGGAGGAGGAGGATACGGGGGGTGTGAGAACCGCCAGAGAGAGACGTGAGACAGCTGATCTAGGAGAGGGAAGAAAATGAAACCGTCCCCATAAGAAGAAACTATTCGAAACAACCCGACCTTGACACCGTGACAACCCACTCTATGCACCATGCCAGACTAGAACGTGCAGGATTGTAGGCCGAGAATACTACTCTATCCTTCACATTCACACGCACTCTTGCCTTCGTCTCTTCTTTTATGTACACGAAGTCTCGTTGGTTGGTTGGTACGGGAAAGGGGGGGGGAGGGACGCGCGCTCGGCGGCATGGACTCTCCCTTCTTGGACCCCTCGTGTCCGGGCCCCTCTTAGACCCGATCCAGCTTCCGCCGAAGGTTTCGCGTCCGTTTCATCAGCTTCTTGTACTTCTTCTTCTTCATCTTCAACTTCCTTTGCCGCTTCACGCTGATGGCCACCATGTCAACGCCCTGGTTGCGTGGCTCGTCGCGGAAGCGGAGGTGGCGCAGGGCCATGCGCTCGAGGAACGACCGCGGCGTCGGCGGTTCCTCGACCAGCTTCGGGCTGTGCGCGACGATCCGCACCTGGCCTCGCTCGTCCGTCGTCTCCTCCAGCGTGAACATAGCCTTGTAGACGCGGTGCTGCGGCACGTGTTGCGGTGCCTCCTCCACTGATTTGGCCGTGGCCGTGGCCGTGCCCGCCTCGGGTGAGGCCGCGTTCCCGGGCTGCGGCAGCGGGGGCGGCCGGAACGGCAAGAACTGGCCAGACATGGCGTCCAGCTGGACGTAGACGCTCGACTCGGTGCCGTCCGGGTGCTTGAGATCCATCTTGTGCATCGGTTGGCCGCGGGCATCGACACCCGTCTCGCCGCTGCTCTGAGACTCGAGGCTCATGTTCTGCATGGGCTGCTCGAGCTCGTCGACGGACCGAGAGAGGGTAGACACGACGTCGTTGCACTTATTACTCTTCGAGCGAGGGGCGAAGATTTGAGCGAAGGCATCCTCGGTGATCGTCTTGGGGAAGCTGTGAGTTACGGACATGGGCCGATGTAGGGAGAAGAACGTCGACAGCGCCAATGCTGATGCTCAGGGGCGGATTAGTACCCGGCCGCAGACCTCGCAAGCAGGCGTTTTCATCAGCTTCATTACTAACCTTCCTGCGGCACATGCTGGGTGCTGGGGACGCTGGGAAGCCTCGACTGGAGGTCGGTCCACTCTTTGTTCTTACGCCGTCGCTTCTCTCCAGGCTGTTTAGTCTGAGAAGCCGTGGCGGTGACCTGGCCGTCGGAGTCACCCTTGGGGGAGTCCTTCGGGCTCGAAGGCTTCGACGAAGAGTAGCGACGAGACTGTTGGCAGCATGGGTCGCAGATGAGGGAGAAGACGGCCGGCGCCCGGGCGCTCGCAGGGGTGAGGCTTGATAGTAGCGGTGATTGGGAGGCGGCAGAGACCGCCCGCCGCATCGACGAGGGTAAGATCATGCCTGGGCGTGCCTGGGTACAGGAAATACCCGGGCCAGACTGGACAGACTGGACGTCAGTAAGTGTGATGCGGAGGGAGAGGGCGACGACAGCCGGAAAAGGGGGGGGGGGTTGGAAATTTGAGGCGTGGGTAACGTACAGTGGGACGATGGCAAATGCTGAGGAAGAGGTTTTGAGGGCCGGCAGCTCAGCGGCTTGGATTGGTCTGCCTGCCATCGTCACTTGACTGATAAACCTACTTCCGGGCCGAAGTCAATCCCGAGTCTTAGTCATCTCTAGGACAGTCAGCTGAGCCACGTGCGACCCAACTCCGCCCACATCAAAGCCCCATCTCGTGCCCAACAAGGCGATGTGGCTTACCAGAGAGGTACTCCTGCACCCATATGCAGGTGCCTAGGTACCTAAGGTACCTCACAGGTCGGTGGCATTTGGGACCCGCGGGAGCTCCGGAAAGCCACCCTACACGTACATTAGGTACCCAGGTACCCACCGGTATCTAAGTACCTAGGTACTCAGGTATCCTCGTCGCCATTGTGGTAGGCACATAGGTACGTATAACCCCTAAATGTCTTCGTAATCGCATATAGTGCCTTGTCAACAACACAGCATCTTTAGTAAGCCGCCTTTCCCTTTCCTTCTTGCTTGTGAGAAGTCGTCCACCCGGACTGCTCTCGTTAGGTTCTCTCTCCAACGGACTCTCGTTAGAGGAGAGCACAGCTGGGATACTCATCGTTATAGACAGCGGTATCCCCTTCAATTCGCATCGCTTTGTCGGACGTAGTCTTGGTTCTATTTAGCCACAAGCTATCCGCTCCAGACCTTCCTTCTCACGTGCTCTTCCTCGAATACCGAGTCTCTCTCCACGCCCTGCTGTCTCACTGCCGAGGCCGGCTTGGCAGGGTCGTTGAAAGCCCCCGATGGCGTCGGTTTGCGAACTTCCGGTCGAGATCATCCTGGTGATCGCGAAGCACATCCTGAAGCTCTCAGACCTCGTCGCCTTCTCGGCCGCGAATCGTCGTCTGCATGCCATATTGATGAACAGTCCCGTACTCTTCAGTAGGGTTAACATTTTCGTCCGTAGAGATGCTCTCTTCTGGGCTGCTTACTCGGGTCAGACGAGGATAGCGAGGCTCATTCTGGACACCGGCGTCGACCCGAATTTCTATCGGCTTGGTCCCATAGGCGCCTGGTCCGGCCGGAACCAATACTACCCGTTCAAGCACCGGGGCAGCACCAACATGCGGGAATCCATCGCCCCGGTCTCTACCCCGTATTCTGTCCACATAGCTCTCAAGATTGATGGCACCCTCCGGTCCTATTGGCAGTCTCACCTATTCCGAGGAGGCTGGTGGGCCACCCCGCTGCACCTGGCCGCGTACATGGGACACGATGACATCGTAGGTATGCTGATCGAGAAAGGCGCAAATCTCAGTCTATCCTCGCTCGGAATCTGCCGATGTACGAAGCCGGATTTTTTTCCCCAGAATCTGCCAGCGGGCGAGATTCTCCCCGCCGCGTTGCCGCCTTGGTCCGCATTGCACCTCGCCATCTGTGGCCGGCATATATCTACAGCCCAGTTTATCATTAGCCGCAACGCTCCCTTGCACCAGACCTCACAGCTCTGGCCTTTTAGGGAGGACAGTCGTTCCACGGCCCGGGGCCTCTTGACTGCACTTGGCGCCGCATACCGGTATGGCCGTCGGGTTCTCAAGTCGCTAGTTGGCGCGAGAGACGCTTCCCGCAAGACGGCACTCGATTACTATCGGCATTGGAATTGCTACCAGTGGCTGATTGCGAAAGAATGGATTATCCAGCAACCAAATAGTAATCATTCTCTACATCCAGATTGGCACCACTGCTCTTCCGACGTTAGTTTCCTTGTTTTCTTCCGCGGGGTATCGTATTTGGTGCAGAGGATGGGCAGCATCCCCGATCCCTGCTCTTGGTCCCGTGTAAACACTGCTGATATGGCGCCTACAGACTAACTATGAAATCAACAGGCCTGTAGACTTATTTCCTACGGAATCGACGTCCAAGCAGCATGGAGTAGCACCCGAGGGAAACCACTCATTCATGTCTGTCTTCAACAACTATGGGGGCCAATACCAGATTGGCGCAGTGGCTGCGTTTCCTTGAAGAAGTCCGACAGGGATTTCGTGGAAAACGGCCTGCTTCTCCTGAAGATGCTCATAACCAATGGGGCCAATATCGAAGAAAGGGATCAGCATGATCACAACACTACCCCTCTCATTGTCGCAGCTCGGAACGGCGCGTCGTCGGCCGTGAATTTGCTAATATCACACGGCGCGGATGTCAATGCGGCAGATGATAAGGGCTATACAGCTCTCCATGGAGCTTGTGTAAGTCTAAATATGGATATTGTCACTAAGCTTGTCGAAAACGGGACCCGGATAGATGCGACTACTAACACGGGGATGTCTCCTCTCTGCACGTTGTGTCTCGTCGCCGGCGTTGATCAGTACCATCAGTCGCTGAACATAATACAATTGCTTCTCAGTCATGGCGCCAACCCTATGCTTCGCGTTGACCCCTCTAGCATGCGCAGGTCTCCCTTGGAGATTGCGCTCATGCGGTCGAGATCAAGTGCAGCCGAATTGCTCCTATCAAGCTGCGACTCTACATCAAGCGACGAGGGGGTCATCTGGTCCCTATTTGCAGCGGTACTCGTATCCCCCGACCCTACTTGCCTTAAGCTGGTCCTGTCGTTTGACAAGCAGAGGATCATCTTAACAAGCGACCAATCTCTCCTCCGCCTCCTTAGAAGCAGTAGAAACACGTCTGAGATAGCGATTCTTCTTCTTGACGAAGGTGCCCCGTGCGATGGGGCCTGCGCGGAAAATGGCGGAAATACTATCTTCTGGGCCGTTCAGAATCAAAAAGGGGACGCGCTGCTGAGACGACTCTTAGGCGGCGGCGCAAATCCTAACGTCATCTTCGAGAGCCAGGCGAGGAGACGCTGCCCGCTGTTCCAAGCTTTGCAATTTAAGGACCAAAGGAAGAGGAGAACATACGTCAAGCTCTTACTAGAGTATGGGGCTAGTATCGACCTTAGTCTTGGTCCCAGTGACGACTTTGCTTCGTCTTGTTTACGCACAGCGCATCATAGACTGCTTCGCAAGATCGAAAGCGTAAGCGATCTCCTGTTTGACGCTCGACACCTTCGGGGTGTACCTGAGATCCAGCAACTGTTATATCTGAACTTGGCGTGCAAGTTGACACACGTGAGGATTTTACACACGCTGCTATCAGCTGTGTCTGATGCTACGGCTCGGAAATTCAGGACTAGGCCCACAGATGCAATTCCCCTTGTATCGCTTCTGGACGTCACTGGATACCCCAGGGGCGCCAATCTCACGGTAGACCATATGGACATGGCCATCGATGCAGTACTCCTTTTCACCCAGGGTCGCGCGGGTTGGGCCTCGGCACACTTTGATGATCGGCGTCGCAATGTCGACATCCTGCGGAATCTCATGGCCGTGACGGTTAGCAGTACCCCGACGAGTATCGGCGCCGCTTGGTGCTTGAGAAGAAGGGTTAGCATTGCCGGCACGGGCAATGAGCGTTGCGAAGTCACAATATCTGCGACGTTAGATTCAATAAGATACCCACGAGGGATGAAGCTACACGACTTAGGCCTCAGGATTCGGAAGACGTCCAATATATATTGAGAGGGTACGGATATCATCGCGTACAGTTCATCAATATTTGGTGCTTGCGACATAACTCCGTCTTTTGCAGCGCGTCAACCCTCACGACGAACAACTTTGGTTCAGATTTATGACCAAGAGCCAGCGGCATGGGTGCCCCGCCACTAAAACCATCTCTAGAATTGGAAAGGCGAGCTAATACTGAATTTCTCTACATGCCTAACGGAGATTATCATGGGACTAGATCTTTCTTATTTTCGAATTTCTACGAGGAGATTGGTTCTAATGGAGGGGGTTGGGTCTCTAATGCCAGATATTGTTGAATGGAGCATTTCTCGGGGCGAACCTATCGGCACACTCTTATACAAGCCTTATACCACTTGAACCGCTGATTTGTATCCAAAGAGGTCAATATTGTGTATATGCCGACTACAACACATACCCAGAAGGGACAGGTTAGTGCCCGATTCGTTGGATGATGTCCCCCTATTCCCCCGCCCCCTCTTCCTCTCCGCACCGCCGCCAACGAGACCCCACGGGATATAAAGCTATCCGCGGCATCTGGGGCAGGTCGACAAAGGCGGCGCCTCATGAACTGACTCTCGATCTACTTGCGCCGTACGGCGGTCGAAGCTCACGCTAAATATATCAGCCTAGTAATCACAGCACCGTCTCGACAGCCTTCCCAAGCCAAGAGGTTACGGCAATCCTATGAATACGCAAATATGGTTGCAAGACGTATTAAGACGGCCGCCCTCGTGGCAAATACCACAGTGAATAAGAAAGTATCTGACATCGTAAAGGGCGTAATTGATGATGTCCGGGCAACCGGCGACAAGGCCGTGAGGTCCTATTCGGAGAAATTCGATAAGTGGTCTCCGCCGTCCTTCAAGCTCAGCGAGAGCCAGATTCAAGAATGTATAGCGAAGGTGCCCCCGCAGACCATAGCGGACATCATAGAGGCGCAGAAGAACGTCCGGACCTTTGCCGAGGCCCAGAGGGCGAGCATAAAGGACTTCGAGATCGAGATCCAACCAGGCGTCTTCCTCGGCCAGAGAAATAACCCCATCGCCACGGCCGGCGCCTACATACCCGGCGGCCGATACCCACTGCTGGCGTCCGCGCACATGACCATCCTAACCGCGAAAGTGGCCGGCGTGGAGCACGTCATAGCGTGTACGCCGCCCATCGCCGGGCAGGTGCCCAACGCGACGGTCGCGGCGGCGCACTTGGCGGGGGCCGACGAGATCTTCCTGGTGGGCGGCACGCAGGCGATTGCGGCGATGGCGCTGGGAACGGAGACGATTCCGAAGGTGGACTTCGTGGCGGGGCCGGGGAACGCGTTCGTCGCGGAGGCGAAGCGGCAGCTGTTTGGGGAGATCGGGATCGACCTGCTCGCGGGGCCGACCGAGGTGCTGATCGTGGCGGACGGCGCGGCGGACCCGCTGACGCTCGCGACGGACCTGCTGTCGCAGGCGGAGCACGGGCCGGACTCGCCGGCGGTGCTGGTGACGACGTCGGAGGCGGTCGCGCGCGCCACCGCCGCGCGCGTCGACGACCTCCTGCGCCGGGACCTGCCGACGGCCGAGCTCGCCGCCGCCTCCTGGCGCGACTACGGCGAGATCGTCGTCGTCGACGGCGGCCTCGACGAGGCGTTCGCCGTTGCCGACGCCTACGCCAGCGAGCACGTCCAGATCCTGACGCGCGAGCCGCGCCAGGCGCTCGAGAAGATGCGCAACTACGGCGCGCTGTTCCTCGGCGAGAAGACGTGCGTGTCGTACGGCGACAAGGTACGTGCCCCTAGATGCACCCTCCCCTCCCCCCGCCGTAGGTGTTTACTCTGCTTGCTCTCCGCGAGCCGGCGTGGCTAAAGACTATATATATATGCCTCCACGCGCAGTGCATCGGCACGAACCACGTCCTCCCGACGCGCAAGGCCGGCCGGTACACGGGCGGCCTCTGGGTCGGCAAGTACCTCAAGACGCAGACGTACCAGGAGGTGGTGGACGAGCGGGCGAGCGGCGAGCTCGGGCGGCTCTGCGCGCGATGCTCGCGAGCCGAGAGCTTCGAGGGCCACGCGCGGTCCGGCGACCTCAGGGCGCACAAGTACCTCCAGGACTCGTACGCCTGGATCAGAGAAGGGGAGTAGGCGAGATCTACCGCTTGGACAATCTTCTCATCGGTCCTGGATGCTCGACATCGGGCCGAAGCCGCCGCGGGATGGGTGAGGAGGGGCGGAACCTCGGGGTAGCTCCAGGTACACAACTGACGCGCGCACCCAGCCTAGGAGCGTTCTCTGCGTTCAGCCCTCTGGAGGGTTCTATATTCGTATACTCGTCCGTTCTATGTTATGCTTGTACATTCTCATGCCCCGCCCGTAGCCATTATTACCCAGTAATTTCCCGCGCCCGGGGACCCAGCATCCGTGAACGCCGGCTCCGCTGTGCCTGCCCGCCCCATCCCGACGCCATATCGTTGTTTGTTTGCTGTGCGCACGTAAATACAAGGTCTCTCACGCTGCCGACTCGCACGGCGCAGATCCGCACCACCAGCCTATCCGTCCGTCCGTCTGCCTGTCCGTCACAGGGCGTACAGGGCGAGAGCCGCGGCCGCGAAGGCGCCGAGGCCCCACGACTCCGGCGCCGAGAGCCCGGCGGCGCCGCTCTCGGGCTCGCCGCTGCTCATGGTGGGCAGCGAGGCGCGCGACGGGCCGACGATCTTGACGCAGCTCAGCGACGCGTCGATCTCCGTCACCAGGCTCTGGGCGCCCGTCGGGTAGAAGACGGTCAGGATGGGCGTGATGGCCCAGGCGGCGCTCTGGGTGTCCTGGACTTGGTTGGTGCCCTGGACGGAGGTGCGATTCGGTCAGCGCGGGTTCGCGTGGGGGGGTGTCGGTACCAGGGGCACGAGGGGGGGGGGGGGAATTAGGATGGAATTGGGGGAGGGGGGAGGGAATGGAACGGTGTGTGCGTCGGGGGTAAACGTACCACTCTCTCGAACTCGGCGACTAGCGTGAGCCGGTCCTCCTTCGGGGTGATGGGCCAGCAGCTCGAGGCCGACTGCTTCTCCGGCGAGATGCGCTGCTCCGCGTCCGAGCCGGTCAGAGCTGCAGTTCGCCCGGGGGGGAGGGGGCGAGTTAGCCGCTGCTTCTCAACGGGACAGAGGGAGGAGAGGGCGAGGAGGGGGAGGGGGGGGGACTCAGACGTACCGACGGCGTCCATGTCGGTCAACAGGCCCCGGACGGCGGGAAGGCAGGCGTCGATCGTGTTGTTGGCGAGGTCGCGGCGGATGCGGGCGCAGCCGGTGAAGGTGTCGGCAGGGCGGCCGTCGCCGGTGAAGCCGGCGGCGACGGCGCGGGCGCGGTCGAGGATGGCGGAGACGCACTCGGCGCCGAGGGCGTCGGCGCAGGTGCCCTGGCCGGCCTCGCTGGGGCCGTCGGGGCCGAAGGCGAGCCCCTCGGAGAGGCCGTGCACCAGGATGGCGCAGCCGCCCGTGTCGGTGCTGCCGGCGACGTCGAGCTCGGGCGGCTCGCCGAGGAAGTACGCGCGGCGGAAGTGCCGCCCCGCGTCGTCGTCGGCGATGCTGAAGCCCTGCGTCCACGACAGGCCCTGCAGCGCCGACGCGCTCGTCGGCACCCGCGTCAGCCCGATCAGCGGGTACGAGCCCACGTCCGCCACCGTGCAGTTGTCCGTGGTCGCCACCTGCGTGTTCGCCGCCGGGCACTCGAGGTCCGCGCAGCCCACGATCGTCTGCCTCAGGTCCTGGGCCTGCGCCGCCGAGGCGGAGGCCAAGACGACGGCGGCGGCGACGGCCTTGCTGAGATCTCTCATCATGTCTCCTTTTCTTCCTCCGTTCGCGCTAGCTAGGTTAAAGAACGGGCGGGATTTGATAGACGTTTGCTTGTGTGAGAGGACAGAGCGGTTGTTTGGTTTCTGGTCGGGGATGATGGACTGAGGGAGTAGGGGAAGAAAAGAAGAAGAAGAAGAAGGTGATGGTACGAGAAGGGCAGGTGTCGCGAAGATATCTATCGGCCTTACTGAGGGAACAAAGCTCGGAAACTCGCCGGGTTGAGGTGGCAAGCGGACGTGGCTCGGCCAACAGTTTGTTGTTTGTCGTGACAGATGCCACCCGGTGCAACTGTGCCGTGTCCTTCACAGGGGACGAAAGTGGCAGTCTAATGTTAAGTAGAACCGGAGAGTTGGTGACGCCACTCGATCTGGCAAGTTGGTGACAAGGGGGAAAGCCTTCTAGTACGTGACGAGGTCTTCGGCGCATATGGTAACGACGGCGTATGGCGCAGCCTGTTAGAAACCGTAGCATCAGGGGTGGATGACCTTCCTGGAACGATCATGACCCATGTCGGACTAGACTTGGCTCATTTCCCCGGCCACGGCCACGATGTTAGTCGGGATTATAATTAGAGGATGCCAAGGTAATGGGCTTGACTGCCAGCCAATTGCCGGCACTCACTCGCGCCGAAAGCAGAGAATGGTCGTACGAGCTGACGGCGTTGGCGAGCTGGCGGTTGATAGCCTTTTGGCCTCAGGTGTAGTAGGGGGGATCCTTGGTAGTATCATCTCGTGATCTCCTGCACCGATACCAGCAGGTAGTACTCATAGCAGCATGCATGATAGCCTCATCTTGCGGCTGAAACACTGCCACCCCCGGCACCGGTATACTCAACATCAAACACGGCGATCGACGACGCGATTCTAGTTTGCATAATAATAGTAGGGCTAGATATTCACGGCTATAACCTTGTTTCACCACTCCGTTACCTTACTCATCCCCCTCAAAACGGTCGACCTACCTCATCGAGATAGCCTACTCGCAATTTCGTACAATGTCGCGGCCCTATACGGCTTCTAGAGCAAGGCACAATGGCTGCGGGGAAGGTCAAAGCAGGTAGAAACACGAGGGAGCGCAACCGGATAGAGCAAAGTTTCAGTTTCATGGCGATCCTCCGTCCGTATAACCGCCCAGTGTTAGATAATTCAAGATGGACGAGCAGGAGGAGACAGGCCGGCCCGATGTAGGTCTTGTCCAACAGAAAGGAATCCGTGGCGTTCCGCGGCTTTTCGATCCCCTGAGAATTCGAACCAGACGGCCATGTCCGACCTAGGACTTTCTCAGCCGCGATGGCGGCAGGGGCAGCGGGACTTGGCCAGTCCCCCGTGAATCGCAGCGTGTATCCCGAGTTATAAATCCCCTTCCGTATCCCACAGAATCCACGATACCAGAACACCACCATCATCGGGTTCGTGGTTCTTCAGTGTCTGGTTCTTTGGAAGCTTCGGCATCTTACATTCTTTTAGTGATCCGGGATCTGCGCATTTATCACACTCTTTTTCCTCTTCAGACGTTAGTACACATCACACGTTCATTCCATTCTACACAGTTCCGGCAGTAGGGTTACCTATACATAATGGCGGGCGTAATCGAAGCCATCGGCATTATCTCGGGCCTGCTGGGCATCGTCCAGTTCGGCATCGACAACTTTGCCGACCCCAAAACGGTCGGCTCGACCATCCGCATCACCGTCGGCCTCGACACTAAGGGAGGCCTCAACAACGCCGGTGGCGACCTGCCCGACGTCCGGCTTTGGAATGAAGCCGGTGACTTCCTCGGCATCAAGGCGGACCCGGGCAAGGTCGAGCACGGAGGCTTCAAGGACATTACTATCAACCACAAGCGCGACTCGACCCAGCAGCCGACGTACACGCTCTTCTCCGCCAACAACGACGCCATCTGCATCGCCGCGGCGTCCATCACGTGGCCCAACGGTGACAAGTACTCGTGGGTGGGCGACTGGGGCCGGCAGTGCGGCGCCAGCTGGTACTTCTCCAACGTCTTCATCAGCGGCACCAACGTGAAGCCAGACTGCATGTGGATCGACGGCAACAACGACCAGCCGCAGACGGGCTTCCAGATCCACTGGCCCGAGTTCGTCGACCGCGACGGCAACCAGGTGCCGGCGGACGAGGAGGGCAAGCTGGCCAAGATGGACTACCTCTGCACGGCCGGCCCGCCGTTCAAGCTGCACAACTTCCCGGACAAGGACCCGCGGGGCATCACGTACTGGGTCATCAACAACAACAAGAAGCGGTCGGACTCGGCGGACTCGGATGGCGAGGTGGACATCGCGTACGGGCCGGCGAAGCACCCGTCGTCGGCGCGCTTCCGGAACAACTTGTCGTCGTTCGCGGCCAGAAGCAACGGGACGACGAACGCGTGGGCGAACAGGCTGGTGCTGGACAACAGCGCGACGCACCCGGCGCGCGCGCTGTGCGAAAGCGAGACCTCGGCCGGTCCCGACTTCCTCAACGTCGAGGACGGCACGTTCTGCCGCATGTCGGACAAGACGCTGTGGGCGATCTGCGGCACGCCCGGCGCGGACGCGGCCAACTGCTTCGATAAGGACGCGATGCGGCTCGTGGTCGGCGGCCTCGCGGCCCGCGACTCGCCCTACGAGAACGTGGTCGACTGGACCGCCGGCGCCAACTAAAGGCTGCCCTTGGCTTGGCGGCTGCTGCCGGGGCTGCTCGGGGTGTTATATATAGATATATATATCTATATGCCCGTGAGGAAGAACCGACCTGACAGGGTTGCGGCGTGGCCTTCTCAACCACACGCGACGTACATACATTCGGAGAACAAGGCAGAAAAGAACGCAAAAAAATTAGACCACCTACCCGGAGCGGCATCGGCTTCCACTGTATATTTATTTCTTTGTGTATCATGATGAGAGACCGCCGGGACTGGGGACTGGAGTTGGATCTGGTTCAGGATAATGACGGGAAGAAGTGGCGGGACCGGATGGAGAGGGAGGCGGGAGAGGTGTACATATGTAAATTGCGTATGCTTTTTGATTATTTACCTTAGGTACCCCTATCTATAATGCAACACGCTGATGATTCAACATGTTCCCTCACCTAACCCACCGACACGTGCCAACCCTGCTATAATGCTGCCTTGGAGGCACTTGCACGGGTACCTCTTCAGTGCTAATTCTCAGCTGACATCCCTTACCTAGCACATATATAAGTACCCCAAGTATGCCGTGCTCTCGCTAAGTAAGCCCGCGTATATTGCATTTCAGCAACAGTAATGTTGATGGTGATTTTCTTTATTTCCATGGTTCCATTATATATAGGTAGGTAACACATCAAATTTCCGCACCGTGGTCTGATTTGCGACAGCACGTATCCCCGGAGAAGTGGCTGCAAATAACGCCGTTGAACCACGCCAGAGACGGGCATGGTTTGGTACCTTGGGTACTTGGCCATATTAGTTGCCATTTCAGTACTGCCTACCTCCTGTAGGTACCTACCTGTACCTTGGTAGGTACCTAAAGCCGGAAACGTCCTCCACCACCAACTCCCCGCTGCATCGCGAACAAATACCTACCTACCCATCTACCCGCTGCCATCACCCACCACGCCTTCAGAATATCACACATACCAATTACCGATCGTCCATTGTTAATTACGCGGAGAATCATGGCCCGCCTACCATCAGCTCTGATGCCCCCTACTCTCTCTATTTGCGACACAGTCGCTCATAGGCCGCGCGAGAATTGACCGCAGAATCCCTTCACGTATCAACGCCACCGTGGGCGACATCCGCCGCCGCCGCCATCGGCCGCAGAGGCGTGCGATCGGCGTCGCCCCTGATGTCATCGGCTCGATGCGCCCACCAGTATCCCCCCTTATAAAGCCGGCGACATGGCAAACCTCCCCGTTCTGCCGTCTACCGAACGCGATCACAGGATAGCCCAGCTAGCCAGCCTAGGTACATCTCGCAGCAGCACCCAATACGCTTATCGAGTCCCGTACCCCTGCACGCCATGTCTTCGATCGATGTCACAAAGATTCCTGCTGCGGCCCGCGACCCGATCCCGCCCGGATCGCTCGTCGTCGTGACCGGTGTCAATGGCTTCGTTGGCAGCCACGTCAAGGTCACCAACGAGAGGGCCGAGGCGCTGCTGCGGAGGCTCGCCGGCCGCGGTTGGATCAGCTTGGAGGAGAGCGTACGAGATACGGTCAAGAGTCTCGCCTAGCCGGGCGGAAAGATAGGGTTATCAAGGGTGCTTGTCCGCTTTGTGAATGGAGGTGTAGGTGTAACTAGGTCCCAGCTATTCCCCACCCATCGCCGAAGGTTCTCGTATAGTTAGTACATAGATACTACCTGTCAGTCCCACGAGACCCCTGCTTCCGAGACTTGCGTGTGTAGTGGCACATCTTATCTGCATGACGGGCGGATGGCTGGATGAGAAGGTCGTACAGCTATACCCGTAGTGCGTCCGGGCGAGTGCGTCAAGGTGTGTAAGTGAAGAGGCGACATTGCTAAGCACGGAGCAATGGGACAAATTTGTCCCTCGCCGATCGCTTGCTAGTGCTAACGGGAGACGGGATTCTGGAAGCCATTCGCCCATCCCGCCCGACGATTTCGTAAGGTGGGCCGTGTTTTCCGTCGGGACGGGGCAACGGTGATGATACAAGTCGGACGAACAGTGGAGAACCGAAGCCGGCGAGCCTCGGAATACCCCCAGGCGAGAGCGGGGTTTGGCACTGGCCAGTGGACTGATTCCATCAGGCCAACCCGGATGGCGTCATCCCCTTGGTCAAACGCCAAATGAGCATCGCTCCGGTCGCCCTCCGTACCTCCATTACCTATATCAACCCTGCCATCCTGCTTCGTCGCCATATCTATATTATCTATATATATATGTGTGACAGTAGGTATCAGATGCCGCGGACGCACCTACATCCGGGAGGGATCGCTAGGTAGTTAGTTCAACTCGTCAATAGCTCAGTCCCACGTCGTCAGCACACATCGTCAAACACACGAGCTTGTCGGACATACCACCCAAAATGGCAACCAAAATCTTCCTGTGAGTAGGAATTCCCCAAGCCCGCCCCTATCGCTTGCAGAAGTCAAGGCGATCAACATGGCTTACCAAACTCGACAAAAGCACCGGCGCTACTGGTACGCATTGCTGCCCGTCCCCCCGTCTAGCAGCAACTTGGTCGCTGCCAGGTGGCGTAACTGTGACCACACAACTAAACGCATATCCTGCCGGGACGTAAACAAAAATAGGCTACATCGGCGGCGAGACCCTGTATCAGCTGGTCGAGGCCCATCCCGAGTACGAACTCACCCTGCTCGTGCGCAACGAGGAGCGTGGCAAGCCCGTCGCCGCCGCGTACCCCAAGGCTCGCCTCGTCTACGGCTCCCTCGATAGCGCCGACGTCATCGAGAGAGAGGCTGCCGCCGCTGACATTGTCATCCGTACGTGCACTTTGTTCGTATCGTATCTCGCCTTACTGTCCCTACCAGTAGGGCGACCACGGGCGCCTGCAGACGTATACAAAGAGCCCAGGACCCCCCCCCCCCCCCAAAAAAAAAGATTCGCACGCTAACGATACTGCCTGCAACCCGTAGACACGGCCGACTCCTCCGACGACCAGCCCTCGGCCCGCGCCATCGCCAAGGGTCTCGCGGCCGGCCACTCGGCCGAGCGGCCGGGGTACTGGATCCACCTGTGCGGGACAGGCATCCTGACGTGGTACGACCTGGCGCACTCGCGGTTCGGGGAGGCGCCGCTGGCGGAGCAGGCGTACGACGACATCGGCTCGATATCGGAGATCCTGTCGCTGCCGCGCGACGCGCCGCACCGCGACGTCGACGAGATCGTGCTGGGCGCCTCCGCCGCCGGCTACCCGGCCGTGCGCACCCTCATCTTCTGCCCCCCCACCATCTACGGCCGCGGCCGCGGCCCCGTCAACCAGCGCAGCGTCCAGGTCCCGCGCATCGTCGAGTACGCGCTCCAGCGCGGCTTCGCCCCCGTCCAGGGCGCCGGCCTCTCCGAGTGGGACAACGTCCACATCCGCGACGTCGGCGCCTTCTTCGTGCGCGCCGTCGCCGCCGCCCTCGACCCCGCCACCCGCGACGACCCCGAGGTCTTCGGCCCCCGCGCCTACTTCTTCCTCGAGAACGGCGACCGCCACAAGTGGAGCGACGTCGCCCGCTGGGTCGCCGACGAGGCCGCCCGCCGCGGCCTGCTTCCCGAGCCGGCCGTCAAGACTGTTGATGATGTGCCCTCGCTGGGCACAAACTCGAGGGGCGTTGCCTCCCGCGCGAGGAAGTACTTTGGCTGGGAGCCTAGGGGCCCGAGCCTCAAGGATGAGATCCCCGACGCTGTTACCGTCGAGGCCGAGAGGTTGGGCAAAGTCTAATTGAGTAGGTAGGAGATTAGGTCTAGGCCGAAAGACGACAAGAAATTATAATGCTGTTTGTCTTCCGTCACGCGGTGGCTGTCGTGTGCATCTGCGATAGTAGCGTAACAGCACGGGTGACTTAGGCAGGAGGTGACCTGCGGGCCCCTGGAACTAGAGGGCCCTATTTACCAGAAATACGAATAGTAAGTTTCGGAGCGGGACTTTCAGTAAGGACGAACTATCTGTCTGTAGTCCTTTAAGGCATTGAGGCCATCTATTCGGGGACCTACGGGGAGCGTACGCGTATCTATGGGCAAGCAATCAGGGGTACTCGATATCGAAGTAAACCTTGACTTCGACTTCGTTGCTCCAACCAGCCTTGAGACCCATCTTCTTCCATGCCGTCTCGATGTCGACATTCAGCACACGGTTATCGATGGTGTTGACAGAAACCGCGCGCAGCGGTATCGGCTGTCCCTGTATTGTAACCATAAAGTCCCTCTCGATTGACATGTCAGGAAGGCTCGAGATGTAGACCCCTTCCCACATCAGTTAGCTTCTTTCCCTCGCCTTCGTGTGGGCGAAAAACGACTTACCGAGGACTCCCAACGCCTTCAGTCGCGCATCCAAAAATACCCTGCCAGTCTGCAGCAGCTCAAACTGGCTAGTGGTAATAGCAGCCGCTCCTGTCATCTTCTCGATGAGGCCGAGGTTGGCGACATCTACTTCGCCGTTCGTCTCACTGTCGAACTTGGTCACCGGAAAGGCGGTAAAGATATCGTACCCTCTAGTGTCCAGGGAGACTGCGATAATGGCGTTCGAAGAGCTGGGTTGCACGACGGGTGTGACGAGGCCGCTAGCATGAGCGCGGACGACGTATCTCGCCGAGTCGACAACTCCGGGGAATCGAGACAGCGGGATAAGTTCTTGTAAAGATTGTCGAGAGATGTTGAAGACGCCTAGTATTGGGGTTCCGGTTACGGCTCTGCCGTTGTAGCTCCCGATTTTGAGGATTGAAAGCTCGTCATAGCCTGTGTAAGCGTCGATGGTTTTACCCACCACACTTGGCCGGAATATCACCGTCTTTCCTCGCGGAGTCGGTCCAGTCATTTGGTTAATTATATTGATGTCATGCTTCCCGGGAATATCGGTGATGTAGATCGGCCCGCCGCTCAGGCACCGCGCAGCGGCGTGGAAACCGGCAAATTCGTGGTTAGTTTGGAACATATCCCAGTCCGGCAGGGTATTCAGGTGCTGTGTGAACAATGTGTTGTAGGCATTCGCGAAGATATGCCATGGGTGGGAATCTGGAACATCAGGATAGAAATCGGTCGAGTTGCGCACGAGTAATGGTGGCCGGTTTCGCGGAAGCTGCTGGTAGAACAAGATCTGTGGCGCTTGGGACATGCAAGAGATGGCTTTGATGCTGAAATGCCTGAGAGTAGATATCATCCAGGCATCCAGGTACGCATCGGTAAGTTCACGGCGATCTTGGGCAGAAACCCAGGTGTCCAGCATGTATTGGGCATCGGCCTTGACACCGTCCACCCCGCAATCAGACAGGAAGCGGTAGAAGTCGTCGTAGAACCTTCGAACGTCTTCTTTGGCAATAACAGTGATCGGTCCGTTGACATTAGAGTCGGCTCGGTTGACCTGCACTGTGTTGTATTTCTTGGCGAGGCCTCCTGTGCTAGATATGCCTCCCCAGTACCCGAGCAAGGCGTGCCAAACCGCAACGTGCTGGATGCTCGGATGTTTCGCGCGGATCCGCAAGACTGTCTCTTTCAACCCTAGGGGGAATGTTTTGGGCTCAGCCTCGAATCCGTTCCAACCGTACTGAGATTGGTCCTGGCCTCGATAATCGATGTCCTGCCAGTTGTCGTCTATGATGAGGCTGCTGATATTAATGCGTGATTTCGCTAATGCCTCGACGGCCTTGATGATTTTCTTATCACTCAAGCGCTGGCCCAGGCCATTCCAGGTGCCTACTCGCGGTTTAGCCCTGGATCGCGAAGACGATTGACTGACATGCATGCTCACAATATCCCAGACCGTCGTACCAGTTTTCATACCATTCAGGTCTTACATCTTCGCTTAGGCTCTGAAGCTCTCGCGATAACTCATCATGTCCAACTCTGGTAGCTAGGATAACAGTTCGGGCGTGGTACATCACGGCCGCGATGGCGCTCTCGAAGTTGTCACCAACGGCTGCCAAGACGAGTCCCGAAGAACGGCTCCCGTTATCATTACGTATCTAGAAGGATAAGCATAAGACGGTTAACGCAGCGTGGGTAGATCGCGTCGGTACTCACATGTAACTTCACGGAACCAGCGCCGGAGCTGCGGAAGAGCGTCGTTACGTTCGCTACACCACTAACCCCCAGCAAGACTAGATGTTTTCCTCGATGGTTTAGAAAGGAACACACGACGGCATCTTTATCTAGGCTGAACGAAGTACTACTGTGCCTAGGGCCTAACCACGGTGATCCGTGACGAATAATGGCAAAGTATCTACTAGAGAGTCAGCGACGTGGCCACACTAACGCCCTCAAGCCGACACGGGACGGCATACCGTAGGGAACCACCCCAAGGCGTTCCCAGGTCCACATCGGCGTACGCGGACTGGTCGCCTACAGCGGGGTCGACGTCGGCTTCGATAGACCAAAGCTCGGTGTGTGGGGTTTGGCTTGCGGCAGCGGTAACCCTCAAGTCCGGATTTAGGCCGTGGATGATATCAGAGAGATCACCTCCCATCCGGCTACGAGGCTGGGGGGCTTCGATAAGGACGACCCCATCGTGTATGCCTGACAGATCGCGGGCCCACCTCCAAGGGTGATCAGGGCCGCTGCGGAACTTGAGAGTAAAATTCAGGGGCGAAGATACGAAGAAAGAAGTACGAAAGTACAAAAAGGCTCGCGAGGCAGGGGGAGCCCGGAGCAGTGTCGGCGACTCGCTGGCCCGAGTGCGCTGCAACAACTTCTCGGACCAAACACCGTCGGTAGAAGAGCGCCAGACGGCGACCTCCCAGGCGTCTCCAGCGCGCGACTTGTCGACTTCTAGCAGGGAAAAGAACTCTATAGTATTTCCTCGAATCTGGGTAACCTGCCCAAGCGGCGGAAAACTCGAGATGCCGGCCTCCATCCCGACGGCCAGCGTGAGTAGGTTACCTAGGTTCAGGTAGCAAAAGCTGGGGAGGATCGCGGCATAGGCACAGACGACACGGATCTTGTCGGAATCGCGGTCACCTCGAGAAATAGCTGTCAGCAACCCCCGGGCATTTTACTCATCCCACCCTGGAAGCGTGAGCGGACGCGGGGTAGTAGACCGCTCCGATTACCCAGGTGGGTGGGGTGCCTAGGCAGGAAGGCGGGCAAGAATTTGTTCTCGTCCTCTCGCGGGCGAACGAGATTCCACTCAGAAATGCAGCATGACAGGCACCGACGATTGGACGCGGACGCGAGCACAGCGGCGCCGGGTTTGGCTCCGTAGAACTGGAGGGATGACGTCCACGTCGACGAGTTGAAGTTGGGATGGAGAGGGACAGACAGGGGGGGGCAGTACCTGGCACGTAGGTAACAGCTCGCGGCTGGCAAGCGGTAGATGGTCAGCTGGCACGTACGGCTCCAAGCTGCCAGCCAATCGGCGGTTGATTATTCTTTTGTCATCGGGCGCACCGCCACACATGACCGCGGGCGAGGCTGGAGAGTGGGAGGGTGGCCCACAGGTACCCGGAATTTCCCACATGCCCGCCCAACTCCAGGTCACCCGCCGCAAATGCAGGCTCGGGCCATACCAAAATTTGAGCTTTCCTGTTAGCCGAGATCGAGTCCCTCATTCCTCACCAAACCGCTCAACCGCCGTCTATCTCGTCTTCACTCTCCCCTCCACGCACCAGCATGGCGTCCAGGAGACTTGCGTTGAACCTCGCCCAGGGCGTGCGCAGCCGCGCTGCCAATTCTGCCCTTCGCCCGCTGAGGAGAGGGTTCGCATCGCCTGTCCCGTCTCCCGTCGGCCCCAAGACCCAGACCACCACCCTCAAGAACGGCCTGACGGTACGTCCTCTCTCCCTCTCTTCCTCTGCCAATTGCGCCGCTTATGCCTTTCCTGGTCTTCCACTAATAGTTGCTACCTAGGTCGCGACTGAATACTCGCCTTGGGCGCAGACTTCGACGGTGGGTGTATGGATCGACGCTGGCTCGAGGGCCGAGACCGACGAGACCAATGGGACGGCGCATTTCCTAGAGCACCTCGCCTTCAAGGTACGAATCGAGCAACCATGGCACTGTCTCGTAGCGAGCAACCCTCCCTGACGACTCTCTTAGGGCACTCAAAAGCGAACGCAGCAGCAATTAGAGCTCGAGATCGAAAACATGGGTGCCCACCTCAACGCCTATACTTCGGTGCGTGAAATATGTTACCGTGCACAGGCAATATTGTCACAGGTCTCGACTTACCTTTATCTGCATTCAGCGTGAAAACACCGTCTACTTCTCCAGAGCATTCAATTCCGACGTCCCCCACTGCGTCGACATCCTCGCCGATATTCTCCAAAACTCCAGGCTCGAGCCCTACGCCATCGAGAGGGAACGCGATGTCATCCTCCGCGAGTCTGAGGAGGTTGAGAAGCAGCTCGATGAGGTAGTCTTCGACCACCTTCACGCCACCGCTTACGCCCACCAACCCTTGGGCCGTACCATTCTAGGGCCAAAGGAGAACATCCGCGACATCACCCGAACCGAGCTGACCAACTACATCAAGACCAACTACGCAACCGACCGTATGGTTCTCGTCGGCGCCGGTGGCATTCCTCACGAGAAGCTCGTCGAGCTGGCCGAGAAGAACTTCTCAAGCCTCCCCACGACGTCGCCTCACAACGAAGCCTATATCCTGTCTAAGAGGAAGCCCAACTTCATCGGGTCAGAGGTTCGAATCCGGGACGACGCGATCCCCTCGGCCCATATCGCTCTCGCTGTAGAGGGTGTAAGCTGGAGCGACGATGACTACTTCACCGCCCTGGTCACCCAGGCCGTCGTCGGCAACTATGACAAGGCGCTGGGTAGCGCACCTCACCAGGGCAGTAAGCTAAGCACCTTTGTCCACCACAACGACCTAGCCAACAGCTTCATGAGCTTCTCCACCAGCTACAGCGATACGGGGTAAGCCTACGCCAGCGAATCCACGCTCTTGCGCTTAGCATTAACTGTTTTCTCTTTAGTTTGTGGGGCATCTACCTAGTCAGCGATCAGCTCACCCGTCTTGATGACTTGATTCACTTTACTCTCCGGGAATGGTCCCGGTTGTCCACCAGCGTCACTGAGGCCGAAGTCGAGCGCGCCAAGGCGCAACTCAAGGCCTCGATCCTCCTCTCCCTCGACAGCACGGCTGCCGTCGCCGAAGACATCGGCCGGCAACTCGTCACGACGGGCCGCCGCATGGACCCCGGCGAGATCGAGCGGGTCATCGACCGCATCACGGAGAAGGAGGTGATGGACTTTGCCAAGCGGAAACTGTGGGACCAAGACGTCGCCATCTCGGCCGTCGGCAGCGTCGAGGGCATGCTCGACTACCAGCGAATCAGGAACGACATGAGCCGAAATTTCTAGAAAGGAGAGAGCCAACATCAGCACAGCCTCCGCGACAGATGGGAGTGGGGGGTGGGGGATCGAGTGAGGAGCGGCACCGAAGCGAGGGAAAGGGAAGTGGAGGGGAAAAACCTGGTCATAGAGTGTATCACACATACCACACACTTCTTTGTATCATAGACGATTCCCTAATCCGCTAGATTCCCTCTATTGACCGAGGAGGGTGCATCCCGGAACATGCTAGTTACGTCCCAATTATTACTTTTTTTTTTTTTGCTCTTCCGCGGTTTATGTTTCCCTGTGCTCAGCGGGACGATAGTGAATAGCTGTTCACTCCGTGACTACCAAATTGAGTCTATCTTGAATCTCTAATTCCCCATCAGCCTCTCCTTCGTCTCAGATAGATATCACAGCCGTGTGCGGCTGTTGAGACCAGCCTCCCTTCCATTCTTCGGCAGCCCTTACAGGAGGCTCGGGCATGTCTAGCTGCTGCGCCTACTGAACTAGCTGTTATGCCCGTTTGTGATTTCAATGGTTAGTATCACGTTCTTCGACAACCGGTAGCTATTGAGTTCGAGTGCTCAGTAACACATAATCTATGTTTATCACAAAAGAGAGTTGTGAGTTTCAAGGTAGAGGAACTCGAGGCCCCAACTGGGAACATTAGACAGGCTATTTGTAGATATTCTACACTTGATGAGAAAGAAGACGGCCTTGCAGATAGAGACGACCGCGTCAGCGGCAAGAACACACGATAGTTGTGGTGGATTTAACGGGAACCGGTCTGTTATATCAGTCTCGCGGGTCTGGGGCAACTGATGCTGCAATCCCATATCCAGTTCTCGTGCTATAAACGAGGAGTCAGGTGGGCCGAGCATCACTGCTTTTCCTTTCGCTCATCACATCTCTCTTCGCAAGCGCTATTAGAGAAACAACCCACCAACGCCCGCACCGAGGAGTCTCCGCCCCCTAAACGCCACGCCCAACTCCGGGACATCTACAAGCAGCCAACCAACTCGCACCCTTTCCCTTCCCCTTTTACCCGTGCCGCTCCCGAGAAAAGAACGAACCGCCCACCCCACAGCGCCGCCTCGGGAACACCGAACATCGCCACGCTCAGGCGCAAGCCAAACCAGACAGGCCCCTTTATGTAGAGGTAAGGGAAGGGAAAGGGGAGAAGGACTCGTAAGTCCGGCCTGGCAGCCAACCCGCGGCAGCCGCTTTTCTCTCCCTCCCCTCCTACCGTGGACCTCTCTCCCGGCTCCCTAGACCGCCAGCTGATCGCCTACCAGGCTTTTACGCACCGGGGAATCCATCACCTACTCCCCCCGTCCCGTCCCTCGCTACCTTCCACGCCCCTCGCCTCCGGGACGCCCGCACGAGCAGCGGCGTCGTTCTGGACGCCCAGCCCCCGCGTGCCTAGCTCGGCGCGAAGCATACCGGAGCGCAGCGTGGGCGGAGGAGGGACCGGGGCGGGGGCCTCGGTGGCCGGGCGGTCGACGACGTGCGCGGGGACGGGGGGCGCCAGGCCGGGCGGCGGCGCGCCGGAGCCGAGGGGCGGGGGACCCGAGCACGTTAGCGGGAGCCTGGGCTCGGCCGATTCCCTCCTCCCGGCGGGCAGCGGCCGGCGCCACGTGCCGGCGCCGGGGGAGGGCGCGCGGAGGGGCGGCGGGTGTGTGGGCGGCGGGACGGCGGGCGCCGCGGCGCGCGGGGACAGCGCCGAGTCCCGCCGCGTCGCGCCGTCGTCGTCGCCGCTGCTGCCCGAGGAGCGGGGTGGTCTCCTCTCGTCGCGGCGTCGGCCCCACGAGGAAAACATGCTAGTGAGGAACTGAAGGCGTATAAATCGCCGTCTGCTGCGTTTTGTGAAGAGGATGCCTTGCGTCGGGATGAGGGGGGAGTCTGCCTTGCGTTTGCGGAAAGGGGGCGCGGTTTTATAGCGGTATAATAAAATAGAACAGTGGGAGGGGGGGTGGCGGCATGATTCACGGTGTTTTCGTCCCTGCCAAACTCAGGTAGTTCTTCATAACTTGTTAACTCGAGTTGTGATTTCTTGTACAGATCATCTTAGGCCCATGATACATCAGGTCTGTTGTTGAGTGACGAGGGGGGTGTAACCCTCCTGGCCTTCTCTCGACTACATGTTCACTACCTCTCCACACTTCCCTACCGAGTCCCGATATCCTGTTGGTCCACTTTCGCCCCTATTCCAGGCCCATCGTTTCAGTGTACCAAGCGGCTTTGCTGAAGCTTCCGATACAGCTCGAAGTGGAGAGGATGAGAAATTTAGCAGATATCTCTCCATCGCCGTAGTGGTTTCGCACTGTCAGTCGTTATCGTTTTATATTGGTGTAGGCATGCGGATGTCTTTCTCACGACCTCTATTTTGGTATACTGATAGCTCAAGATTGTTTGCCCCGTGGCGACGAGCGTCTAGGGTAAATAGGGGTCACGCTATGTCCTGCATGCTACTTTGAGGCCATTAGCCGCTGCTCAGGAGCCATGGCGATGCCACTCTCCGGCAAGCACGGATGGGAAGACCAGTCGTGTTGGCTAGCAGGTGCTGTATATTACTCATAAACATGCCGTGTGCCAATACCGCCGATACAACGTATCTGCATCGATTTTCGTCTGGACCTCCTGGGCGAGAGGTCTGATCCTCGAATATTAATTCTGTCTTAGCACCGTCGTGGATATATATAACAGTACCCGGCTTGTCTTGCGCCCGTATGAAATGCCAACCAGCCGACGCTCATCATCAGATCCGCGTGTAGACTGGTGTGGGTGACCATACGAAATATCACCCAAACGATGCTGGCGCCTATGCTGAGTTCGTTACATAATAAATCTTATATCCGTCTAATGAAAGACTGCACCAGGAGAAGTGTCGTTATAGACGAAGCCAACGTTCTGCACATGATGGCATGGGAAGATAGATAGGTATATTTACGAACGCAATCCAGACATTGACTCAGAAGTAAGTCCCCTACTCACTCTTAGAATAGGGGTTATCGATCCATACTCGCGACCCCCGAAACCGACTCGTCAGAACCCCTTCGCCTTCTCAGCCTGTAGCCTTCGGACGTTCTCGTCGTGCTGGGAAAAGTATCGGTATTCGGCGTCGAGTGCCTCCTGAACCTGGCCCCAGAGCCCGTGCTGCAGCGTGCCGGAAAACCAATAATTCCCGGCGGCATCCTTACCGACGATAGGAAACGAGTTGCGCGTGGGCAGCTGGCGGTTGACGAGGCCGTTGGGCTGGATGTACGTTGGCCGCCCGGGTCGGTACTCGGGGGGGCGGGGCGTGGTAGCATCATCGTCGCCGCCGCCGTTGTTATTGTTATCGCCGTCGGAAGCCGAACCGGGACGGGCCACCAGCGCCGCCGAGAAGTCCGTCTCGAAGAACTTGGCCTTGCTCCAGTTGGAGATCATGACGGGCGTCATCTTGGTGTTGCCGAACACCGGGGCGCGGCCTTGCCGTAGCGCCGCCCTCTCTATGGCAGCGTGGGCCTCGACCTGGTCTCGCGTGCCCTGCTCGGAGATAGACCGCCGCACCACCGCCGCCGTGTAGCCGAGTGGCTGCGCGAACAGGTCTCGCATCGACAGGAAGGCGTAGACGCTACCCACGGCATTCCCTACGTATGCGCTTGTGGGTGGGAGGAGGTCCTTAGCGAGTGCCGAGCGCAGCCCGAACGCGTTCATGATCGACACCGTCTGGTCCACGTGCCGCAGGTGCACCAGAGCGAGCCGGGTGATCCAGCCTGAGAGTATGTCACCCTCACTGATGAACGGCCGCAATTTCTTGTCGTCATTTGCGCACTGGGCGGCTGGGGCGGAGAGATCATCGCGCGCGCTTTCGAATAGGATATTCGCATGCCGTGCTGGCACGCACACCATGCGCGTCTCCTCGCCACCCCACCAGAAGATGGTGGCCCATATGTACGAGAGCACGAATAGCAGGGATTGAACGGGCGACAGATGGCGATGGGCTAGCACGTATGGTTCCTTTGGATTCGCGCCGAGGCTCTCGAGCGGGTCACGATAGACACCGTGGAGAGGCTTCACATCGTCCTCCCTCCCCTCGAGCGTGGCAGTCCAGGCAGCTAAGAGCTCCTTGCGGCCGATAGCGTCGAGCAAAGTATGCGGCCACGACAGGGTGACGATCGTGGCGTCAGTAAAGGACACGATGTGCAGGCTCAGCTGCGGCGCGTCCGTGGTCAGATAGTCGAGGATCGTCTGAGGTGCACCCCAGCGGCGCAACAGAGGCCCGAATTCGCTCGGATCGTCTAGGACCGTCGGTTTCGCTGTCGGTCGGGGTAGGCGGCTAGCAAGAGGATGACTCGCGATGCCGACATCGTGCGTCGAGTGTGAGTAAGCAAATGCCGGTCGATTCTCACTGAAGGCTTCCGGGACGTGGTATTCGAGTTTGCCGTTACTCTACGAGCATCCTTTAGTTCGCGAGACCCAGAAAAATTAAACACCCTCGAAGCTTCGATAGGCCTTCGACAAGGTGTGGGCAGGGGTGATTCGTACGTTGAGCCTCAACCGCGCGCCGAGCTTGCGCCAGTCACGTCGGCTAAGGAGCTTCTCTAGCGATGTGCGCAGCTTATCAGCGTCTAGGACATCATCGAATCGCATAGTAAACTCGACGATGACGGATCTGTTGACCGGGGTATCGTCGTAAAAGTGCAGTGGGATGACCGTATCTGACGGTATGGTCATCGGCGTCTTAATCTTTTCCTTGCCGAGCAGGTTCCCCATCTTGAACCAATATTCCGGTCCGAGGACAAGGCGAGCAACAGTGGCTCTGTCCAGGTTAATCGCTCCTAGAACCTGGGTCGCCTACGGTTCTAATAAGGGGATAGGAGCCATCTGTGCACCGGGATGCCAGGATAGTTGCCACGCGTACGCGCACAGGTTTTGACGCCGTCGCTGGTCACCCGAGATAGAGAACTGCAGGCTATTCCCCAGCGATCTTCATCACGTTCGGCCTTTTGGCCCACAGGGATATATATATGGGGCAGCAGACAATCTCGTCAGTAGCAACGTAACATGCTCGTCTGTGTGCTGCACAAGCGGGAAGCAGACAACACTATTAAACGAGGACCGTACCGGAGTCACTATTGGCTTGCTCGCCCGTACTGGAAAGGATGCACACTCATATTACGGAGTTGCATAGCTACCTACATGAGGGAAAAAAGGATTTCGGGGCGGAACGCCTCATTCTTGGTTTACAGAGAGTATTATACCTTTGCCTGGGTATACCTTTGCCCGGGAGTCTTGTCCTTCTAACCCCTTTCGTGAGATAATGGAACCGTGCTGGCAAGGATCGCGGTATGGTTTGCGTAATCAGGACCTGTTGGCAGCACTGATCAGCACGGCGCTACCAACGGGAAAACGCCGTGATACGGTAACACATACCATATGATAGTGGTATTGTGGTGAGACGAGGGGGGATATTGGGCTCCGGTGAGCAGCAGCCTACACGCTGTAGGTTTGTAAGAGTGCATGTTGGCGTGAAAACAAACAGAGGCCCCAGCCCTCCTCCCGTCCGGTTGCCGACTGAACACCGATTACACATTCATAATTGAGAGTCTAGATAGAGATGGTCAGATGCCCCCCCCCAAGACGTGTCTGTCGAAGGAGAGAGAGGCGTCCTTGAACATTATTGGCTATGTAATCTGCCACCGGAGCTGTGTGGGGGAGGGAGAGGCGGCATGTTCGGGTTCTCTCGACGGCGACGACGACCTGCCGTACGAGGGTATAAATACACATACACACATGCATGTATATGATGGACCTTCCCCTGTTCCGGAAAGCGAGGCAGGGATCTTCGAAGACCTCCAGGGACCTCAAAAGCTAGAGAACTAAGGTTATCCCGTCAGATCTTCATTTACTTGAGAATCATCTCAAGGGGGGGAACAGGGGGTCGTATCAGGTTTGTGGTGGGAGGGTGGTCATGCAGGGCGCAATATACCAGGCGAGCAGATAACCCGCATTTACATACGGCTGTATGAGTGTTGCCCTGAGGCAGCCCTAGACATTTCTTCTGATATCGTTCTCGTTGTCGAATGCAGCGCCGGAACGACGAACATGTTGTCAATGATGCAGCATTATCGGGTCGGACGTATCGCGCAACCGCGAGGTCCTGGGAAGGATTTGATGAGATATGACACTGTTAGAAAAAGCACTGCCGTAGATTACTTCCCGATCTGAGATCCTCCAGAATTACCCTTTAGCCGGAGTTGCCAAAGCTGGTTCCCACCACATTCGACACCGGCTAGCATGATTGCGTCAACACTCTCCTCCGGAGACTCGCCGACGTTGAGTCTCTGTGTCGTAATTCACTAAGCAAATATGTAGCTCGGAAAGAAGTGTGATGCGCTGCTCCGCGTGTCGCTTGAGTATTTCACCCCCCTTCGCCCTCCCCTTAAGTCTGTCCGCGTAAATCGTTACTAAAGTAGGGCGATAGGTGGTCTGCTGAGGCGGGGGACCTTCGTCATAGTCGAAAGCGCGCCCATCTACGACGCGAAGCCATCCGAAACATGGCAATGAGTGTTGCGGAAGCTGATCTCCGGGGGTCCCAGTAGGCGTTCCTCCGTCGCGTGCGTGGCCGATAGCTTGAGGGGCGTCTGCCCCGTGGCCAGGCTGGCACGGGGGATTGGTAAGAGGCCCCCGATCAGAATTCGATGCGGCGCCACAGCTGGGCGTTCTGTGATATGGGTAGTTCCAGTCCACGAGACTGCCCATGATCTACAACATGGCTCACACGCGTGCCCGGACGAGTTTGGGTGCCCGCGGCTTCATCGTCAGTTAGATAATGTGTTGTAGCCCCGGGCTACAGGTAGCCTCATCAGACAGGCCGTTCGACTGCCACCATGATTCAGGTGGAAAGAATTTATGGGCGGCTGGTTTTGATTATATTGCCATGCGAGGCAGGTTTCCCGCCTTGCAACCGAGCCGTCTCTCCTTAGCTCCCTATTCTCTTCATTCTCTCATGGTACGTGCTCGACGTAGGCATAACTACTTTATGTGCCGAGAGACGTCAGTACCGAGTTATACTCCTCTAGCTAATGCTTCACGAAGTGAAAGCGGAAACCCCCTGCTGTCGGATCTTTCTCGAATGGAACTCTGCTGCGAAATGCGATAGAACGTTGCTTAGCTTTATGGGATTGACACCCACTTTTCCCACGACGGGCCTTTTTCTATCATATGTGCCACCTACCCACCGGTTTATCAGGCCGCAGCCACGTCAAATTCAGGGTCGTGATCTTCTCTGACCCCTTGCTGTTGACCACGTAGTTGATGGCAACGGTCAAGGATTCTACCACTCAGAATCAATCATCGAGTTGACCTGGACGACCACGTACTTCAGGCTACCGGGTAGGTCAAGGTCCTCGGTATAAACGTCCGAACTTATGGACTACGATAGAACCGTGAGCGAAGAGATAGCCTCTTAATCGAGATCATCGGTCCAAGTTCCTATCCCACCGGGATTGGCGGTTTGTCACATAGCTTAGTGCTAATGTGTTAGGTTCTAGTCCCGAAGATCAGGTCAGATCGACGAATTTGAAGGGGAAGCATAGGCTAATTTCGCGCCCGTCCATCCCAAAGTCGTTGCACATCTCGGATTGCCGATTCAACTCCCCAGGCATAGTATTAATGTTACAGGCATCGGAGCAGGAGCGGGGCCGGGCAGGTTCGGCACACTAGAGGCGAATTCTGCGTGATAGGAACTCGGAGACGGCCTTTCTGCCTTCACTTCGAAACATCGCATCGTTATGAAAAGCTCCGGCAACGGCCTTTCTCGTCACGGGAAGTTGGACATCTAAGCATCGGTCATACAGCCTTTGGCTAAGCTCTAGAGGGACAAGCTCGTCCTTCGCCGCCTCCACGATGAGCACCTCCGGCGCCGACGTTGGGGTCCTATGCTTCTGGGAGATGATGCCCAGGTTCGTCCAGCTATCGAGGTGATTTCGCAGGAAAGGCCAGAGGTGCCGGTACGGTAGCCACTTTTGCGGATAGAGTACTTGTAGCATGGCGCGAATTGACGTAAAGGGTGTCTCCAGAATCAAAGAATCCAGGCACAGATTTGCGGGCATCGGAGCCTTGGCGGCCAGATTGGTAGCTACGCCCGCCCCGATGCTCTGGCCCCAAAGGACGAGCTTGGCCGGCGGATTCGTTTTGCGAGGTCCCTTATCGTGAGAATTATTGTGTAGCTGAGAAATCCACCGAAGAGCGGCAGCGGCATCCATTGTCAGACCATTTTCGGAAGGGCGACCTCGCGAAGTCCAATAGCCTCTATAGCTCAGGCATACCATAGTACATCGAGCGTTGCTAGCGGCACCCTCCTTTGGAGAGATCCTCTTCAACCTGCACAACGCGGAAGAGAGGTCGGGTAGGCGCGGCGGGATCGACGAGGCATTTCCTACCGACAAGCGTAAGTTCACCGGGCCACATCACTCGGGGGGGAAGAGTGTTGCGAGGCGGACCCTGAAAATAGAGGATATATAACGCAATGTCTGGCAGCGCAGCTGGTGCAGAAGAGCCGAGGTCCACGTCGGTAACACATAAGGCAAGATCTGTACCATCGGCGGCGCGTACTCGTTCCTCACGCCACTGAATGCCGCCGCACCGGCTGGCGTAGTCTCGAATCTTCTCCTGCCGCGCATTTGGTGGCAGGCCAGGCATGTATATCATCTTATTCTGGAAGATGACCATCAAGAAGCACTTCCAGGTCCATAGCGATACGAATAGGCCGCCGAAGACGACCGGGGCTAGCATCAGGCCCTCGACGTGGTACCGCCTCACGCTGCAGGCTAGCGTGTCGACGCGGGATGTCGTGGAGGACGGTGATGGGATAGCGGCTAGCCTGGAGATCCTGCGAATGGACGGTCCGAGGAGGCCGCGAGGGAGCGGCATGGTGATTCGGGGACCTCGAGACCATGGCTGAAAGGGCCGTATGCAGGGTGAAGGAGCGCAAAGTCTGGGAGTGGAGGGCCGATCAAGAGGGCATTTTGTCGACACTAAGTGGCCGACGGGCGCTGCACCAGGGCGGAAGAGGGGAAGACGACGGAAGATGGAGTTGAGGTATGGGTATGACCCTGCCAACCCCGGTTCCGTAGGTATGTAGGATCGTAGTATCGGGCGTCTCGACCGCGCAAGGTAGGAGGTCGGCGAGGCAAGTTGGCGATGCTGGTATCTGAGATGACTGCAACGCTTGATGGTGGGAAGTACACGACGCACCTGACAGAGGGAAAACCCCAACTCTTCGATCCCGTGATTCCCGCACGCGGCCACCCACCGGCTTGCGCTGCCTGCCCCCTAGGTACCTTACCTACCTCTTAGCATGGCCTTTGGTACCTTGAACGGGCAGCTTGGGCAGCTTCTAATTAACCCTACTAATTGACGGGTCCCCCCAATAACCGCCTGCTTTAGGTACCTGCCTGCCTAATGTATGTACTTGAGGCACCTCAGGCAAGGCCCTATAATCCTGACGGAGACGCGATGTCATCGAACCCAAGGCCCTTGCAGTACGGTACCTGCACGTGGATGTACTGCTGCGGCGGCGCCGCGCTACAGCGGACTGGCCGTAAGGTGCTGGCTACCGATTCCATCTCATTTCGGTACCTGTCGTGTTTCCGCATTCGCCTTGCCGGGCTCGCCCAGGCTCAGGTACCTTCGGTGGGGCACGCCCGTGGTCCACTCCACGCTGCTCAGGGGGGCGGGAGAAACACAGGTAGGCAGGTAGGTACCTTATGTACTGAGCATGCCCTATGCTCAGCAGGTACCTCTGGTCCTTAGGCGGGTGGCTACCTGCCGTGAAACATGATATACCACGCGCACCCTACAGGTACCTAACCTTAGGTACAAAGGTAAGGTAAGTACAGTGTTATTATGTGGCGGGCAGGTACCCTAAGGTAGGCAGTTGAGTACCTGAAACCCTTGGTGGCAGTGGTAGAAGTACCTGTAGACGTGCTGCCAGCGACCCCCTTCTGGACGGACTGACGCTTATACTGCCTCCTATAGGAGCCCGGTGGAGATTTGCTAGGTACCTACATAGGTACCTAGGTAATTAGAAACGTCATGGGATCATCGATATCGGAGGTGCGGTACGGTGTATGCTGTGTACCTGCGCGTGCTTCGCAGGTACCGAATCGATTTCCTGCCTCTACCGCTCTGCCTTGCCTAGTCGAGAACCTGCCGAACTCAACTCGTTCCATCTCTCGATCCCCGTGTGCGCTCCAGTCCCCCAATCTTCTTACCTGCAACTTTTCTCTCGTCGCCGCCAATCCCGCCCTTCTTTGCTCGCCGACCATCCTCAACACTGCCGCCGACGCTGACGCCACCAATACACCACCCTACGCCCCCGCCGCTGCACAATGCCTGGCCAACTCAACGGCGACGCAGGCCGCGAGTCTCCTTCGCACCACATAGAAGTCCTCGAGGAGGCTTCATCCGAGCGGGAAGACCACCAACATAGTCCCGGTCTGCGGGATAGCAAGGGATGGGACGGCAAGCTACGAATTGACCGCACCGCCCTGATCCAGAACCCCGAGGCTCTCTCCGACCCCGAGTATTCGGACGATGAGAATGTGCTTGCGGGCCAGGAAATTGATGCTGACGAAGGTAGGTTCTCCCTAAATCTCCTTGCGTTCTGCCAGCGTGCTCGCTAGTGATGAAGCCTAGTACTAACCCTCCTTTAGACCTCCTCGACGACGAAGACCCCGACAGCGACGACATCAGTCTCACCCACTCTCGGGTCACCTCCATCTCCGCCCTTCGATTAGATCGGTTCAAGAAGGTCGTGCGGCTATGTCTGCGCCAAAACCTCGTCCAGCACATCGATGGCCTCGCCAGTCTAGGGCCCACCCTAGAAGAGCTCGACCTCTATGACAACCTTATTTCACACGTCAGGGGCTTGGAGGACCTGACCAAGCTCACGATTCTTGACCTGAGCTTCAACAAGATCAAACACATTAAACACATCGACCACCTGACAGAACTGACGGATCTGTTTTTCGTGTCCAACAAGATCAGCGTAATCGATGGCCTCGCCACTCTGACGAAGCTCCGGCAACTCGAACTAGGGTCCAATAGAATACGGGAAATTAAAAATCTCGACTCCTTGACGAATCTGGAAGAGCTCTGGCTGGCCAAGAACAAGATCACCGAGCTCAAGGGTCTAGCCGGCCTACCGAAATTACGTCTCCTAAGCATACAGTCGAATCGGATCCGCGACCTTTCTCCTCTCCGCGAGGTCCCGCAACTGGAGGAGCTGTACATCTCGCACAATGCCTTGGAAAGCCTGGAGGGCTTGGACGGGAGCCCGAGCCTGAAAATCATTGACATTTCAAACAATACCATCCAGTGCCTCAAGGGCTTGGGCAACCTGAAAGAGATCGAGGAAATTTGGGCAAGCTACAACCAAATATCTGACATCGCAGACATCGAGCGGGAGTTAGCGGACAAGAAGAACCTAACGACGGTGTATTTCGAAGGAAATCCGGTACAGTTGAAGCAACCCGCCCTATATCGGAATAAGGTGCGGTTGGCTCTGCCGCAAGTGCAGCAGATCGACGCAAGTAAGTACCAAAATCGGTGCCCCGTCGCCTATATATATACAGCTAACACTCGGGGAAAATAGCCTTCGTGAAGTCGGTATGATCAATCTCCCCTTCACCCAGTTAGGATTCGTTCCACGCGGGCCCTATATATTGCATAGCACGGCGTTTGGGGTTCCTTACTGCGAACGGTAGACCCGATATCGGAAGACCGCGAGCTCTCTGATCGGACCGTCGGGTATCTGTGGGACAGAGGTAAAGCGTGTCACATACTACACCAGCTTCGAATTTGCAAGTAGGTAGCTGAGAGACGTTTCGCCTCATCAAGGGAGAAGGAATCAAATAGTGCTCGGCACTGTATTCGTTTCACAGATATCCATAAGCTCACGCAAAATGAGAAATATCCTCAGGTTCACATGGTATCTGTTCCTTCCACCGATGGTGATGTTGCGGTTACAAGTCGGAAAAGCCGATGGTGTATACGCCATTCTAACAAGATGCTCCCCGTGGTTGTAAAAAAAAAACGAATCACCCAGACTCTACAGTACTAGCCGCGGTGGCTGGTAGATATAATCCCTGCCCATGGTGACGAGAGGCGGTACTTTCTCCCCCCCCAAGCGTCGCGGCCTATCTTCGTCATTATACCCGGTCACGCCGGGTAGCATGGCACAGGACACAGACGGCCGAACCAGAATCCGGGACTCGGCAGCAGCAGCGCGACGACTTTGTCTAACCAAAGATCCACATCTTATCCGTGGAGAAGTACTATTCGTAAAAGTATAGATTAGCACGCAGCACTTCCCCAACCTTTCTCCTCGCCAGCTAATCCCGGGGGGGGAAGGGGGGCAGGGAGGTTGTATATGTGACTCACGTTCGAGGGCTGGTTGAAGCGGATGCCAGCGTCCTTAGCGGTGATGCTGTCGAGGTCGGCCTGGTCGAGGTCGAAGCCGGTGCTGTCGAGGTTCTGGAGCATGAGCTCGAGGCGGGTGGTCTTGGGGATGACGGCGAGGCCGCGCTGGGTGGCCCAGCGGAGGAGGATCTGGGCGGGCTGCTTGCCGTACTTGGCGGCGACGGCGCTGATGAGGGGGTCTTCGACGAGGGGCACGAGGGCCTCGGCGTGCTTGAAGCCGAACTCGAGGAAGGAGGCGGGGCCGAAGGAGGAGTAGGCGGTGACGGCGACGCCCTCGGCGCGGGCGAGCGCGAGCAGCTCGCGCTGGACGAGGTAGGGGTGGTGCTCGATCTGGAGCGCGGCGGGGGGCACCTTGGCGTAGCGGAGCACGTCGTAGAGCAGCTGGGCCTGGAAGTTGGACACGCCGATGGAGCGGGCGAGGCCCTTGCCGACGAGCGCCTCCATGGCGGCCCAGGTGACGTGCGTCGGCGTGCTCGACCGCACGATCTGGTCCTCGCCGTCGAAGTGCCACCCGGGCGGGTACCGCACCGCCGGGTCGACGTACTTGAGCGCGCCCGGGAAGTGGATCAGGTACAGGTCGAAGTACTCGAGCCCCCAGTCGGCCAGCGACCGCCGGCACGCCGGCTCCACCTGGTCGCCGTCCTGGAACACCGGCCACAGCTTCGACGTGATGAAGAGCTCCTCCCGCGTCACCAGGCCCTCCTTGATCGCGCGCGCCACGCCCTCGCCGCACTCCTTCTCGTTGCCGTAGTCTGGTGCCGCGGACTCACATATTAGCCACCCGGGACGCCATCACTGTCTATCTACGCCCCATATCTCTTGTTTTTCGCCATCGTCTATAAACCACCGAAGCGAGCCAGCCGCCAGCGTAGGACACCCAGGCCGGCGGTTGTGGCCAGGCCATGGTCGTTTCGGGTAGACTCGCGCTTGGCTCCGGCCGGTTCAACGAGGGGACGACAGGGGCCCCCTGAACGCAGCATTCGTCGGCGGGGTAATGAGATGCGAAGAGGGGCACACGCTGCTGGCTTGTTTTTTCCTCTTTCTCTGCTGCGTCATGTCGCCTTCTCGCGCCAGCCTCGAGATACCAGGGCAATAGAAGAGCAGAAGTGGACGGGTCTGGCTACTCACCGCAAGCTCCATCGAATAACCTATAACCGGCCTTGATGGCAGTGTAGACAGTGTCGGCGCAGATGGCGTTGTCGACCTTCCACAGGCCGAAGCCCACCTGGGGCATCTCGTAGCCGCTGCTCAGCTTGATGGTGGGACCCATGGTCGTCGACGACTTCGTAGCGATCCAACGGCGAGTACTACTGCTGCTGGCACAAGGGCTCGGGCGATATCTCGGTATCGCAGGGCGCTTCGGTGGCACGATGAAGCGACGGGAGAGTGAACGGAGGTGGAGAGGAGAGAGAGGGACAGAGAGTCGCATGGCCATCGGGGGGACGGCGGCTGGTGGAGGGAGCAAGTTTCTTTATACTTCTCTCCTCTCTTCCCCTTCCCACCACGAGAGCAACGAGGAGACGGAGTAAGCGACCCTGTTGTCAACCGGACATCGAAGTACCAGCAGAAGTGCCACCCGCGATCGTATTCCACATGTGGAGATAGGCGGCCTGTTAAAAAGGAGAAAAAGAAAAAAAAACCCTTTTCGCCGAAGTAGTCTACAAGACGACCGTAGCGATAATAATTCCGCGCTGGCCATTATCCCGCCGAGGACGCATCAGCAAGAGTATCGTGACCGAACTGATTGGCATGGGTAATAAGGTCTAGCACGCGGCGAGCAAAGCACTAAGACTTGCTCCCCTCACCCCCCGTCCCCCCTAGTCATGAGCCTCTCTTTCATTTGCTCGCCTAATAGAGAGGCCACCCCCTGGTACCAAGCTCAGGAGACATATCAGTCCCCAGTCCCCAGTCTCCGGCGGCGGCAGCTACTGGCGATCCCATATGCGCAGAGGGGGGGGCAGGAGGGGAAAGGGGGAAGGGGGGTTAAGGTGGATGAGAAAGGGAAGAGAAGGGCATGCTGGAGATGGGGGTTCGCAGGTTGAAAGTTGGAGACTCTCTGGGAAAAGAGAGCCGACAGCATGAAGGAGTAGACAGCGGAAGTCAACAGACGTCCACTCTCCCCTTATCCCCAACTCTCCGTCCCTCTCCCCCCTCTGCAGAAACTCAGATGGCCCGCTACGACGGGTCCCTGCTCCCTCTCGACGCTACCGTGGCTCTCTTGAGGAGAACGATTTCGCCGAGGCCCGAACCTTGGGGGGGAGGGGCGTCCCGCTGTTCGTGAGGAGTAGGCAGAGAGGTGAGGATGTCGAGGCATGCACATGCCAGGTACGGATTTAGGCTGAATTCCGATCGTGGGTTTTCGCACTTATAGCCAGTCCACAATAGGAGGAGTAAGGATCCACCGCGGCTAATTTGTTCTTATCTTCCCTTACTTACTACGCCTACCGTGACCTAGCTCCTGGTTCGCACCGCGTGGGCTTCACCCCACGCTTCCCGCCCCCTTCGCTGCCAGGCGAGGAGGTGGTATCTCTTATTCTCCCGCGGTGCGTGTTCGCACACATACACGTACGCTCCCCTTTCCCCCCTTTCCTTCCTTTCCGTCTCTCTCTCTTTGTATACGCACACTCGTTTCCCGTCCTGCCTTAGTCATACGATGTCGTCGCAAGCGAATCCTACGCCGTGCCGGGGGCAAGGGCCGGAGTCAGACTCTCTGCCTTCCGGGGCCAATGGCACGTCGACCCGCCCGCCGCTGATCTCTAGAAGATCTGGCTTGGCAGCGATCTCGTCTACGTGCCGCAGGAGAATAACTAGAATTCGTTGCGGCTCTCTCTCTCTCTCTCTCTCTGTCTCTTCCTCTCTATCGTAGTGCCCCCCCCTTTCCCCCTCCCCCCTTTCATACCTGCCAGGCGAATCGATCCTTCGGAAGCTGTTCCGAATTAGCGAGTGTCATATCCCTCTCTCACCGTCCGGTCTGGCCACCCGTGTGCCGGTGGGGAGGTCGGCCAAGAGGCGTCGTCGCTGGTCTTCCGGATAGCAGGATCGCTTTCCCCATTCGGCACTACTGCTCGGAGCCGTCGATACGGTGTTAAAAAGAGGAAAGGGGTGGGTCAGGGCTTGGAGGCTCTGACCGGGAAGCTGGCTATATCTCTGGGCACTAGAAAACGTTACCAATTGGTCATTACACCAATGCCGCCACGGTCAGCCATACAAGTATTCGATGAATAAGTAATAATGATGTTTGATCAAGACAGCAATTGTTTCACGATAGGTATCAAATAGATAAAGGGGAATATAATGGTGGCTTGATATTGCGCGTGCTTTTGTGCTGCATTGTTGGAGCATCCGAAGTGTGCACCAAACCACAATTAATATGAGATAAAACCGGTGCACACATGAATAGAAACATAAACACATCTCTTCTATGCCCATATGCAACTTAGAGTTAGGTATGCATTTATAACGAGATTTTCCATCGCAAAATACCTCCTCACAATCCCCTCTAGAGACGCCCTGCAACTATAAGTTTCCCCGGATTCGGACTTATTGCCCGGCCAGTTCGATAAAGTAGTTTCCCTCGACCAAAGACACCCGAGTATCCACGAATACACACGTACGGTCCCTATCCTAGCCGGCTCTCTACTCCGCGCTCCCCTTGTTCTTGCCCTTGCCCTTGCCCTTTCCCTTGCCCTTACCCTTTCCTTTGTCCTTCTTGCCGGCCCGCTCGTCCTCCTCCGGACTCTTCTCGCTCACGACGAGCCAGAAGGTGCTAGGGTCTAGTTCGAGGGCGGCGGGGCCATTCACCTCGAGCTCGGCGACATGGGGGCACAGGGCGGCGAGCTGCGCGGCGGCGCTCCCGTCCTTAGTAGTACCCGCGAGCTGCAGCAGCTGGCGGGCGGGCAGGCCGAGCAGGTGGGCGAGCTCTGCGGAGTCGAGGAGGCTAGCGTGGAGGCCGCGGGGGCGGAGCCACTTCTGGTTCGCGACGGCGACGTAGGCGACGGCGCGCTCGCGCGGGGTCTGGGGCTTGCGGGTGACGGCGTCGAGGGCGACGAAGGGGAGGGCGACGGCGGCGCCGGCCGCGTTCAGGGAGGCGGCGACGGGGAGGGCGATGGCGCCGCCGAGCACGCCGAGCGTGGCGCTGAGGTAGTCGCCCCTGCGCGCGCTGTCGCGGATCACCTGGCCGGTCGCGCGCGCGTGCGCCAGCGTCTCCTTGCCGAACCGCCGCGGCACGTCGCCCACCTGCCGCGCCGACTCCGCCGCGTGGCTCACCGCCTGCGCCGGCACCGTCGCCGCCAGGAACCCCGACAGCGTCCCCAGGAACGCCGCCCACGTCTCCGCCGTCACCCCGCGCCGCAGCAGCACCCCCCGCGGGTACGCGTCCAGGAACGGCGCCGTCGGCTCCGCCCACACCTGCGGGATCGCGACGGGGCGGCTCGCGCCTGGGGCGATGTCCGCGGCGGCCGCCGAGTACGACGGCGGCAGGTCGGTGTCGGAGGGGAAGTTGAAGGGGTCGGCCACGGACGGCCCCTCCGTCGGCAGGCCGGAGTTGTAGGACGAGGGGCCGGGTAGCTCCTCGTAGGCGGGGAGGGCTTCGCCGCGAGCTTCTTGCTCCTTTTTCGCAGCCATTTGTCAATCGACGCAGAGGATAGAGAGATAGGTAGCGTGTTTACTCATGGCAACCGACGACGAGTGTTTTTGTAGTAGAAGACGGCATCGCGAATGAGCCGATGGCATTGCTGCGCCATGGTGGTGGGGTACCTAAGGTAGGGCTGTGAGGCCTCAGGTCCGGTTGGGCGTGAGCAAGGAGACGGATCCTCCCTAAACGAAAGCGAGTGCGAGACTTGGCGAGAACCGGCCCGCTAACGCAGCGCAGCCACGCGAGATTACGTCGAATGCTCATCCTCGCACGCAGTCCATTCGATGTCTTTGGCATCCGGTAAATGCATTGCCTCGTCTGCAAGCAGTTATAGAAGCACTCGTGCCAATTTGGCCAGAAAAGCAGGCCTGTGGACTCGCGGGGGTACGAAAAGGCTGCATCTTGCGGTTCAACGCCCAGCGGAAACAGCCAGCAGAGGTCTAGGCAGTGGAATGGGTGGATGGGTAGGGATATCTGCGCATGAAATATGGCGGGATCGGGTTATATATGGAGTCTTTCTCTTTTTATACCCACCACTGCGGCACTTGTTCTATGGTAGGTAATCGAAGCCCAGATACGAATCCGAAGAAAAGAATCGTATCGCTTCCTGTCCACTGGCTACGACGACGTGTTCTGTTCATTGTCTCGAACCCGGCTGTGATGCTCCGGACGTTGCCAAAGCTGATTGATAATAGGAGGATATTTTTCGATTGCAATTTACGTAGTGGCCACGCAGTGACGATATCCTCTGCGGTGCAAGAGAGACTGTGGCACAATCAATCAATCGCCTACATAGGTGCCTATCTCCTGTAAATGAGAATTGTTATTTTTTTTTTCCGGCAAGGAAAACCGCCGCTACGTTTCCGAGGCGTCCTGATTGTCGGGAATATAGTAATACTTGCTGCAAGCCACGAGGTCGGCGGTGCCAAGTTGAAGCGGTTAGGTAGTTGAATGCGAGTGGTAGGTAACTAATATTCCGGTGGCTACACGGCAGTGAGACCGCTGAATCAACCCCATTCCAGCGAGGGAGTCCTTGGGAAGACATCTCAAGCCGCGAACTCCAGATTAGAAATCAGGAATGGGGGCGTAGCGTGGAATCTGACATCTGACTGTAGCCAAGAGTTCCCTATAGGTATAAGTAGGTAGGTACGTCGTGGCGTGCCGTCGAAACCACCGAGGCGTCCTCCCCGCCCGGCTTTGAGACATAGCCGTTGGCGTAAGTCGACCAGCAAATAGCGGTGGCTTGCGAGTGCCATCCGTGACATGGGATTAGGGGCCGCTGACTTGCTACTCCGGCTCCTTATCTACGGCGGCCTTGCAAGGTAGCACGTCGACGTGACCGTCCGACGAAGTGGTACCGACGATCACTGCCAAGCTGCGGCGCGAAGATGACCAGACAGGTATCATTCCGTCTCTGGCCTCGTCCCACACGGCGGCTCTCATTCGGCAGCATCGGCTCTTTTCCTGTCTCAGACCGCCACGCCCGGCTACGTAGGTAGCATCCGCCTGGGTCTCTTCTCTACCTCCCTCTCGGGACTCGCCTCCCCAACCCCCTGAGAATCTGGGGTAACGTCAATCGCGACTTGCCCCAAGAGGCAGTTCGCAGGAACGCGATCCACCTCACACCTCAGCTGTCGCACCACCCCCGGGCCTGGCTATCACAGGATGCGCGGAGGCCGGCATGGTGCCGCAGCCACTACGCGCCTTGTCTTTGGTCTTTGTATGGTGGGCGTAGGCAGCAGACTCGAGGGGGTGTGAACAGAGTAGAGACAGAGGAGGAGAGAGGAACGGGGAATTCTGCAAAGCGTAGAAAGACGCCTAGCCTAGCTGGCTACCTACCTTTGGAACTACCCAACCCGGGTAAGTAAGGGACTGTATCCATCCGACCCCTCGACTCGGCTGGGGCGTCGGGAGCGAGAACCCAGAGAATGGAGAAGTTCGAATTGACCGACAATGGAGGACTGACAATGGAGAATCAGGAGGTAGGTAGGTAGGTATTGCGTGGCATTGAGATGACTTGACTAATAGCCACGGTGACTCCCGCCTACCCGTGCCTGAGTGAGGCCGCTGCTAGGGATACGGGCGAACGAGAGCGGATGCCAACGGAGGGGGGGGCGTACAACGTCCGGGAGGGACGGGCGAGGGTGCGAGGCAGACGAGTACACGCAGGTGAGTACAGGCGGATGAATACACGCAGATGAGTACAGCTCCGAGTAGCTGAATGAATAGCAAAGCACAACTGTCCAACGCACTTTATTCCTTCTATACACCATATGAGAGACCCTCGTGGGGGGCGGACGAGAGCGTGACCAGCCCGTCAATGGAAGCCCGTGACTGGGTCGCCATTGAGCGAGCTGGCGCCTCATTTACTGTCGTGTGCCGGCTTCAATATGCCTGCTACGTCGATCGGGCACAATGCAGAGGCGCGGGAAAGGTCTCGACGTTGCACCCCCCCCCCCCTCTCCCGCCGCATTCCACCGCGCGGCCGAAAGGGCTGGCATATAAATACGCCCACGGCGTGCTGCAGGCTAAACCTGCTGGCCTCGTCAACGCCAGTTCTCGCTTCTCCCCGTACTTATCGTTACCCGCCCCGGCGAACACCATACGGAAAATACCCACCTACATCATCCTGGGCACGTCGAAGAGCTAGCAGTTCTGTCGACCGTCGAGATGCACGTCCCCCGAGCCGCCACGTCGGCTTGTGCCGCGGCCGCCGCGGCCACCGCGCACCGGTTCGTCATGTACTACGACCAGTGGCACGCGGCGTCTCCCACGAAAGGCCAGACGGCCGGAATAACCCACGTTGTGACCGCCTTCGCCGGCTCGACCCTCTTCACCTCGGACCCGCCGGGCTCGCCCACGCCCTTCGTGGACGTGGCAACCCTGCGCACCCAGTTCGACGACGGCGTCAAGGTCTGCATGGCCATCGGGGGGTGGGGAGACTCCGCCGGCTTCACCACCGGCCAGAAGACCGAAGAGTCGCGCAAGACCTACGCGAAGGGCGTCGCCGCCACCCTCGACCGGCTAGGATACGACTGCGTTGGTATGTAGCCGCTACCCTACTTGGCGCCTTGCTGCTGCCAGCCTGCTTACTTGCCCTCGTTCGTGCCTGTAGACGTCGATTGGGAGTATCCCGGCGGCAATGGCGAGGACTACAAGCAGAATCCAAACTCCGGCAAGACCGACGAGATCGCCAGCTACGCCCTGCTCCTTCAGGAGATCAAGGCCGCCATCGGTGACAAGGAGCTGTCCATTGCCGTCCCGGGACTAGAGAGGGATATGATAGCGTTTACCCCCGAACAGGTCCCTCTAATCGACGCCGCGGTCGATGCGATCAACGTGAGTTCGAGATTGCCGCCCGTCGAGCGCATCAAAAGTTCTGGAGGCTAACCAAAGTCCTAACTAGGTCATGACGTATGATCTGATGAATAGGTGAAGACCTCCCCCCCCCCCTCCTCTTAAAGCTCGTGAGCAGCAGAAGCCAGCGTGACTTGCTAACCCGTGTCTAGGCGTGACACGCAGACGAACCACCACACCTCGGTCGAGGGTTCGCTCGCGACGATCGACAAGTACCTGTCGCTGGGGATGACGGCGAGCAAGATGAACCTGGGCTTCGCCTTCTACGCCAAGTTCTTCAAGACGACGGGCGAGTGCTCGCAGCCGGTAGGCTGCGCCACCGCCGAGCTCGAGGACGCCAACGGCGGCGACACCGGCCAGTCGGGCGCCGTCACCTTCCGCGAGACCCCGCCCGTGCTCGCCAGCGGCATCCCCGACACCGAGAAGGGCGGCGTCTGGTACTGGGACCCGAGCACCAGCTACTTCTGGACCTGGGACTCTCCCCAGTTCATCGCCCAGAAGTTCGAGACCATCGTCAAGGCCCGCGGCCTCGGCGGCGTGAGTAAGTCATGCCTCTCTCTGGCTTTTTCTTCTCCCTCTCTCTCCTCTCCTATGTCTTGCACAATCGTAGTGGTGACAACGCTGACGTGCTTCTTCTCTTGCACTCGCAAAGTGGCGTGGAGCTTGGGCGAAGACTCGTCCGACTGGACCTATGTCAAAGCGCTCCAGGCCGGTCTGGCTACGCTCTAGGCCGTGTCCTCCGTGGCCCGGAACCAGCAGGGGCTCGTGTCTCCTGACGTAAGGAAGAGAGCTGTGAGATAGCTTTTCGTGTATATTACTTTGAGGCCGAGGCGCGTCTGTTACCCTGTCTCTCGTCCCTGTATGTATATAGTGTTCCCGTGACAAGCATGTATATCGACCTCCTCAGCCGAGAGCGGACAGTATGAGTGCTGTAGCGGGTAGTATCGGTTGACCCCCGTACGTTGAGGCGTAGGCTGCTAGGATAATGTCCTCAGTATCACCGTCTAAGCTAGGCTAAACTGGGTGCTGACAATCACCGGACGGCTCGCCGCTGTGCAGCAAATAAACCCTGATATAATCAAGCCTCCCGCAAGACTACATTAAACACAAGACCACGCCTGCCTCCTTTCGTACCTGTCCTATCCGTTGGGGTGCTGCGTTCCCGACCCACATTCTCCTCTCCACCTCCTTTGCACCCTTGTGCCTTATTCCGCCCTCGCTCGTTCACTCTTCTCCGTCGTCGTCCTCGTCGAAAGCGTCGTCATCGTTATCATCATCATCCTCTAAGCCCGCCACCTCCTCGTCGCTAGCACCCTCCTCATCCTCCTCAGCCCCGTCCATCTCGCCGGCCTTCTGCTCGCGGGCCTCGCGCTCGTCGTCGCGGCGCCTAGCGTCGTCGTCGCGGCGGGCGCGCTCGAGGGTCCGCGCGCGCTCGGCCGCCGCCTGGCGCTGCGCGACGACGTAGGCGCCAAGCGGCGTGCGCTCCCAGGCGAAGTCGCGCAGGAAGGCGTCGACTTGGGCGCGGTCGCGCGGCGCGAAGTCGACGGCGGCGCGGCGCGCCTCGATGAAGCGCGCGTTAGCCTCGAGCTTCTGGACGAGGAGCGCGAGCGCGGGGCGCAGCCTGCTGCCGCCGCCGGGGCCGGGCCCGCGCCGCGACTGCTTGAGCCAGCGCCGCAGCGCCACGACCACCGGCAGCGCGAGCTCTGGGAAGGCGATGTTCGTGGCCCACAGCGCGAAGTGCTCCGCGAGGAGCGCCGCGACCTGCTCGCCGGTACCGTCCTGGTACACGCGCGTGCGCAGGTACGCGCGCGGCGCCCGGCAGGCCACGGAGAAGTCGAGGGGCCGCAGCGTCGACGGCTTCGGGGCGCGGCGTAGTTCGGCCGAGGAGAGCACTTCGAGCAGCGCCGGCGCCAGCGGGATGTACGTGCCGGTGGCGCGCGCGACGCGCAGCAGCGACCGGACGATATGGAAGCGCAGCGGGAAGAAGGCGGCGGTCGGGACGAGGCGCATGGCGCCGAGCGCGACCTGGACCCAGGGGTATACGAGCAGGCGCAGGCGCGACTCGCGGCCGGCCTCGGCCTCGGTGAGCGGGGAGCAGTGCTCAGCGAGGACGCAGGACCAGAAGTCGAGCGAGTGGACGTACTGCCAGTTGTAGACGGCCTTGTAGGCTTCGTTCTGGTTGTGCACGATGCTGTTGCGCAGGTGGATGGCGAGCTGGCGGATGAAGGCGAAGGCGGTGGTGTAGCCAACGGTCTGGTCGAGGCCCCACAGCTCGGCGGCCGAGTTCTTCATGAGGTTGACGCCCTGGATCGTGTTGGCGTTGGTGACGCGCGACCCGGAGACGAGACCCTGGTAGGTGGCCTTGAGCACGGCCTCCCTCGCGCCCTTGTCGCCGACGACGACGAGTCGGCGGAAGACGAGGAAAGCAGTGATGCGGGTGGACTCGCTGCTCGTCGTCTGCGACCAGAAGCCGACGACGGTCTTAATGAGGTTCTTGAGCAGCTTCCGGAAGCTGAGCAGGTACGGGACGAGCGGGGTGAGGGCCGACAGCGTCAGCTTGAGCGTGGCGTCGTCGGACAGCGTGCCGAGCAGGTGTAGGATCGCGGACACGTAGGATTTCAGCAGCAGCGAGAGAGTCTTGAACTTCTTCGTATCTGTCGGGACCTGGACCTTGCCGTGCGCGGACTCCTTGATGGGTACGTGGTGCGAGATGACCTCGGGGATCTGCTTCAGCGCGACCACCAAAATGTCGTGGAAGACCTCCGGATTGGATATCTTGTACGGCTGCTTCCTGCCTTCTTCTTCTTCGTCTTCGTTCAAATGCGCCGCGGATCGGAACGCCAGGACAACCTGCCTCGCGGCCCTGAGAGAATAGGTCTTCGACATGGTTTCTTTCCACCGTGCCACCGTCGCCTGTGTCAACTCGTTCTCTTCTCTATCTTCCCCGTCTAGCTTCTCGGTCTTCCGCTGTGCCTTGTCCTTCTTCCGTTTCTTCTTGGGCTGGCTCTCCTCTTCCTCCTCCTCCTCCTCCTCCTCCTCCTCGCCGGCACTCAGCTCGTCAACTTCGGCCAGGTCGGCATCGTCGAATTCCAGCGCCTCGGGATCGTTCTCCTTCAGAAATTTGTAGAACTCAGGGTCGTCCTCCGCGAGCGCGTCCATAGCATCTTTGTTCATGCCAATGTCATCGCCTCCATCGCTGCCGAGATCTTCATCGTCGCTTGCTACGGGGGGACCTTCGGCAGATATGCCGAGGTCGCTGCCGTCCTCCGATGCGTTCTCGTCTTCGTCGGGTTCGTCGCGCTTGCGCTTCCCTAGCTTCTTAGACGACTTATTCTTGCCCGGCTGGGACTTCTCGATAATTTCGAACCCGCCGCCGAAGAATTCATCGACGGACATCGCATTCACGTTGACTGTTTTACTGGCCCCGTTGGCCCTGGCGGGTTTCCCAGCGTCTTCGCCGCCCTTGTAGAACTCGGCATCTTTCGCCTTCCTGCTCTGCTTCTTGGCCTGGATCTGCTGCCTCTGCTTTATCTTCGCGCCGGCTTTGCGATTGTCCAAGACGCCTTTTAGATGTTTTTGCTCGAACTTCTTGGTGGCCTTGAAATTCTTCTTTGCGCCCGCCATGATGAATATCGTCTGTAGAGATGCTACTCCGTGGGCGTGGGAATTGGTTGGGTCTGGGACGTTCAATCTCTTGTACTGTCACTTTTTTTTGGTCAAGCTTATCGCGGGGCACTTTTCCTTATCGCTGTTTAGCGCTAAACCAAATACAGTTGCCATGTAGGCGGTGAAGATGAATTCTGCCATATTCTGATCACATAAGGCATCACGTATCTACCGGACATTTGCCTGCAGACTACAGCCAATCACCTCTTCACCTACCTACCTATGGCATATTCAGCCTGCCTTATCCAACTCACCTGTCTATCCCATTACCAAACTTGATAAGTGCTTCTGCCTACTTGTATCCCAGGAACTAGAATCTTTTCACCTCTAGATAAACGCCTGCGTAAATTATCTTCCTACTCGCCTTGATATTCTCGCTAAGCCTCGCCTACGCTAGACGGCATGATGAACTCCCGACAGGCTTATGCCCCCATGCCCCATAGCTATGTTCCTAATACTGCCCTTTCCGCTACGATAAATCTAGACGAGGTATGGCTTCGGCTCTCTTCTACAGGCAGGAGTATTCTCTAACTCTCCTCTATAGGAAGTGACCCTAGCAGACACTCGTGCTGAGAGGGACTTGCAGGACTCTCTCGCCGAGCTCTTTTCGATTATTGTCACGCTAGACGAACTGGAGCGGGCGTTTCTAAAAGACGCCATCCCCGAAGCCGACTACACCGAGATCTGCGAGCGGTCTCTAAAGCAGTACAAGTCCATCTTGACAGACGAGACTGTAGCCAAGGCATTTGTCGGCTTGGAAGAATTCAAAGCCGAGTGGGATGTGAGGAATTCTCCTACCGTCGCCAGTCATCGCTAACCGAGTTCGCATAGCTCGAAGTCCCTAGGGCTACAGAGAGACTGAGGGTTGGTATGCCATCCACCACCGTCACTGCCTCGACCGGGGCGGTTCAGCAATCTGCGCCAGCTAGCAATAAATCTGGTACCCTTATCTTGGAAGCGACGCAAGATTTCATCACTTTCTTAGATGCCTTGCGTCTAGGGCTCCTAGCCAAGGATCAGTTGCATCCCCTCCTTACCGAGGTCATCCAGAGCGTAAACAAGGTCACGGACCGCGACTTTGAGAGTCGCGGGAAGATAGTACAGTGGCTGATCACATTAAATCAAATGAAGGCGGCCGATGAACTGAGCCTGGATCAGGCGCGGGAGCTCGAGTTGGACATCAACTCTGCGTATTTGGGGTTCAAGAATACACTGAATTGAGGTGTTTCGGTAAGCTCCAACCAATCGTCGTTCCAATAATAGCAAGCCACATTCAAGACACGGTTTTTGGTTCTCCGTTGGCGCTACGCTGGCTGGAAATAATATCTACCAGACCTGGATGACATCGTGCACGGTGAGTGCACCTACACACGTAGGTACGTGTACGATGGCGGGCGGTAACATCCATATACCCCTACGACGGATTGCTATCGATGTTCATGTCCTGATGTTTTCGATCGGCGGACTGGATACGACAGTCTCGCTATCAGCTTATCCCGTATTACGGACTAGGGGGTCTATGATCACAAAGGGCGCATGAGGAGGGAGGGGTTCATAGGCCTCGTCGTTTGAGTGGTCAATTGACTTGATCCCAATCCCCACTTTCAAGGCGCGAGTTGTCAGGACCAAAAATATCCGGGATCTCGACCGGAGGGGTTTTTGGGGATGCATCCAGATTAAATATCTCTTGAGAGGGCGTGCTTCTCGGGGGAAGCGCTCGCCTTAGGCGCCAACCATTGAAGGAGGAAGAAAATTTGGCCATAGATACCAACCCTACCAGCTTTCGCCATGCAGCGCACGTTTCTCGCCTTTCAGCACAATGCTAAGCTCCATTCCCTACCGGCCGTTGTCACCGCGGTCAGATCAGTGGCGGTTCTCGAGGAGGCAAACCGAGGCCTCTTTAAGCAAGCCGCCGACGATAATCATGTCGTAGTCACCGATAAGACGATATTTCATCCCCAGGGCGGCGGCCAACCTTCAGATGTTGGCGTCATGACAAGTGCAGACGGGGCTAGTTTTGATGTGGCCATGGTGCGCATGAGCGCTGTAAACGACGGCGAAGTGCTTCACTACGGCCGATTTACAAACCCCGCGTCGATATTTAAGCCGGGCGACGTCGTCACCCACACCATCGACAGCGAGAGGAGGAATTTGTATTCCCGGTATCACACGGCCGGGCACGTTCTTGGCGCAGCAGTCCGCCACCTCCTCGCGAAGCAGATTGCCAATTTCGACGAGCTCAAAGCATCGCATTTCCCCGATTCCGCCGCGTGCGAATTCCAAGGTCTCATCGAGGGCAAGTGGAAAGACGCCATCCAAGCGCGCGTGGACGAGTACGTTGGCCGGGACATGCCCGTCGAAATCGATTGGTGGGACGAGGGCGACTTCAGGGACAACGGGCTCGAACGGCTGATACCCGACCGGAAGGCCATGGGCATGGCGGACGACGAGAAGTTCCGCGTGGTGAAAATCGTCGGCGCCGAGGTATATCCCTGCGGAGGCACGCACGTCGACAGCACGGAATTATGCGGTAGAACCAGCGTGAAGAAGATTAGCCGAGCCAAGGGGACTAGCCGGGTGAGCTACCTGCTGCCGTGACGGTAGGGGATATTATAGAGGCATGTGAATTCGGTAGGGGGCGGGGGATGGGTATACACATAGATGGGGGGGGAGAGAGGGGGCCATCAACATGCTGCAGGGCACTGCATCAGACCCGATATGCGGGATGCTTCCCCGGCAGCCATCGAAAATCAAGAACTGTTCCGATGACCAGTTATGCGACCTTCAAAGTGACACACGCCAGTAATTTGTTTTATTCGCGACGAGCATCATCCGACGAGCTGTTCGAGGTGCAAACGGGTGCAGGTCCCGTTCGAAATAGTTGGCTAGAACCCCCCCTTTCCCCCCCACTGAGCAGTTTAGCGGAGAGGGGGACGTAGCAATTGGTGGTCTAGACGGTGTTTTTCACTGCGTTCCCGGATATTAAGCACTTCTTACGTATCGTATCATGTCAATATCAAAGTCAGCGGCAGCGTACAGCAGTACATTCTCGTCTAGAATTCTACCCTACGTCAATGAAACCTAAACCAAGCGCGCTACGAGAGGGCCCTTGTCTAGCAGAGGGGGCCATTGACCATCCCAACTTCAGATGCTCAACACGTGGGCAAACGGCTGTTTTGAGCCTAAGCTGTCTAGGTTGAATCCGTTGGGGACCTCAAAAGAAGCTTGGACGCTAACCCTCTCGTCAGAAGGCACAAGCAAAACGGGTACCGATCGAATCGGGTCAAGGCCTGGCCGGAGGTAACAGGGGAGTGAGAAGTCGGGTTGATCAAAACTTTAAGGATACCTAGGATGTAGGCAGATCCTAACAGTCTCGCCTAGCACCAAAGCAGTGTAGAGTTCGATCGAATACACTAGTATATCAACTAGTAAGGAATCAGATAAGGTCTCGACGACTGCTTGATCTTATAATTATTTATTAGTGAAAATCTAGGCGACATTGAGCAATCCGTCGAAATTGCAGACCAGGGTATAACGGTCCTACAGCTAGCTGGAATACGTGATGAAGAAGAACCCGATCCCTCCGGAATCAATCCTTCGTCAGCCAGTGAATACGGAGTTCTCCCCACTCCGGGTTAACATCACGTCACCCGCTCTTGGGACGTCTTGCGGCAGCTAGTTATTCCTGCGTTTCAGCCATATCGATGCCAATAAATGTATTCGAGCTACTCTTCTCGGAAGGAAGGATATTCGAGGGTGGAACACATGTAAGGCGTTGTTCGAAGATGACAAAGATAACATTATCGGCGCCTACGACTTCGCTTCGGCGCGCAAGGGCCCTGTCCTTATCGCTTGGTGGCTAGGCTGGCCGAGTACCAGGCTATCTTGATCATCTAACAGTCACGGGGGTCTGACTACTGGGGAGGAAAAGTACCTTATTGTTTCCTTTGAAAGTCTGGCACCGCTTCCAGACGGTATTCTTCATAGGCAAACTAGAACTGCGGAATGCTACTCATCCGGTAGCACTTCCAGTCGTCCTCTTCATGGTGACGCGTGGAGTCCTCAGAAATTTGAACCCTCTCTAGCCGCAAGTCTTTCCGGGGCTGAGGCCGTTGCGCTCCTCCTAAGGTTTGTATACCTAAGTTTGTCAAGGGTCAACGCCGAAGCGACAGTCACCCAGCGCATGCTGAGCCCCGTTCTCGCATGTCAGGATCGGTCTTCTACAGACGGCGGGACTCGCCCGATAGGATGTCCTGGCCAGAGCGACGTTCTAACGGAGATGAGAAGTTGGCTACTGAGCTGGCGCTTAGGCCAGGTCGATGGTACGGAAGCGAGCGGAGTGCGTCATACCTATGTCCATAAAGCAGCTCTCCGAGGTGGCCAAACCATGTTGTGGCGGCAGGGACGGTGGTGCTGGCGCGTCCTAGATCCGAAAGCCAGGATGGCCTTCGGGTAGGCTGAGACGTGCCGGCGACAAAATCTTGAGCGACATCTTTTGAAGCCGAGGAAGGCCATACCGTTCCGCGACGTCTACCAGGTTACCGGACCCGACTCCCGACGCTCCAGGAATATTGTCTGAAGAGCTCGAAGCGCTCGAGATGCAGCCCCCGCCGGTCAGGCACACTGGTAACAGCTGGGCTGTCGGCAGAAGGACCAGCCGTCGACAGCGCGAAGGCTCTGGCCATTGTGGGGATAGAGAAACGGGCGAGTGCAGAGCTAGCTCGTGATCGAATCAGGGTTACCGAGTACTCGACAGGCGACATCAGCATATATAGGTAGGTATCTCTCTTCTGCCACCTTTGGATGGATGGTCCTGGCGGTTTCACAGCTGACGCATCTGTCGTTGAACTCGGGCAGGCCACCACGGATGCCGCGTTGGCAATGGGGTGGAAACGGCCTAGAGACACTGCGGGAGTGCGAAGAGCTGCCCGGGAGACGAGGCTCTCGGGTATTGCTTTTGCTGGGGTGTCGTGTTGTTAGGAGCAGGGGGCAGTTTTTAATATTATAGTAGGTACTAGGTATCTACTACCCAGGCACGTAGTCGACACGAGTTACGGGTATATACCTCCGTATATTACTTCTAGCATGTTGGGTTGGAAAGTCTCGGGGAACATTTAGCTGGTTGCGAATCGGCCGGCGGGGAGCATCGGGAAATGAGAGGCTTTGCCTACAGCTCACCGTCAGGTACCTACTCACAATACTGCCGGGCACGTTCGCGAACATTAAGTACCTAGGTAGGTACCTCTACCTAAGGTGCCTAGCAGTAAGTGGAATTCGCACGACGTCTAGGCCGGGCCAAGCGGTGGTAGAGGTGACGTAATAAGTACTTGAACACGCTCAGTACGACATTCGGGAGGTTAGGAGGTAGTGTTGGTGGGGTACCTGGTTGACGTCTATCTGGCAAGATTGAAGTCGGCAACCCCTCGTCGGGTGCCGACAGGTCCCGATTGGGAAGCTAGCGAATCAGAGTTCGCTGTCGAACCAAAAAAAAATTAATTGAAAAAAAGGGGGGGGGGGGATGCGCGGGTAGCGCTTCAACGTACCATCTGTCACAGGACCACGGGCCACCCCCCCGCGGGCCACCCTGCTCCCTACCAAAAAACGGAAAAAGTCGCTATTTTCAAACACGTATAACGTTATTAATATAAGGATTTAAAGGTTATTATTTATATTAATCGAATCGTCTTTTTAAGCTCTTTAGGTGAATATAAATTATATAATACTAAAAGGGGTTACGATCTAAATATAGACGGTTAAACTAAGGTAAAAGCTTTGAAAATATATAATAATTTTAAATTAATAAATAATATACCGATATTAAATCATTTTTTAAAATAAAATTGATTTTTAAAATGAGTTTTATATATATAATAAATAGATATAAATATACTTCTAAAAATATCTATATTAATATACATAATATTATATTTAATATTATATTATAATATTATAATATACCTATTTCTCTTTAGCATTCTACATATAAAACTTGAGAGATAAAATATATATAATATAATTTATTTTCTTTATTACTTTCTCTATATAATTGATTATAAAAATCTTAATTTTAAGATTTATTTTTATAATCTTTTCGTAATAGAAATATTAATATATTTTATTAATACTTATATAAATAATAAAAATTCTATTTCATTTACATTACGTAATATTTATACTATAATATTATATTCATAACTTATATAATAATATAAATAAATGAAACCTTTATTAAATTAAATAAATATATTTATTATTAATTTAATATTATGTATTATGTATATTTATAAATAAATTCTTATATATATCTTTTAAAATAACCTTAAAATGAATAGTATTTAACTTTTGATTAAGCAATGAATATATAGGTATATTTTATTTATAAATAAAATATAAGCCTAGTTAAAAGATATTTAATTATATAATTTTTTCATTTAATAAAATTTCAATATATTTTAATAGCTTCTTATCTTTCTTATAACTTTAAAATATATACTTTAAATATATATTATATATAAATATAGATACTTAAAACATAATAAGTAATATTTTATAAATTATATATTATATAACGTTATAATATTAAAGAATTATATATATTATTATTAAGATTATATACTTTTTTCTTTTAATTATTACATTTAATATATAAGTATTATTAAGACCTTTTATTATATTCCTTTTAGAGGAATGAGTGAGATTTAGTAATATATAATTATTATAATTTTAAAGCTTTCTTTAATAAATATAAATAATTTTTAATAAATAAATATCATTATGATATATAAAAATCTTATATCTATATGAGGTAAAGAATCCTACTCGTTATAAGCCGTGATATCTAAAGAAACCTATATTAATCTAAAGAGCTTAAAAAGATAATTTGACTAATATAACTTATTACCTTTAAATCCTTATATTCATAACGTTATAAGTGTTTGAAAATAGCGACTTTTTCCGTTTCTTGGTGGGGAGCAGGGTGGCCCGCGGGGGGGTGGCCCGTGGTCCTGTGACAGATGGTACCTACACGTAGGTACAGCACGGCCGATCACGACAGCGGCGCGGGCACTGGAAATAAGCTGCCGGTGGCTGCTGGCATTGGCGTTAGCTGCCTTCTACCACTGCTGCTAATTCTTCCCACCTACCACGCCCGCTCTGCTATCCGTCCAGGCCAACCCGCCGCATTCTCCAGGCGGGCGACGACGCCGCACGCGGGGGCTGTCTCGACCTTCAGATGTCACCACGATGAGATTCCACCCGCATCGACGCACATACCTACGCACAACCTGCGGACACGTACATATCTCCCTACCTACCTACGTGCCTGCGCGCATACGAGCAAGGCTGTCTTCCCACCTCCCTAGGGCGAATCCGGCCTGGTCGCGTCGGGTCCTAGCACCGTTGGGTCTGTAGCTGTCCATCCCGCAGGGGTCACGCATGTGGTCCAAGCGATTGGCCAGCCGCTGCCCTGTCGACACACTGGCGACCTTCACGCAACGCGGTGGGGTTTGCACAAGCCGGTGGGGGAGGGCCTGGCGCCATTTCCCGATGGGGAGGGAGAGACGACGCAGAGAATTGAGATGCCTTGCTCGCTTCCTCAACACAACGCTGCCAGGACCGTGTCCCGCTCCGCCTCTCTATTGGTTGCCGCCGGCCAGCGAGGAGATGCAAGTAAACCTAAGTTCTCCCCAAACCATCAGAATGGTGGGCAATGGGCGAAGGCGGGCGAAGGCCGACCAGGGAGAGGGGTCGGTATACACATGGTCTCCTCTCTTGTCCCGCGGGCATTTAGCCATGTTGTCTCCCCCCCCCCCCTTTCCGTCCCCTTTTCCCTCTCTCTCTTCTCTCTTCTCTTCTATCCCTTATACTAGACAGACCAGACACTTCCGTCGGACTGCTGCCTTTCAACACTGTCAAGGAAAACTTCAACATACCCCTCTCGCCTCCCTAGCAATGCGAGAGTACCATGGATTCTCTTGGTGGTAATATTTTACCCCCTGACCCCCCTCTTAAAATCTATCTTGCCGGAATAGCTCTTGTCCTACTAGTAGGCATATGCTTCTCCACCACACTCGCAAAGAATGCCAAGGGCGAGGAGAACCCCAGTCTCCTGCAGTCCGCATGGCTCTTCTTTTACTCGTGTTTCCTCAAACCGCACGACGGCGACAGCAACGGCAACCAGCAGGATGCCCTCGAGAGCTTCTACAAGAGGCAGGCTGGCGCGTACGATGCGACGAGGAAAGCCCTTCTCAAGGGCCGCGAGGACATGCTCGCGCTAGCCGCCGCACAGCTCGTCCATAGGGCGAAGAGCCGTGACCCCGCCTCGGAGAAGAAGAGGCGTGTCTGGGTCGATGTTAGTGCTTCCTCCGTAAGATCCCGCCGGGAAGTCGCCCGTCTTATTAACCCGTGCCTTATCAGGTTGGTGGCGGGACGGGCTGGAACGTCGGGTCCATGGCCGCGTTCGTTAACGTGGCCGAGTTCTTCGACAGCGTCTATCTCGTCGACTTCTCCCCCTCCCTCTGTGAGGTCGCCCGCAAGCGCTTCGAGAGGCTCGGGTGGGAGAACGTCAAGGTCATCTGCCAGGACGCGAGGAAATTCCGTCTTGAGGACCATGAACCGTCCTCCCCGGGCAAACGTCCTTCGCAGTCGCCGGATCCGGGCTACTTCTCTCACGAAGGGCCCCGCGACGGCGGCGCCGACTTGGTTACCATGTCTTACAGCTTGTCTATGATCGTGAGTGCAGATCGTCCCGCCCAGAGTGGGGATACGAGAGCTAGGTAGCTAACCCGTGTCTAGCCCGACTACTACTCTGTAGTGGACTCGTTGGTTGCCCTGCTAGCCCCGAACGGCATCATTAGCGTTGTCGACTTCTACGTCCAGTCCAAGGTTGATGTCAGCTTCCGGAACTACACCGGCGGCCTCGTCAACCGCCACGTCAACTTTTTTGGGAGGACCTTCTGGCGTGCCTGGTTCGACATTGACCGAGTTGCTCTAGAGCCCGGCCGCCGCGACTACCTCGAGTACCGCTTCGGCACCGTCTTGAACATCAACACTCGGAACTACGTCCTCGGCGCGATTCCCTACTACATCTGGCTCGGGTCTCACAAGCGACCGTCTTCGTCTAGCCTCCCGCACGAAATCGTTGAGAAGGTCGACGCGCTGGTCACCGAGTCCCCGTACTTGCATCCCGCCAACCACACGGCGGCTCTGTCCCGCGCGGTTGAGAGGGCCGCACCAGAGATCCGGTCCAAGGCTTTCGATGCCGCCATTGTGAATCTTTCTGCGAACTTGCCCCTCCCTTCGTTCTTCTACCAGAACCATCACTACCGGATCTACTATGACGACCAGCTCAAGAAGCACACGCAGTTCAACGACGAGTACATCTACGCGTTCACTTGGGAAGACACTCGCGTCGACGAGCGCATTCTGAAGCTCAAGTCCGACGACGTGGTCCTCGCCATCACCAGCGCCGGCGACAACCTCCTCTCCTACGCGCTCCAGAAGCCGGCCAGGATCCACGCCGTCGACCTGAACCCGACACAGAACCATCTACTCGAGCTCAAGGTTGCCGCTTTCTCGTCTCTGCCCTACGAAGACTTCTGGAAGATCTTCGGCGAGGGCAAGCACCCCGAGTTCCGCTCCCTGCTCATCTCGAAGATGTCGCCCCACCTGTCCAGCCGCGCTTTCCAGTACTGGTTGAACAACGTTCACATCTTCACCAAGAGCAAGGGTGGCCTCTACGACACGGGCGGATCCAAGCACGGAATTCGCATCTTCCGCTGGATCTCGCGTGCTTTCGGGTGCCGGTCCGCCGTTAAGAAGCTGCTCGTCGCTAAGACGCTGAACGAACAGCGCGAGATCTGGCACCAGATGATCCGGCCGGCGCTGCTCTCGCGCCTCGTGGCCAAGTTAGTCGTAAGCCAAGAGGCTTTCCTGTGGACGGCGCTCGGCGTGCCCAAGAACCAGCTCGCGGTCATCGAGGACGACCACGCGGTCTCGGACGTGGTGAGCGGGCCGAACCCGCGGGCGAAGAACACGCGCTCGCACGCCATCTGGGAGTACATGGTCAACACGCTGGACCCGGTGGTGGAGACGACGCACATCGCGGTCGACAACCCGTACTATCTGGTCTGCCTCGACGGCAAGTTCAGCCGGCGCTGCTACCCCGACTATCTCGCGCCGAGCGCGCACGCGCAGCTCTCGCAGCCGGGCGCGTTCGACGGCCTGCGCATCCACACGGACGAGATCGACGAGGTGCTGGCACGCATCGCGCCCGGCACGCTGACGGTGGCCGTAGTCATGGACAGCATGGACTGGTTCGATCCCGGGTCGACGGCGGCGGCGTCGCAGATTGCCAAGCTCAACCGCGCCCTGCGCACCGGCGGACGCGTGATGCTGCGCTCGGGCGGCCTCCGGCCCTGGTACCTGGACGAGTTCGAACGCCACGGGTTCGTCGCCAAGTGCATGGGCTCCCGCTCGCCGGGGACGTGCATCGACCGCGTCAACATGTACGCCAGCTGCTGGATCTGCACCAAGCGCGAGAACCTGGCCCCGCCCACCCCAGAGATGGAGACGACGGGCAGTCCGGAGATCTCGTCGCTGCGGATCTGAGCTAGCGGATGGGGGACTTTGATCGAGCAGAGGAGGGGGAGGCAGGGATAGGACGAGGCAGGGTGCGAAGGGAAAAGTACAACATGTCGTGTTGCATCCTTTACGAAGATAGGCACCCTGTCCAAACGCCAGGCGGAGTTACATTCAAGTCGGTCATTGCATCTGTCCCGCTCAGGGGAAGCGGGCATTGGTTCAGCGCGCTGTGTTACCCCCCTTCGCTTCTGTGTAGTGAAGTTACGAACGCTGGAGCTTACGGTGAGGCGAGAGAGGGGAAGAAAGGAAAGGCAGAATAGATGAGAGAAAACTTGAAACCACGTCGTATAGTGTGATTTAGCGCCAGAATGCCAAGACGATCTGGATGATCAACAATCGTATCGGAATCGAAGCTCTCCTGAAGATAGCTGCCTGCCTCGCCTGGGAGGTAGGTACCTAGGTAGGTAGGTAGGTAACGGGTATCGCAGGAGGAAACGAAACGCGATAGACGGGTTTAGCCTCAATCTGCTCAACCTACAGCGGTGCCGCCCCGGTAACAGAGTAGGGCATCTGGCTATGGCGGGATCCGATTGGGTCCAGTAATTTGGGTGCCTAAGGCTGGGCAGCTTTAGGGTGGCATCACGGATTGTCGTAATTACCCCGTACGTGCATATGCATGTATACCTATCTACAGGGAGTCCTACCTATATGTAGGCAGTACCTCGCCATCCCTCGAGGCAAGGCGAAACCGGCCAAGTTCACCATCACGTCAGATCATGTCCTGAATCCCGACAACTTCCAGGACGTGTTGCCAACGGGATCCTATTAGCAGCACCTGCTGGACCAACTTGGGTGTGGAGTCCAACAGAATTCGAGAGAGGAGAGCAAATCTAGGCCAGTTGGGACACACACACACACACACACACCCCTCTATATATACCTACACCTACATATAATACGATACGCCGCGGGTAGCTCGCGTCGTTCGTCATGGCGCCACTCACCAACGAGCCGGACGCCGTGCGCGTCGTGCTGAATCTCGCCCGGCGCAAGGTATTCTATAACCTCATCCTTGAGATCGTGGCCTACATGCGATCGCAGATACAAGTCCCCGATCACAGCCCCGAGAGCTCGTCCCAGCCTTCTCCACGTTCGAATTCGGCGGGCGACGCGCCTCTATTCATACCCCGCAGCAGCAGCAGCGGCAACCTACTAGACGATGACGGCAATCCACCCTCGCTACCACTGCGCCCACGTGCCGCCGCGCCCCCGAGCCCGGCCCTAGTTAACCTGAGGAAGGCAGCGCTGCTCCATTTCGACTCGTGGCGCGATGAGACGCTTAGCAAGCTGAGGGAGGTTTTGGCCAAGGCGGACGACCAGAAGGTCGTCGACGCCCGGCGCAAGCGGACCGAACAGCTCAGCGCCAAGAGCAGGGAAGTGGCTAGTGACGGCGAAGACCTGCTTAGCTTCGGCGGCGAGCCGGCGTCGAGCCGGGGACCTTTGTTGCCGCCGTCGACCCTGGCTGACTTCCAGAACCTGTACCACCCCATCCCGACGAGGCTCACCACCATCCCGATGGAGGACCGCAAGGAGGTACTCAGCGCGACGCTGATCCTGCTGCTCTCCATCGGCAACTACTCGGCCTACTCGCGCACGCTCATCTGCTACCTCAGCTCCGCGCTCGAGATCCCGCCCCACTTCCTCAATACCGAGGAGACCGAGATCGCCACCACCATGGTGGAGGCCGCCCAGAAGGCCGACGCGGAGAGGCAGAGCGGCGCTATGTCGGCCGAGGCCGAGGCGCAAAAGCGGAGGGAGCAAGGCCAGGCCAGCCGCCTCTGGAAAGTCGGACTGGCGTCCGTTGCCGGCGCCGCCATAATCGGCGTCACGGGCGGGCTTGCCGCACCCGCGGTCGCCGGTGTTATAGGCGGTCTCATGGGGTCCGTCGGGCTCGGCGGCTTAGCGAGCTTCCTGGGCATGTTCTGGATGAACGGCGCACTCGTCGGCACCCTATTCGGAGCGTTCGGCGCGAAGATGACGGGCGAGATGGTAGATCAGTACGCCAAGGAGGTCGAGGACTTCAAGTTCCTACCGCTGCGGGAGGAGTGGGGATCCGGATGGTCGAAGACGGGCAAAGGAAAGAGCAACGACAAAGAGAGTAGTGCTGAGGCGCGGAGGCTCCGCGTCACGATCGGAATTAACGGCTGGCTGGTATCCGAAGAGGATGTGACCAAGCCGTGGCGGGTCCTAGGTGACGAGACCGAGGTGTTCGCTCTACGCTACGAGATGAAGAGCTTGATGGCACTAGGCGACCAACTCAAGGATATGGCGGCGTCGGCCATGTGGGTCGCGGTGCGGTCCGAGATCCTGCGCCGGACGGTGCTCGCTACCCTAAAAGGCGCATTGTGGCCCATCTTCCTGCTCAGCTCCGCATCCAGCGTCGACAACCCGTTCAGCCTAGCGCGCAACCGCTCCGAGAAGGCGGGCCGCATTCTAGCGGATGCCCTCATTAACAGGGTCCAAGGAGAGCGCCCCGTGACGCTGGTGGGATATTCGCTGGGCGCGCGGGTCATCTACGCGTGCCTGCGAGTACTAGCTGACCGGAAAGCGTTCGGGCTCGTCGACACAGTGGTCTTGATCGGGGCGCCGGTCCCGTCCAACGCGGTGCACTGGCAGATGATGCGGACGGTGGTGGCAGGCAAACTGTTCAACGTGTACAGCGAGAACGACTACATCCTCGGGTTCGTGTACCGGACGACGAGCATGCAGCTCGGCATCGCGGGGCTGCAGCCGATCGGGGGCGACATCGAGGGCGTCGAGAACCTCGACCTGAGCAACGAGGTGACGGGCCACCTGCGGTATCCGGAGCTTACGGCGAAGATTCTCGCGCGGTGCGGGTTCCCGGATGTGCGCGGCGGCGGAGGCGCCATTGAGAAGGACGAGGGCCGCATCGAGATCGAGCTCCGCGACCAGGACTGGGCGCAGAACGGGCTGCTGATCGACGTCGACGAGCAAGCGAAGCCTCCCCGCTATGAGCCAGGCGAGACGCCGAACGACAAATTCCTGCCCGACGTGAAGAATGTGTGGGAGCTAAAAAGCGATGCCTCCGTACGGGAAGCCAAGCTCAGGGCGACCAAGAGCGAGTCGGAAGGGCCGCCGGTGCGGCCCCCCCGGCCCGAACAGAATTTGGGCCACGCGGGCATCCGTGACGGCCTGGGGGCGCGTTCTATCACCGCCCCTGCCACCACGTCTGCTCGCATACCTGTTGCTGCCGGCGCTGCCGCTGCGGCCGGCACTCTCATCGGAGTTTCTTCCTCTAGCACCGGTGGCGCAAACAGGTTGCCGTCGCCGCCGCCTCCATATTCAATAGCGCACGACAGAAACGACGACGACTACGACGATGATTCGGACGAGGACGGCGGTGGGATCCGGATGATGGATAACGAGTCGGATGGAGAGCTCACCTTCATTGAGCCCTTGCGAATCGAGGATTAAGCGCTCCGGGGAGCTGGCGAGATGAAGGAGTATATGTATGCTGTACCCGTTGGCCAAGTGCAGGAGCGAGTATCCATTGTTATTGACTTCATATGCCTAAGCTATACCTAGGTATAGTTAGGCATCGTTTTTATTTAGGCAGGCATTTTTGAATTTAAGGGGCAACGGGACCGCCTCGTGCTATATAAACTCGAGGGAGACATGGTTCATGACTGGGTACCTCTCTATATCCACCCGAAGATCCAAGAAGCAACCGCGACAACGTCTATACGACGCTCTCACTTTTAAGGGGGTTGTCATCCGGCGATCCCTCTCCCACGAGACCCCGCAAACCGCAGCGGACAGGCGTCAGAATGGCTTGTACTGCCTGTCATCGGATCTCCCCTTCCTTAACCAGCCGACGGATTATATCGATGGAACTCTCAACGGCCACTTTTGCCAGCTATGTATACATTAGTGGTAGCGCGTGCGCGACCCCGAGCCGCAAAAGCCTGCGAAAGAAAGGGGGTAGATAAGAAGAGAAGTCGAAGGGGGCACCCGCAACGCAGGCATACACAGGGTCGCGGTAGTGGCAACAGCCTACAATTCTAGACCCAGAGCAGTAAATCCAAGAAAGGAAAATGCAGGAACCCACCTTAGTGCTCTGCTCCTCGAGGGCGCGCGCGGCCTCGCTGCCGTCGGCGATAGCGGGGCGGCGCCACTCGAAGACGTAGGTCATGAGGAGGTCGCCGGCGGAGCTGCGGCTGACGATGTTAGAGATGGTGGCGCCGTCGGCGAGCTGGGCGAAGTCGACGCGGCAGGGGGGGAAGAGGTGGCAGCGCTCGCGGACGGGAACGGGGTCGAGGGCAGGGGGAGCGCCGGCCGCCGCCGCCGCGGGGTCCGGATCGGGGCTGCCGCTCCCGGGGCGCGCGCCGGCGACGAAGCGAATCTCGCGCAGGACCACGTTGTCCGCCGACGAGGACAGCACGGTGCACGATCCGATCGCCGGCACGAACTCGTGCGCCCGGTGCACCTTACGCTCGAGCCCCGCCCACACCTGCGCCCCCGTGAGCACGGGCAGCGCGCCCGGCGGGTTGATCGGGGCCGTGTACGCGAGGTTGAGGGTCACCATCTCGCTGGCTTTTCACTGTTTTCTCGCCCGGCGACGCTGGAGGGAGGAGCGGTACGCAGGTTACAGGGCGTGTAGACGGCTAGATATCCAGGTAGACACAGAGGTGGGGAGGGAAACGCATGTTGACGGATCCAACGGGGAGGAGGAGGAAATTATACCTACCCAGCAGATATCGCGGCGACGCCGCGTTGGAATGCAGGGTATTGTTGGTGCTGCCCAGCCCAGCCGCGATGGCCTCCCATTCGCCGTGCCAGACCATCCAAGACCCTTGGCGCCGGCCTCGGGACCGAGCCTCCCTTGGGGAAATCCCGGATCCGCTACCTACTTGTCGATCTGGGATTTCTAGGATCGCCGGCTCGCGCAGCACCGCGATTCCTAACTGCTGAGGAGGAGGGTCGGAAGGGGATTGCTTAGATAGGTGCCTAGGTACGTTTAGAGCCCGAGGAGAGATGCGCTTTGTCGGTACGGTGAAGGAAGTTGCAGGCTGGCCCATCAGTTGAATAATGGGTTGGATAATCAAGCGAATATATAAAGTTGTCCACTTCCGATGCCAGCCCCCTTCTCCTCTTCCACTCTTCCAGCTGCACATACGGGCAACTAGCAACTGCATCGCTGCGTATCGCATGGCCAGAGGACAGGATATGCCGGCTTTGTCCAGCAGGTCATCCCTGGATGCAAAAGGCCGCGGCCAGCCCCGGGGCGAATCGACCCCGTGCTGCATTTGAGATTTTCTTTCGGCCCCAAAACACAGCGTCAGCTCGCTGTACCGGGAGGCGACATCTCCGGACGCCATCCCCTTTTCCCCGATCTGATGTCCGGAAACTGGTTCAGCCCTGGCCAACTGTTCCCCGCGATCCTGAGCTTAGACTCGCCCTTCCAAGGCTCATCTGAGCTCCTCTGCCTTCTTCCTCCAACATAAGCAGACAGTGAGATTCCCATCCGAGCTTGATGGCGATCGCGCCGCTAACTAGGTACGTCCTATGTCAGGTAGATGGCCGGCTGAACATATCTAAACGAGGAAACCTACACGTCTACGTTTTCACGTGGCCCTCATATGCCCACGTAGGGGAACCCACCGCACCGTCCCCTGTCTCGCCGACCCGACCTAGCGTATAGCAATCATTTTCAGGCGAAGTACGGATGCGTCCGCATGCTCTATAACCAACCCTTTAGTAAGTACGTTTGGCGATTTCCACAAGCGTTATGTGGAAGAGTCGGCAGCCGGGCTCAGCCGGGTAGCCCGATTTACGCTCGTTCACCACATCCTCGACACGACATAGTCGGGTTCCGGCTCAGCGAGCGATACGACACCAACGAGGGTGGTGATCGGCCCTGAGGCTATTGTACTATCTATTCGTGCGAGCAGTTGTAGGTTTCTTTCTACTTAATTGTTTGTCACGTAGCTGACTCGAGCGACGTATAGCAGTACGGGTTGCGCGCAGAGGTAGCAAGGGAATGTGGGTGAGGAGAGTGTATCGACTGACCGTCTAAGAAGGAAATCTATGAAAGAGTGCGGAGCGACTCGACATATATAAGAGTGCTCAAAAACTAGAAAGGCTATCCGCAAAGCAGAGGAGCGGGCAGCCCAGCAAGGAGGGCTAGACATAAACGCACTTTCGGGAGACGATTTACTACGAGAGATTTTGCGTGTAGTACGCGAAAAAAAAAGTTGCGAGTGCGCCAAAAAGGGAGGAAAGAAAGATGGAAAGAAATAATTAAAGTACAGGTTTAGGGGTTTCGTAGTTTTGTTAGTGTAGTGGTGCGGTAAGACTAGGCTACGTAGCCTTTTGGATGAGTATTTATATGAGTCTCGCACTTAGATTTTCATAGATCAGAGTTAGACCTGTAGGTATCACGACCTACAGCTATTTACTCTTTTCTCGATATGCCTTCGACCTCGTTCTAGTCGTTCTAATCCTTTCCTTTTCCTTATCCTTTCCCAGCTGCCGTTTTCAGCTGTCCGATCAGCTGATTACAGCTGTTCATAGCTGTGATATAGCTCGATCGGCACTGGGTCAGTTGTTGGCAGTTAGGTAGTCTTATTGCCCATATAGGTCTCTAACAGCGTGCCTACGCTGCTCCTGCTCGGTACTAAAAATAAACTCGAATTATTCTGTAAAGCAGAATGATTTAAGCTTTATTTTATATTTGCCAAGTTCTCTAAAGGCTGGGTTAGGTATTAGATATTAAACAAATGTAAAGATAATCGAATTAGTACCATACCGCCGGGAAGAAACAAAGGGAGCGGGGGTCTTTAATATTATCCGAGAGTAACACCTAAGCACATACATCATTATTAGATCCAGACGGATGGCGAGCCTCTCTCCCTGGCTGACCTCTTGGCCCGAATGCCATAGTCCATAGTATGCGCCGTTGGAACACGGGGGGCCCTGCTGATCCTAAGCTCGACGTCAAGGAACGCCCCGCCGCCAGCTCCCGCGGCAGCTCCCGCGTCCTACTTCAGATATTCTTCCGGTCGGTACCAGCAAGGTGCGTGTGTGTACCGAGTGAACTGCGACGAAGAATCGAGACTGATATACCTACCTCCCTACCTACCTACCTATACCCAGGTACCTAGGTAAGTGGTAGCGCCACAGGTGGGTGGGCAACAGCCGAAGCGGCTTGGTGCATGAATTCGTTATACTGTTTCCTTCGCTTGTGCATAGTGCTTTCTTTATACCCTCCAAACACACGGGTTTGTGCATACATCGCATGGCTAGGCGAGAAAATGCCCCACCGCTACAAACCGGCGCAAGCGATGATAACTTCTCCCACCCAAGAAAACACCATCACCCTGCCCATCCGCACAAGAACGCTCTGCCGCTCTGCAACATCTCTATCTGGCAGCTTCTGCCCGGCGCAAAAGTTGCAGCTTTTTACCAACCCACCGCCCCGCGTCCTCCCCAATTCTCGAAACTGAAGGAGCGAGTCTGCGACTTAGCTACCCCTCTCCTGTCCTTGTTCTTGTTAATTCTCCCTCTTCTTTTTTTTTTTTTCCATCGGCGCCTCTCCGCCTCCTTCTCTTATCCCTCTTGACCGTTTCCTAGCCCACCATCTCTCCCCCTTCTCCCTACCAGCCGCCGTTGCGCGAGAGGAGAAAACCTAACGAGAGAGTCCTTCTTGTCCTTTCTCTTACGGACACCAACTGCCTCTATCTCAAGGCATCAGGCAGCACTCGCCCACCACCATTTGCCTAGGGTTCGATAGGTTGGTCCTTTCAGGCGCAGCCTCGACATTCCTTGCCCGCTGAGGAACTTATCTTTGATCGCAAACCAACGAACGCCTCGTAGGCCTCGACCGTACGGTTTTAACCTCTTGTACCTTCACGCTCCGTACTTAGACCTTTCCTTCGCCCAACATGTCGGAACAAGTCGATCAGCCAGTCGATCAGCAGGTCGACCTCACCACCATCCCCATCGACCCCACCGGCGACAAGGGCCAGGATTCCCCCGCCGACCGAGATGACGAACTGATCACCGTGTTCCACAACAAGGACAACTTCAACGTTAAGCACCCCCTGCAGAACAAATGGACGTTGTGGTTCACGAAGCCCTCCAGTGGCAAGGTTGGTTTATTCCCCTCCGCTGCGCATATTCTACAACCAGCCAGTTTTCACACACTCTCTCTATATATATCTCGCCCGCGAGTTCTAACTAGCGATTTTCTTCCTATATAGGGCGACAACTGGAACGATCTTCTTAAGGAGGTCATCACGTTTAATTCGGTCGAGGAGTTCTGGGGGATTTATGTGAGTTCTCCCTCTTATTTCCTCGGCATCATCCACCCCGATTGTATTCGGTCCGAACCTGATCCGCAATACTGACGCAAGTCATCTACCCCGATCTTACAGAACAACATCGCGCCCGTCTCCGAACTGGCACTGAAATCGGACTACCACCTCTTCAAGGAGGGCGTGCGGCCGGAGTGGGAGGACCCCCAGAATAAGCATGGCGGCAAGTGGTCCTACCAGTTCAAGGAGAAGCGCAACGTAGACATCAACGACCTATGGCTCCATACGATGCTGGCCGTCATCGGCGAGACCCTCGAGGAAGAGGAGGACGGCGAAGTGATGGGTGTCGTCGTCAACGTCCGCAAGGCCTTCTACCGCATCGGTGTCTGGACACGAACCATTGGTAAGAGCATCCCGGGTCGTGGAGACGGCGACGTCGCCGGTGGCAAGGGACGTTCGGTCGAGAAGGGCCAGCGGATTCTGCACGCTATCGGAAAGCAGTTCAAGGAGATCCTCAAGCTGCCCCCGAGCGAGGTCGTCGAGTTCTCCGGCCACACCGACTCCGCCCACAGCGGCAGCACCCGAGCCAGGTCCAAGTTCACCGTCTAAGGTGTCGTCGCCCTCTCCAGCCCGGCCGGCTAGTTTGGCCAAGGAAATCGAACCGGCACGGCTGCTCTTGGGGCAAATCGTTCTTCGCCACGCCATCCCATCCTCGGCGCGGGCCCTCGGTAAATGAGGAATATCGATCTGCTGACCGGTCACTCGCCGGCTCGCCCTACGGTAAGTGTACGAAACGAAGTGGAAAAGCAAAGCTAGCAGAGGGGTGTCGTCCACCCATGGGAAGAGGAAAGAGGGTTTAAAGTATCGGGCGGCGGTCGCGATCGTCGTCCATTGATATGAACAGACGGATATTCTGCTCGCACTAGGCGGCACGGCTGTTATTGGTTGCTCTCGTCGCTGCGCGAGTACCGACTTTTTCTGTTTTTTTTTTTTTGTCTGTCTATCTCACGGCAGTGCCACGGCATATGCCTTTTTTTAGTCTTCCCTTTCCTTCTTACTTTCCTCCCCCCCCCCTTCCCCCCCCCCTCTCTCTCCCGCGCAGACAGCAGACGAATATCATGATAATTGCTCTAAACCAGAGTTCGTACTAGATCGCGTCCTGTAGAGACGATTTAATACCTATGTGGAGGGCATCCATACGTACACCGTGTCTGCAGAGTGCCTACTTGCTACATGGCTTGTGACGGATGGCGCGTGCCGAAGTAAAATAGGTATTACCCCTAACTACACGGGGGACGACGTAAACTCGTCATCTACTCGGGCACGTACGCGTCTAGTTCCCAGGTCGACCAGGCCCGAGGCGCGCGAGACGCGAACTTGTCGCTTCGGGCTGGCATGGCAAGCAAGTAAGCAGACCGCACGTGTGCGGGCGCGGGGTGTGCATGCGTAGGAGTAGAGTACGCGCTGGGGCATGTGGGAGAGGGGAGATGGGCGAACGACAAAGAAGGGAACGGGGACGACGGACCCGGAAGAGGGTGACCGATACGGGGTGATGCAGGAGGAAAGCGTGTACGTGTGAGTAGCGCAAAGAGAACGCAGGAGAAGGCGCCGGGAGGGGAGAGAGTGGTAGTAGTATAGTAATTGTTATTGTTGTAGTAGTATAGTAGTAGTAGCGTAGCAGCAGCAGCTATTCCGAGCCCCTCCTAGGCCATGTAAAATCGACACACGCTCTCCCGTGGCCGCTCGTTCCTCGTCTCGCGGCCTGCCATCGCGACAACGTCGAGTGTATAGTAGTAGGCGAGACAGGCCGGTCAAATCAACGTCCCGCACGCGTCGGGGTCCTTCGTCCTGATATACCCTTTATATACATCCATCCATCCATCCATTCATCCCTCCGTCCCTCTCCCCCCACGTCTTCCCCTCAACCAGGGCCCCGCACTCCCCGTCTCAGCTAGCTAGCTAGCTAGCTCCCTTCGTCCGAGCGGCGAGAGAGAAAAGAAGAAGAAAAAAAACTCACCCGCCCAAGAGTTCGACGCACCTTCTCCCGCATCACATCTCGTCGCCGCTGAAGTCGTCGGTGAACACCTTGCGCAGCAGCTCCTTCTTGTTGATCTTGCCCATCGCGTTGCGCGGGATGTGGTCGACGACGCGCAGCACCTGCGGGATCTTGTAGTTGGCGAGGCGGCCCTTGAGCGCGCGCCGCATCTCGAGCGGCCGCCAGGGCGGCGCGAACCCCGGCGCGTGGATCAGCACCGCGCCCACCTTCTGCCCCCACTTGCCCGACGGCACCGCCACCACCGCCGCCTCTGCCACTTCCTCCAGCGACAGCAGCTCCCGCTCCACCTCCAGCGCCGACACCTTCTCCCCCCCCGACTTGATGATGTCCGCGCTCTGCCGCCCCAGGATGAAGTACATCGGCCCCCGCGCCCACGGCCCGCTCCCCGGCCGCCCCGCCCCCGCCACCGTCCGCCGCACCGCCACGTCTCCCGTCTTGAACCACGGCCCCCGCCCGTCCTCCGCCGCCACGAACTCCTTCGCCGTCGCCGTCGGGTTCGCCCAGTACTCGCGGAATACGTTTGCCCCGCGCAGCTGGATCTCGCCCGAGCGCTCCTTGCGGCTGTCCGGGGAGGCTCCGCCTTCCGCCTCCCCCTCGCCTTCCCCCGCCGGCGAAAGGTCGTCCTCGATCACTTCCCCCGTCTCCGTATCCACAAGCCGCGCCTCGACCCCGGGCAGCGGCCAGCCCACGCTCCCGTCGACGCGGTCGCCAAAGTCGAGACCGCACGATAGCGCCATGCCGACCTCGGTCATGCCGTACCGCTCGAGCAGCACGTTCCCGCGGCTGAGGTCCTTCCACGCTCGCTTCACGGGCGTCGGGAGCGCCGCCGACCCCGAGATCGACACGCGCATGTGCTCCGGGCTGATGCCGACGCGGCCGGCCTCAGCCACGTTCGGCGGCAGCGCCTTGTGCGTTGAGAGGAGGCGCGTGTACACCGTGGGCACGACCGTAAAGAAAGTGATCTTCACGCGCGACATGTTCTTGTACTTGTCCTCGTTGCCCTGGTTGGCGGTCGGCTTGGCCGGCTCGGGCAGCTTTGTAGCCACCGCTGCCGTCTCCACAGCCGGGGTGTTGACGCCGCTCGTCGACACGACGGGCGAGCTGAAGCCGGTAGAGGTGATGGCCGGCTCGTGCGCGGCGCCGTTAGTCTGCTGCGCGGTGGAGGTATTGATGGGGTTCGCGAGCACGACCGGCTGGTTGATTTTAGTGGCTAGATTGTTCACCTCGGCCGAGAGCTGGCTGATCACAGTCGCTAGACGGCTGATCTGCAGAGAGAGAGGCTGGCCGAAGCCGTTGAGCTCCACAGCGGGGGTGGAGGCGCCAGTCACCTCTGTGATGGGGGTGGTGGTACCGTTGGATTCTGGGGCTGGGACATGGAAGCCGTTGGTGTTCACAGCCGGAGGCTTCGGAACATCGAAGCCGTTGATGCCATTAAGCTTAGCGATGCCGTTTATTTTTAACGGGTGGGAAACACCGTTTGCCTTGACAACAGGCTGAGCAATATCGCTGGCCTTGGTGGGCGCCGCAGCGACCTGGGGCGAGTCCAAGAAGGGAGTGGCAAAACGACGCCACACGGTGTCAGCATTGAAAGGGAATAGGAATTCGATGCTGCTACCGGCAAAGAGGGGCGTCAGGAGGGCGTTCACGGTGCCGTGGATGTGATGAAGGGGAAGCACGTGAAGGAGGCGATCCGACGGTGAGTATTTCCAAGCCTCAATCAGGGCGCGGGCCTGAGCTGTAAGTGCACTCTCGGGCAGCAGTACGCCCTTCGGCCTGTTGGTCGTGCCGGATGTGTAAAGCATCATGCCGGCGCCCTCGGCATTGTCATCCTCTAGGAGCGTCACGGACTCGAATGTCTCCGAGATGGCGCCGAGGTGCTTCGGCAGCTCCACGGGCGTCGGCGAGGGCTGGACATCGAGCTCCGGGGATCGCGTAGTGAGGACCTCGTCGACTTTGGCGGTGTACTTTGGCGAGTGCAACAAGAGCGAGGCTTGGGATTGCGATAGAATATATTGCAGCTCGGGTGCTGGAAAAGGTGGTGATAAAGGTAGGGCGATAGCGTGTGCGGCTAGAACGGCAAGGAATGTGACTGCATTTGCAGGAGTCAGCCACCCGTGCATCAACAAAAGAGAGGGCCAACCCGTGAGGGCCGACCCCAAGGCACATCAGCTTTTACGGTAAGGAAACCAGGTCACGCTTACCAACATAGTCGTAGCTGTTCTCTACCAGGAACGCCACCCGCGCCCCTCGGATATCCGACTTGCCTGCGGCGGCAAGTATGCGGTCACGGACACGGGACACATCTGGCAGGATCTCGCCGTACTTGAATGTGCGGCGGGAGAGGCAGTGGACGACGGCAGTGGATTGCGGGTTATGACTCGCTATGGCGTCGAAGATGGGCAGCTTGGGGAGGGTCAGAGTGGAAGCCATCCTGAAGTGATGTGGGCAATATGTGCCGAAGGGAGGGATGGGCGGGCGGAGTGTTGAGGACGAGCGGTGCGCTGGGGCGATAGTGGAATATATAGCAGTGGCAGGACGCGCTGCGGTGGTACGGCAGGGGACCCAAAAACGGCCAACCGAGACAGCAGATCTGGTTCCAGCGGCGAGGCGCTGGGACGAAGCCGAAGACGACGAGAAGGAGGACGATGACGAGGTAGCCTTAACAATCTGACGGAGGCCACTGCCACGCAATCGCATCACTGGGTTAGACAGGTCGGCGGTAAAACTAGCTGGCTAATACCTGGATGCCACAACCGCCTCGCCTCGACACTTCTGCCCCACGCACGACCCCTTCTGAATAGGCAGGAGACGGAAGCGGAGGGACTGGGGGAAAAACGGGGGTAGGTATTTGAAATACCAAGACACTGGCGAGCAGGGGGAGGAGAGAGCGGATGCTCGAGTCGGCTTGTTTAGTTGACGGACGGACAGTATAGGCAGATTGTAGGCGGACGGCGGGTCTGGCTGATTGGAGACAGCTTCCTCCCGGCAGGTAGCTGGATGGTTGTGTAGGAGGTAGGCGATGTGTGTAGGTACGGAGGTGTGTATGGAGTTAGGTAGATGCGGAGTGGTGTAGTGGTGGGCATCTACTTTACTCCGTACCGGATGGCATCCCCCTGTCGGGCTTCTTCTTTGTCTCTCTCTGGCTGTCTCCGGCTCTCGCTCTCACGCTCTGCTTCTTTTTCGTCATGCAGCTGGCTATCGGGTAATGTTTTTTCGAATATGCCCGAGACCGTGGGGGAGTGGACCCCTGCTTCGTCGGGCAGCGGGCACTGAAAAAACCCCCCGAAAAGAGATAATAACCCCCCCAAAGAAGCTGTCTGTGGATGCAGAAGGAGGATGAAGCATCGCAGGGTGTGGAAAGGTCGGAAAGTGTTGAGATTTCGGGGTCGCTTTTTTTGCCGTAGCGACAGGCCATTGGTCAATTAGGCCCAGCGCCCTTTCGCAGCCCCCTGCTAGCTTCGCCAGGCGGCCCTGGTCGGCGTCGGCTGTCCGAAAAGATGCTAGCCCAGCCTACAGTGGCGCCAGCGGACGCCAGGAGGGTGGCAGAGACCCACTGCCACCTGCATGGGCAGTACAGAGCAGACCTACCTGTAGGCTGGTACCTTTAGGTGCCTACCTACCTAAGTAAGTACCTAACGTCTGGTAGCCGGACAGCTGGACAGGTACCCGCGGGCAACCGACAAGTCAAGCAGAAGCAAGTAGACGTCACTGAGGTACCTAATAATCTGCTGACGGGCAGATCCCTTCCTATCCCTTCTTATCCCTCATCATCCGGCTTCGTCCCGCCCTCATCCACGATAGCTTGCTTACGGCACACCACCTTGTCGCTTGTCTGCGGTTCGCCAGCTCTCGCCGCCGACCCGCTGCGCCAAGCCTATCTCTACCAGACAAGCTCAGCCTAGCTATCCCGTCATCGGGGATTGAAAAACGGTTCGACGCGCAACACCACATCTAGAACCCGACGACACGAGGGAGGGTAACGTTGCCTACCTACCTACATCTTCCACGAGCATCCCATCTACATGTTGCCGCGACACGTGCATATATTGCCCAGGGCAGCGATAGCAGCAACAGCAGCGACACGAGCAGCCCTCCCCGCCGCCGCCCCCGCCGCCGCACCACCGCCAGCGAGACAGCTTGCCACCATGGCGTCATCGTCATCGCCGCCGCCGACCACGACGTCGAATACGCCGATGGAGGACGCCATTCGGGCAAAGGTGAATTTCCCACCCCCCGCTGTCGCTGTGCCGACTCCACCGCGCGCGCCTGACCTCGTTCCAACCGGGCCGAGCAGCAGCAGCAACGGTAGCAGTGGAGGGCCCTAGCAGGCGGTCGTAGTACTACGACACAGTAAGCATCTCACTAATCCCGAGCACACGGCGCTAACCCGCGGGCCTGCGTGCGCGGTGCGCGCGGCCCCCTCCCCTCTCCTGCGCGCGCCGCCGCCGCTCCCCTCGCCCCCCCCCTCCTCGCAGATCACCCAGGCCCTGCAGCCCTCGCGTCTGGAAATCTACAACGACTCGGCCAAGCACGCCCACCATGCGCCCATGGTCGCCGCCTACGGCCGCCCCGGCGCCGCCGCCGCCGACGGCCCCAAGGAGACGCACTTCCGCCTCGTCATCACCTCCGCCGCCTTCGTCGCCAAGCCCCAGCCCGCCCGGCACCGCCTCGTCTACCGCCTGCTCGCCGCCGAGCTCGCCGCCGAGGGCGGCGTCCACGCCCTCCAACTGAGCACCACCACCCCCGACGAGGAGGAGCGCAAGAAGCAGCGCGCTGCCGAAGCCGCCACCGCCGCCGCCGCCGACGAGTAGTAGTGGGGGTTTCCGCGGCCGAGGCGGCAGGGCGCGCGTACGTGTGCCGTAGGGCGCCCGCGGGGCTAGCTCGCGGAGGATAGCAATGTCGCGGAGCCGAACATACACAGAAGTGCACTAAACGGTGCGTCAGGAGCAGAAATACGGCCAACCGGCGACTGTCATTCTTGTAGACTAAGCGGGCGTTTTGGAAGTCAAGCTCAACACACCATGCATACCGCCTCCGAGACTCTCTCCTAGTAATATGATACGTGACAGGTCGTGATTCACGTCCACATGTATGTACACACCGAAAACACGCTCCGTAACATGCTCCGTACTCGTCCGTAGACATGCTTCGACCGCTACGCCGCGCGAATAAACGATGAACGTGGGGGGTATCGTCGGCGCCGCACCGCACCGCAAAGCACACGCAATAACTCCGCCTCCTAGAAAGGAAAGAAACACCCATAGCCAACCCGCTAAGCCAGCCGAAGCCAGCAGCCACCCCTCGCGCTCGCGCGCTTACCCTCCCCCCGCCGTCGACGCACCCGTAGCCGTAGGCGCCGCGCTGGAGCTGGCCGCGCAGCTCAGCGCTTTGCGCCTCTGCACGAACCTGAGGAACGGCCTGTCGTCGTCGACGGCCTCGGCCTTCTTCTTTTTCTTCTTCTTCTTCGCCGTCGCCGGGGGCGCTGTGCTGCTGCTGGGCGCTGCGGGGGGTGCGCCGGCGCTCGTCGCGCGCTTCTTGGGAGTGCTGCCGAGCTCGACGCTAGGCTTGCGCTTGTGGGCGTCGGTGAGGCTGCGGGCCGAGGCGTGGAGGGGCGAGGAGCTGGGCTCGCGCGGCGGCGAGACCGCTGCCGAGGGCGGCCGCGCGGGGCTGCTGGGCGTGGCGGCAGCTAGCCCCCGGTCGCCCGAGCCCGTCGGCTGGTGCGCCGGGCTGGGCCGCCGCGCAGAGCTGCTGGGCACGGCGGCCGGCAGCTCCAAATCGCCCGGGCTCGTCGGCTGGTGCGCCGGGCTGGGCCGCCGTGCAGAGCTGTTGGGCACGGCGGCCGGCAGCTCCCAATCGCCCGGGCTCGTCGGCCGGCGCGCCGGCGCGGGCGGCCCCGGCGACGCGACGCTGAGAGGGCGTGGTGAAGGGAGGCGCGGCGAGGAAGGTCCCGGATCCGGGCCGCCTACGCTCTCCGCGAGGAGACCGCGGCCCGCTGGCGCCGGGGTGCTCGAGGGCACGGGCGCGACGCGGTCCGTCGGCGGCGCGGTTCTCGCGCTGGACACCGCCGGCGCGGTCGCAGGCGTCAGGTCCAGGACCTGCCTCGCGGCGCGGAGCTCGTCGGGGTACGCGTCGAGCGTCGCCTGGAGGTTTTGCTTGGTGACGACCCGGCTCGTGTACAGGGGGTCGTCGTCGATGTCGTTGTACCAGTCGATGGCGTTCATCGCCCGCGCGGGGGGCTCGGCCTCGTCGCATTCCGCCACGTAGGTGACGTAGCCCTCGTGCCAGGCGCGGATGAAGTCATCGTACAAGGACGTGCGTATCCGCCTCTGCTGCAGCTGGATGTATATGCAGGCGATCACGAAATCGCCCACGCTCCCGCCGTAAGACGGGTACGTGCTAGCGAACCGGATGAAGGGGCCCTGTGGCGCTGAATCGGCCTGCATGACGGCTGGAGGAAGCCGAGGCTGGGGGGTAGGCGACGCAGGGCGTACCGGTTGGAGGGGCGCCGATGAACGCTGATGCGCGGACGAAGGCGGACGAGCTGGTGGCGAAGTCGAATATGTGAGATCTTCGGGATGGATGTACGATTCCCGGGTGGGAGTAGCGTCTCGCCTGGCGCGCTTGTTGGGCGATATCGTGCGCCGAGCTTCATCCTGTATGGTGCACGGCACATTTGGCGAGGATGTGAATTTTGCTGGTAATGACTTCTCAACGTCTGCCTGTCCATGCCGCAAATTCGAGGCCTCGTAATGGAGATGCGACTGTCTCGGTTTAGCCTTGGGCGGTTGATATAACTCGGGAACACGCCTATATGGTCGTGGTTGTGGGCCCTGTTCCGGCTTCCGTCCGGACTGGACCTTTGGTTCCTCGGACTGTTGGGTGAGGGTGCATGGCACAGTCTGAGCCTGAGCGGACGGCGGTGTACCGCTTATCAGACCAATTGGCTTGCTGACTTCGAGGGCGTTGTCGTCGACGGTATTAGGCACCTGAACCTCAAGCTCATCCTCCTCTTCCGGGGCGCTCGATGGGAGGTAATATAAGCTCCGCCGCCGTGGAGTGGGGGATGCTGCAGACGCAGGAGATGCCGTAGGCTTGGGCGACGGTTCTAGCGGTACTTGTGTGAGGAACTCTTGTTCATCCTCCTCCTCGCTTTCGATATTTTCCTCCTCGACGTTTTCGATATTCTCCTCCTCGATGCTTTCGATATTTTGATGCCTAAGAGGTGGGAATTTATGACTAGGGCTACTCTCAGTCCAAACAGAATCAGAATGATGTTCAGCTTGACTCGCTTCCCGCTGGTCCTCATCGCTGGGATCTTGCGACACGCCAATTGGACGAAGACTGTCTGTTCGTGTCGCTCGTAATTGTCGGGCATGCCATTTCTGCAGATTTTCAAGCACATGTCGGGGTACATTCGGAGATCGGTCTGCGTGCGCTGTCGCCCAGGATTCAGGGAGGTCGAGAAGCTTCTGCTGATCGCTCGGAATCAGGACGAGACGGCGTCGGACCGGGGTCTCTCCGAGAACATAGGATGGAGAAGATTCGGAAGAGCCCCGGACCTGTGTCGGCGGGTTCGAGGCTCTCGACATGTCCACCAAGTTAGGGCAATAAGGAGGTACGCAGTGCTCAATTCGCGTAGCAAGAGTACGTTTACATCGGCGTCGCAGCTGCCCGAGCCCGGGACTTGGCTCCGTCGCGTTACGATTCAGCGAAATAGTGCGTTATGAAACAGCTGCCCTACTTACGGTAGCCACCCGGCCGGCGCTTATCATAAGGGTCGGTTGATGGCAGGGAAATGGACAAGTGGAAAAAGATAACGGTCAAAAGAGAAACCCGTTACATTCGGACAATTGATGCCGGAGCAACGCGTGAACACGTGGTAAAGCAGAGCTCGGATCCAAGGCAACGGGGTTTGCGTGGTAGGAGTGCGCTTGGCACTACTGGTGCCAAGGTACCGACCTCTACATCGAGTTGCCTGGAAGACTGTGCGGTTTTGGGACATCAGGTACTATGGACCTTAAGTACCTCCCTAGGTCCATATGAGGTACCTCCCAGTCAGATAGTCATCACACAGCATGCAGCCCTACGCAGCTTACGCGGTTCCCTTGGAGGTACGCCAGGTGGCAGGCTCGTACCTACGTAGCGGTGCTATGCGACAAGAATGAAGACGGCAAATATGCAAATGTGAGGAATCGTAAAAATCTAAGCAGAAATGTACATATGGTTGGTGATACGCGTCTGGGTTGGAAAAGGGGAAGAGGAGGTAGATAGGTATGAAGCAAAAGGGAACAGACCTACCTAGGTAGGTAGGACCTAGGTAGGTACCTAGGTTGCCGACCTGCTAGCACTTGAGCCTCGGGTTAGGTGCCTTAGGTACCTAAGGTATTCAGCCACCCGCATTCCACTGCCACCCATCTTCAGGGGTCACCGTTACCCCGCCCGGATGTCATGTGCTAAGGCTCCAGGTCTGCGATGTTTAGGTAGAGACATGTACCAGACCTATGCCAGGCAGGGCGTTAGGTACGGTGGATGGCGGGGTGCGGCCTGATACAGCCTAGGTGCCTGTGTACCTAATATAGCTAGACGAGGCAGGGAGGTACCTCCCCGCTTAGCTTATTGTATTGCCTCCCAGACCAGACGACGTTCAACCTCCTCGAAGCTTGACTCCATCCACCTTATCCATCCCATCCCATCCCATCCATCCACTTCTCATCCACCCACCTATTCATTCATGTGTGATCGTTACTTAGGCCAGCCTACTGACTTCTCCTCCTCCTCCTCCTCCTCCTCCTCCTCCTCCTCCTCCTCCTCCTCCTCTCTGCCTCTACAGCCTCGCCTCTCTACCCTCCACCCACTTTACCCATGTAGTGACCCCTACCGTATTTGGTGGACCGTCAGCCAACCCCCAACCATGTCCGCCTATCTTCCCTCTTGCATCAAGAAGATATGATGCACTCTATTCTGCCACTTTCATCCGCGTAGCGTCATCGTTTCTCTTTCCGTGGCGGCTTTTTCGTCATTTCCAGTCGATTAGCCGACATTCCGATATACGTTATCGTACCTTCACCCACGCAGCCTCCTAATCTCCGTCTTCCCTCGGAACCGCTATCTAGAGAGTGGAGGAGGGAGCACCAGATGATTAACCCGTGCAAAGGCCGTATTCTGTATTTGTGCTCTTGTCTAAAACCGGCCTCCCGACGGAAACTGGCCCTGTCGAGGGCAAGTCCGACGTAGTAGGTATAATGATACGGCTCGTTTAATCTACCGCTCCCACTTCTGGTCACTAACAAGCACCGTTTCTGGCCGATAGCCATACGAGTCAAATAACCCGAGTCTGGCCACGGATGCCTCGCCTCGATCGACAACATGTCTGACCAGAAGCCCCCCTTATCCTCCCTCTCACCCGCCGCGAGAGCTTCCTCGACATCCAAATCGCGCGATGGTTCCGTAGCTTCCTTGTCCTCCGAGGCCCCTCCGCAGATCGATAGGGGCCAGCTTTCTCATGCCTTCGACCAAATCCACAGCACCTCTCAGAAGAAAGATATCCTGACCACGTTTAAGGCACTGGGACCGCCACCTTCTCCCTCTTCTGCCGTCGAGGGTAAAGGAACTGCGAGCGATCTCGTGCAAAACGGCTTAAGCGGACTCTATAGCCGCTTCAAAGAAGTTGTTGGGGTCGGCGGGAAGGATAAGAAGGAGAATCCGGACCTGAACGACGGGGATGCTGCGTCAAGAAAGAGCTCGAGTACCACCGCCACAGCGTCTAAGAAACCGGGCTCCTTACTACATGTCGACACTGGCGTCACAAGTTCGACGTTCAACTCAACATCGCCCGACCCGACGGCTTCTGCCATTACATCCTCGGACGCTGTTTCGATTAGCGAAGGGCAATCTCAGCAGCCGTACTCAACCATGGCTTCGTCTGTTTCGAACCTCCCCGGGGCACCAAATTTAAAATCTACATCTTCGAGCTTCCAGAGCATGTCGAGTATGACGAAACCAACTGCCGCCGTTGTCCCGGTGCACGCCAGTGCATTTAAAGACGGACCTCGCGGCGTATTATCAAAGACGGAAGACAGCCAGATTAAGGGAGGCGGCCGGCGGAGCATTAGCAAGCCAAATGATGGACAGCACTCTGCCACTACCTCGGAGGTATCGACGGTACACGATGCAGTAGGGAAGAGGCATGGCCCGCCCGTCGACAAGATCCCAGTCCCTAGCCATCCCAAGCGAGAGGATGGGCCGAACATGGAGGGAAGCACGAACTCTCCTACAACCCCCTTGAGGGGATATAGAAATCCGCCAGTTATGTTACCAGCAGCTACCTCGCCCCCATCTGACTCCGGTGCGTTACCGCAGTCGATTCAGCCGTCGACAAGGGATGCCATCAGGCGACCTGCTCTTCTTGATCGGATTGGCTATTCTCGGCCTTCCGATAATCTCTCGAGGTCCTCATCCATATCACGAGGCACTACCGAGAATAGCCCTATAAATACATCTGCTCATGATAGTATCCACCACGAATCGTTCACGCAAGTCCCCGAACCTAGACAGATGAAGTCCGGGGAGTACAGGATACCGGGCACGACCGTCGATGAGGGTGCCCGTGAAACGGTCAATGCGAAATTGGCTTCCATGCGAAAACAGATCTTGAGCAAGGACTTTTGGATGGCCGACGAGACATGCAAAGAGTGTTTTCTGTGCGCAGCTCCGTTCACTGCCTTTCGCCGAAAACACCATTGTAGGACTTGCGGCTGTATTTTCGACAACGGGTGCACATCTATCATCTCAGGAGAGCGGTTTGGTGTCCAAGGAACACTTCGCGTGTGTCAAACTTGCTTGGCGATCATCCGCCAGAGACAGGACGGGCCCGCCTCGGATGACTCGGCAGATGATTCATTTCTTCCGGCAATGTTTCGCCAGAATGTATCCAAGACACATCCACCGCCTCCAAAAGCGGAGCGAGACTATCCTAGTGCCTCGGAAAGAGTCGAAGATATCGAGAATAGATCGCTAGCTACGCCCTTGATGGCGATCCCTGCCGCGCGGCGCATCGGAGAGTCCTCAAACCGCAACTCGGCAGTGCTAGAGATCGACTCACCTCAGTTGAGCCGCCCAAGCTCGTCAAGGTCCTTAAGGTCTAGTAACACCTCGGGCAAGCCTCAGCCATTTGGCCACAGACGTCATCACTCGAAGCACAACTTGTGGAATCGCCTCAAGACTTCCCCGGAACAAAGAGCGCCCTTTCGTAAACTGGCAGGCGAGGAGGTCTCTAGGAAGGCTGGCATGCACGCCTTTCATGACGACAATGTCATTGATCCCGATTTGGCACCATTTATGTCGGATGAATCGAGCGGTGATGAGCAGATGAGCATAGCGGAGGTGATGGGCAGATCTGATTTACAAGGCCCAGCCATGACTGACCCCGAGAGATCGTTTGGGTCGTACCTGAGTGCCGGGAGGAGGGCTAAAAACCGTGCCCAGGTAGAAAAGAGTGTTAGCGGTCTGAGCTTCACGAGCCGTGGCTTGGATGAATTCCACCCAAGGCCCTCGAGACGACGGAATATGAGCATTGCCAGCGGACACGTCGTACGGTCTCCCCGGCCCAAATCATCCGCCCTGAGAGGACCGATCGGATCGAACGAGACGCTTCCGCTCCTCGACACTTCGTTGGCACCCGACGTACGACGTATCACTCGAAGCTCGTCTATGAAAGGAGACAAGGCGCCTCGTTTGGAACTCAATCCCGCAAGCCTAGTACACGTTCGAAAGCTCCTGCGACAGCTACTCCAAGACACGGATGTGCCGAACGTTAGTTCTTGGGAAAAGGCGTTGATGCCGATTCTCCTGACCTGTACTGCATCCGTGGATCCTGACATCGAAAGGGGGGATGACATGGATATCCGCCACTATGTTAAACTCAAAAAGATTCCCGGGGGACGGCCAGGTGACACTTGTTATGTCCCAGGCGTTATATTCACGAAGAAGCTAGCGTTGAAGAGCATGCCGCGTCGCATGGCCAATCCCCGTGTCGTGATCGTCTCCTTCCCGATTGAGTACCACAGGCATCAACAACAATTTATGAGCTTGCAACCGGTCATCGAACAGGAGCGAGAGTACCTGAAACAGTTGGTAAATAGGATCATCGCCCTTCGGCCTCAGTTGCTATTGGCGGAAAAAAGCGTAGCAGGTCTCGCGATGCAGTTCCTATCCGACGCGAAGATTGTTGTCGTCTGTAATGTAAAGCCGTCTGTTCTTACAGCCGTGTCGAGATGCCTCGAAACTGAAATTATCTCGTCCATAGACATGCTGGCCCTCCCCTCACACCAATTCCAACCAGGCAGGAGTCCCGGTTATGAGGTAAAAACGTTTGTGAACGAGCATATTCCTGGTCGAAAGAAGACGTACATCTTCGTCTCTAGCAGTCAAGAGGAACTCGGATGTACAATTGCTCTCAGAGGCGCACCCATCCCTGTTCTCGCCAAACTCAAGCGCATTACCGAGTTTATGGTGTATGTGGTCTATAACCTCAAACTCGAGTCGTGCTTGATGCGAGATTCGTTCATTCAGCTTCCTACCAGCGAAGAGTTATCCGGGCACTCGAGCCAAGCCATGGATGAGAGCCTGGGCTCGTTGGCTACCAAGAGATCTAGTACGGCCGACGACGGACAGAGAAGCACGTCCACAACCACCCAGGACACACCCAACAGCCAGGATAGTCACTCCGCACCGGGGATCGTTGAAGAGTCACCGAGTAGTGCAGTCTCGCAAGAGCCGCTTCTCCCGCAGCCGGCTCACGATAGCGCAGTTCCGGAAGATATCCCCATGCCGTCCTTTTACAGCGATATGGTCGCAAAATATGAGACGAAAATTCTGTCTGTCTCTCCATTTGTCAAATTTGCGCAGCCCTATCTATTGATGAAAGCCCGGGAGCAGGAAAGACGGTTAGTTCATTTGAAGCGGCTGCGAGATCAAGACATCATTGACGAGCGTGCGGACCCCGAGAAATCAAATCCCCAGAAATTTCAGCTCATAAAACCACGAATGGTGCTCGAGACTGGTCACAAGGCACCCCGGCAGATCATGGAAATCCTTCATGCAGTCCACGATGCCGAGTATGACAAAGCCTTCTACAACTATCAGACACAGACAAGGCAGTGGGAAAACAACATCCAAGGCAATATCGGCTTATTCGAGCCGTATGCGCACCAGAGAATCGTCGTATTGCATTCTATCATTTGTACGGAAACCAAGATTCCGTGCCTGGAGCCGACTTTGATCGCGTTTGGTTTCTATGATGAGCACGTCGACTTTCCTAGCGGAATGTCTCCCGACTGCACGCTGGGCCAATATATCGAGGACGTCTGCTACAATTCGGACGACTTGTGCAAATCTAACAACTGTGATCGCAAAATGGGCGACCATCACCGGACGTATGTCCACGGCGAATCCCTCATCACCATCTTCGTCGAGCCTGACACGAAAGGCACGTTACGGGACGACATTATGATGTGGAGCTATTGCAGGCTTTGCCGGCGAGAGACGAATGAGAAGGAAATGTCTAGGGAAACCTGGAAATACTCCTTCGGGAAATATCTTGAGCTGTCGTTTTTGAGTAGAGGGACCCATCTTGTCGAGGTCGAGGATGGCGACGGCTGGAATTGCCCTCACGATCACCATCGCAACCATATACGATACTTTGCAGTTCATGACAAGATCATTCGTATCCACCATGACCCTGTCGAGCTTCTAGAGATCATTGTTCCGAGGGCGAGGATCACTTGGAATGTTGAACATGATCTTAACATGAAAAATGATATTTTCTCCCATGCCCAAGAGAGGTGGGCCCGGTTCACGACTTCGGTAAAAGCGAGGTTGAAAGCCATTAATATCGACAACATCGTTCCCGAAAAAGTCGATTCATGCAAGGCGGAGATGGAACGGCTATCTAAAAAGATATCCGAAGACCATAGCTCTCTTGTGCGAAAACTCCAAGAAAAATACATGAACTCCAAATACTACGAGGTCATCCCCTTTAACGTCGTTCTTCGGGAAATGCTCGTCAAAGTTGGTGAATGGGATGCTGTCTTTACCAAGTTCGAGGCCGATTTTCTACCCTCAGATAAAGACATACGAAGGTTAACCCTGATTCACCTCCGTAAAATGTTCACTGATGAATCAAAAGAGTCACTTCCGAATAATGAAACGATAAATGAGACGACAGAGATAACTGAGGAAGCCACACAGAGCAGCATCCCGGAAAGCGATACTAGGACGGATAGCCAGCCGACGACGACTGATTCGGATCCTGCTCAGCTCGACGCAGATCAGGAACAAGCTCCTCTGGACGTACCGGTTCCAGATGCAACACCAGTTCATGTGGCTGATGAAGCTCTGGATAGAGTTGAGCCACTTGACCTAGCAACGCCGAAAATACCTGCGCACGACCGTCCGGTTTTAAGCCGGCCTGAAGGTGGCATCGCCGCTTTTCAGGCGCAGCCGCTGCCGAACCCTGACCCGGTTCTGCCGTCTCCTGAGCTAACGCCAAAATCGACAACCACGGCGGCGCCCTCGGTCTCATCGAACGAGAAAGTCGAACAGATTCGCCGTCGGCAGTCCGGGAGCTCCGAAAGGGTAGGCGTAACAGCTACGAGAAACGAGCCAACCAGGGTTTCCGTAGAGCCCCCAAAGGCGGTGGAGCGTGGGACTTCTCGTAAGGCTGGATCGAGTGTGTCTCCTCCAATGATCCGCGCCCTATCACAGCCAGTAATCAGTGCCGCAGTCTTGCCCCGGGTGCATTCCGCTGCAGGAAAGAAGATGTTCAGCACCAACAAGGAGAAAGATAGAGTTCCATCATCGGAGGCAGGCACCGGAAATGAGATTCGGAAGATTTCGTCCAACGAATCCGGCAAAGGGGAAAAGAAAATATTTCCGAGTCTTCGGCCTCACCGAAAAACCAATCCGTCAGCTATCCCGCGCTTTGTTGGGAAAAGGGATTCTCGAGTATTTACTATCCGTAAACATTTCGAACAACTGAGTCGAGAATTTGAAAAGGAGCGGGTGAAGGACCGGGAAAAGCGAGCGGTGAAAATGTCTCATTCTCGACCCTTCCTCCAAAACTCGTCGACTAAGGCCATCCTCGAAGTTTACGAAGACGTGGTCGAGGCTGTACAGGAACCAGGTCCGATTGAAGAAGATCAGGTGGCTGTGGCGGGAAAGCTAGACCTCGAGGGGGGTATGCCAACGGAATCGGCGGAGCCTGAAACCCCCAGTCAAACTAGCCAGGAGCCGGTCCAAGAACCGCAATCCCCTAAAGATGTGTCCCATATTTCCAGTGAGATGGCGACTGAGACCGAAACCGACGACCCGGCACAGAATAATAGTTTAGGAGCGACGGACGACGAGCAAGGGGAGAGTGATACCGAGCACTCATTGATCGACGGCACAACGCTCGAGGAGATCGCCGAATCGTTCGATTCGAGCGCTGAGATCCCGGCGGAACTTCCGAAGCAAGATAAGAACAACTTCATGAAGGTGCTGGCCAATTTTTGGAACGAGCGATCGGCAAGTCAGTGGCCGCCGTTGGACTACCCGCTGAATGCAACGGATCACATCTTCATCGATTCTGACATTATCGTCCGAGAGGACGAGCCAAGCTCTCTGATCGCATTTGCACTCAGCTCTGAAGACTACAAAGAGAGACTTCGAGGTTTCTATCCACCGAAAAGTAACGAAGATACGGACGCCTCATCGGTAGTGGAGGGCGACGGACATCCGGATGACTTCCCGGGTGCCAAGGAGACGATTACTAAGAGGCAGTTGGAGGTGAAACTTATGCACAATACGGGCACACACTACAAATACCAATTCACAGAGGGTACGGCAAAAATGCTGATTAAGATCTTCTACGCCGAACAGTTCGACGCGCTGCGACGGAGTTGCGGCGTCGCCGATCGTATCGTCGAATCCTTGTCGCGGTGCTTGAAATGGGATTCTAAAGGCGGTAAAACGAAGTCGGTGTTCTTAAAGACGCAGGATGATCGGTTGGTAATGAAGGTGAGTGCTGGCGACATGCCTTAACCTCGCGTGGGATGTACAAGCTAATCCGCGTGACAGTCTCTGTCGCCGGTGGAAACGGTGGCCTTCTTGAAATTTGCGCCAGCTTACTTCAGTCTGATGGCGGAGGCTCTTTTCCACGACCTCCCATCCGTGATCGCTAAGATGCTAGGGTTTTTCCAAGTCGTTATTAGAAATCCGGTAACCAACACCGAGATCAAACTCGACTTGCTACTGATGGAAAACCTATTCTACGACCGAGCGCCCAGCAGGATCTTCGATCTTAAAGGGTCGATGAGGAATCGCAAGATTCAAGCGACGGGCGAGCAGAACGAAGTGCTACTCGACGAGAACATGGTGGAATACATCTACGAGTCGCCCCTTTTTGCGAGAGAGCACTCGAAGAAGCTCCTTCGCGCGTCGGTCTGGAATGACACACTCTTCCTCGCACGACAGAACGTGATGGACTATTCCCTCATGGTCGCCATCGACGAAGACAAGAAAGAGCTGGTGGTGGGTATCATCGACTGCATCCGGACATATACATGGGACAAGAAATTGGAGAGCTGGATCAAGGATCGCGGCTTCGCGGGTGGCGGACGTAACAAACCAACAGTTACTAGTCCTAAGGAGTACAAGTCGAGATTTCGGGAGGCCATGGCAAGGTATGTAGCCCCACGACGAGGCTAAGGATTCCTTACTAACGGCAGCATCCCCCTCGGAAAGATATATACTAGAGGCCCCCAACTGCTGGCATCCGTTTAGTGCACCTGTGCTCGCGCCAAGGCCACGAGAAGTCGAGGTCGCAGGGGACGAAGAGGCGGACGCGGTTACGTGAGCGATAGACAAGCAGTAAGTTAGGGAGCTTTGTGGGCGACTGATTGGATGTACTCCCAGCACGGCACTGGACACCTTGTATGAATAATGTATATCCCGGGGTTGTAGGAAGGCAGAAGGGCACACGCGGCGTTTGCGGCACGGTCATACCATCATAACGGAAGGGCATTAGGATCACGACGTGCGACGGCGACAGGAAGCATATACATGAAGGGAACTACGAGTGCGATGCGGATCCAGGGGAAATGGCCAGGGATAGGCAAGGCGGCGTCAGCGATTTGCGGTGCTTGAGATACCCCCCGTCGACGGCAACGATGGATAATACAGAATTGTTGAACGTAGCAGCAGCGGTGTCGCATATAGGCATACCCGTATATCCCCCCGTATTCCTGGCGAGCGTGGATAATACATCTAAAGGGGCGGTCTTGGGGCAGGAATATGCTAAAATCGGGGTGTTTTGGCATGAGTTCCCTATGCATAGGTATGTATGTACATGGATGCCCTGTTGCGCCGTTAGATAGGTTCGGTGCATCACCTTGCTAATTATATGCATGTAAGCCCAGTACATATACTAGGAGGGATATTATGCATGTAATGAGAGCGACGTATGCCATAGCTTACATTACTAAGGCAGGCCTGTGGAGGCGTTCATAAGTCCACGGTACCTGAGGCACGTAAGTGACATAACTGTGTACAAAACGCGACCTACGAGATGTGGCCAAGTCAGGTAACAAACTCACCAACTACAACAACAACAACGGCAGCACCAGCACCAGCACCGCAACTTGCGCAATCCCGGGGACAGGAACAAGCCGAGTAGCGACGACAGGACGGACGGTGGCAAGCATTACCCAACCGTCGACCTCCATCCCCATTCTCGTATCTGGACGGCGGTTAGTGCCGCCATGAATATCCCCGAGTGAGAGAATACCTGCCCAACAATGTCCGACGTCTCGACCCCGGGCACGATATTTAATGAGACATCGACCCTGTCGCCATGTCCATAGACCTGAACTGGGAGACGCTGACCGGGGGCGCTGACGGGGCAGCCCTTGCCGAGCGCATCCGCGACTTCATCCACGTCAAGTTCCAGTCCGTACCGCTGCCACGCTTCATCAAGTCCGTCACCGTCCACGACTTCGCCTTCGGCAACATCCCGCCGAGCATCGTACTCAAGGACATATGCGACCCGCTGCCGGACTTTTACGAGGAGAACCCAGACATTTCCGATGAGGAGGAGGAGGAGGAGGAGGAGGAGGATGACAACGGTAGTGGTGGCGGTAGCCATGAGCATGGTGTAGCTGGTGACCAGTATTATTTCGCTGGGGGCAGGGACCGTGAGGGGAGAGCGCACCCGCCCGCGCGTAGTAACGGGTCTTTCGGAAAGGAGGAGGACGTGTCCGACGCTATCAGGGCTGCGGAGCGTAGGAGGAAGGCGGACCAGGCCCGGAGGTTGGAGCGCGGAGGCGGTGCGATGGGCGGCAGGGGTAGGCCGGGTATGTACAGGCCCGAGGGCCTCTACCCGCCACACACTCACGCCGCCGGTCTGCGCAGCGCGCCGGGGCACCCTGTAGACATGAACCCGCCGTTCCTCGGGCTGGCACCGGGAGTCCCTGGCGGCACCGCCAACATGCACTATTTCCAGCCAAAGCTCGCAGCCGACTGGCCCGGCACACAGACGCCACTTGCCGCCGTCGCCGGCGCCCAGCACCTTAACGACTGGCTCGACCTGGGCAGCCCACAGCCGTCGCCCGTAGAGCGGTACCCCTCTCCTGGCCTCAGCCAGAGTCGCAGTCTCCAGGGTCACAGTCGCCAGCCCTCGCAGGGTTCTGCCTCCATCGCCGATTTCCCGCCCCTGGCCCCGCCGCCGCCGCTGCTGCAGCCGCTCAGCCACCCGACTTCCTCCCCATCCTCGCTCGCGCCCGCCCACCCGCTGAGGGAGAAACACAGTGTGTCAACCCTGGCGCCAACGTCGGCCGGACCCTCACGCCCCCCCACGAGAGACAAGTCAGGGGTACCGTACCTCGTGGGTTCGGCGGCCGCGGCGGCTTTCAGCAAGGACCAGGAGCAGCAACGCGACACCAACGGCCAAGATGGTGAAGGAAATGGCGACGAGGGATCAGGGCCTCGGAGGTTCCGAGAGCCACGGATCGACGACCTACAGGCGGTGTTTCGGATCAAGTATGCGGGCGACGTGAAGCTGATGCTGACGGCAGAAATCCTGCTGGATTACCCGATGCCGAGTTTCGTCGGGATTCCCGTCAAGCTCAACATCACGGGGCTGACGTTTGACGGCGTCGGCGTCGTCGCGTACATCCGGAAGCGTGTTCACTTCTGCTTCCTGAGCCCGGAAGACGCCGTCGCAGCCGTCGGGTACGACGACTCCGAGTCCGACTCCGGCGACGGCGACAGTGATTCCGACGAAGGAAGACCTCGGCTGCAACAGAAGCAGCAGCAGCAGCAGCAGCGCAAGGCTAGCCGGGTGGGGAGCTTGCTGCAGGAGGTGAGGGTTGAGAGCGAGATCGGCCACAGAGAGGGTAGCAAGCAGAGCCTTAAGAACGTGGGCAAGGTGGAGAAGTTCGTGCTAGAGCAGGTCCGGAGGATCTTTGAGGAGGAGTTTGTGTACCCGAGCTTCTGGACGTTCTTAGTCTGAGAACGAAAAGTGCGGAAGAAGTTGGGCGAAGGGTCGGGCACAGATGCATGAGGATGATCTCGTGGGAACGAGCGAAAACCTGGCCCCAAAAATAGATTAAATAGATTTTCAGGGCTCGATACGCGGATTCTGGCCCGGAAAGGGAGACACCAGCTGTCAGCCTCACTAATATGTAAATATCAAAAGCTACTAACATCGGACCGGCCGGCATCATCAGGCTATTATAGACTATCGGTTGTGGAGGGAAGCATGTTCGCCGCGGGCGGAGGGGACGTAATACAATCAATGGCGGGAGAACGAATGCCGCAATCCCGTTACGAGAACTGTCTTTCCTGTGAAAAAGGCAAGAATGATTCTCTGGATAGGCAGCATATTTGACGATATCCTTGCCAACCGCCGGCATCCGCCATTCCTTGACGAGTTTTCTTCTACCCGGATCGTCTCATTATCGCACAGTCTCTACGGAAAGACAAGGGGCGAAGACGTATCTAGTGCTGCCGACTGTATCTACGTCGGCAGACGGGACACGTCCTCGACGTTGGCCGGTATCCCGACAGCTTCGCAGGTCGCCTGTGCCGCAGTCCACCGAGCTCGTACGCGCGCACTGCTCCCGATGACCCCTATGAGCCGGCTGGCAAGACTACGAAGGCTCCACCCGTGTCTCGCGCAGGAGTCTGCTACGAAGCACTTCAAGGCTGCATGCAACACGACGCGTGAATATTTCCTATCTAGCTACGCTATCAGTTTCCGCACCAGCATAGCCCCCCTCCCCCCGATCCTCCCTCCTCCGGGCCCATCCGCGCTCAGAGCCTCGCCCCCGGCGTCTTCGCCTCCAAATACGGCTGGAGCAGGGCGGCGACCTCGTCGGCGACGCCCCAGCTGAGCTCGTAGCCGCGGCCGCCGAGGCCGTAGGCGTGGACGACGGGGCGGGGGGCGCCGTCGTCGTCGCCGTCGCCGTCGGCGTCGAGGACCTCGGCCTCGAGGCGCATGCCGCCGCGGCGCGTCGGCCGCCTGCCGACGACGTCCCTGATGACGGCGAAGCGGCCCTCGGGGCCGAGGATCGCCGGGTACGTGTCGGCGAAGCGGCGCAGCAGGGCCTCGCGCACCGCCGGCGACGGGTGCGGGTCCCAGTTGTCGGGCTCCTTGGTGCCGCCGATGACGGTGCCGCCGTCGAAGGCCCGCGGCACGCAGAACGTCCACGACCCGTCGCTGTTCTGCCGCGTGATCGTCACCGGGCACGGGTTCGCGACGAGGCAGGTCTGGCCTGCGCGGAGGAGAAGCGGGGGGTCTCGTTAGCCGTGGAACGGTGCGAGCTGGGCTGGCTCTTCGAGGGGAGGGAGGAAGGGGGGGGGGGGGGGGGGGCAGGCTTACCTCTCGTCACAAACACGCGCTCATCCCCGAACCCTTGGCCAGACGCGTTGACCACGGCGTCGACGGGCCCGCCCTCGAGCCTCCAGGCGAGGACCTCGCGCGGGTCGCGCACGGCGCGGCGGACGGCGCGGCCGCCGCGCAGCGCGAAGCGGCGCAGCATCCAGGCGCAGTAGACCATGGGGTTGACGCACCAGGTGTCGTACTCGCAGCCCCAGGCGACGCCGGGGGGCAGCTCGGCGGGGGGGAGCAGGCGGAAGCCGCGCATGCCGAGGCCGTCGGGGCCGGCCTCGTCGCGCGCGCGCGCCTCGGTCAGGTCGCGGTACGCGGGCGCCAGCGCGCCGGCCTCGAGGTACTCGACGCCGCGCAGCAGCGTGACGCCGGCCTCGGGGTGGCGCGCGCGCACCCCGCGCACGCGCGCGAACGTGCGCCGCGCGAACCCGTGCTCCCGCCGCGTCGCCGCGTCCGTCGGCGGCACCAGCCGGTTGTGCGCGCCCCCCCACGCCGACGTGAAGTCGATCTGCGACGCCCCGTCCACCGTCTCGGCGCCCTCCGGGTAGTCCCGCGCCACGATCGTCACCGTGTTCTGCGTCTCCTGCTGCTGCGGCGGCGACGGCGGCTCCTCCTCGCCCAGGATTCGCAGGGCGGCGCTGAGGCCGATGACGCCGGCGCTGTGGGAGGAGGAGGGGGGGAGTACGGGTTAGTTCTTCTCTTTTCGTTTCCACCGGTGGTCTGAAAGGGGAAGAGGGATATGGGGGAGAAAGATAGGGGTTATATCTACCCTATTACGACTATGTGAGGCATGGTAGGGGGCGGCAATGCGTAGTTGGATTCCAGCCTGTTCCCTGTGTAAAGCTCGCCTCGGCGTCAACAACCAATATGAGATGAGGGGGAAAAATACGGGTTCTGTCAACGGTGTCACGCACTGTCTACAGACCCGCGATGTTGTCAAGAGACACCTGATAGTACTAAATACGCTCAAAGCCACCCACTGGAATACTAGTACACGTGGACGAGACTTCAAGTTGCTCGCGATAACCTCGGCTATTAATAGAATTGAAATTTCCTTTTAAAGGGTACCAACATCGGACAATTATCGATTTCTAAGACGCGACAAAAATCCCATGTTGGCAAATCGTATTCAATTCCGAATCACGATAGGGAATCAACAGCCTGTAGAACGCCATGTTCGGACCATCGTACAACGATGCTTAGGTATCGAGAATCCTGCCCTCGCTACGGCTATCCGAAGATCGGAGGCACGGTAGGGCTAGATCGGGCCGGGAACGAGGCGTGCGCCACGCCGATCCTCTATTGCACCAGGCGGTCCGAAAACGGATGCACTGGGCGCTGCGAGGAACGGGTATGTCATGTCCTCCAGCGTGGCGGCGACACCACCTTGGGACGCTCTGCATGATCGTCTTCGCCGGCATCGAGCAGACCAATACAGCCGATGAATCGAGTCAAGGGTTGCCTAGCTTGCCAACCGGTAATGCGAGGAAGAGGACGCGTAATGAGGGAGGTTTGATATCCTTAATTTATACCGAGACGTCCTAGGCAGAGGAGGCCGTGCCCACCCACGAAAGGATAGGTACGCGGCGAACCTGGTGCAAGGAAGCCTTAGCCCGACCTCACTGGTCCTCGCGGCGCGAACCGTCAACTAAGCACAGCTAAGCATCATCACTAAGCACTGCGCTATTCCGACGTGTTAAGTAGGCAAAGGCGAGAAGGACCGACGAACGTTCGAACGGGAAACCCAATGTGGGATGGATGCTTCAGATGGTGGCATACGAAGGTGGTCTGAAACGAGACGCATCGCCAGCCAAGGCCCGCCAAGCCGCCAAGCCGCCAACTGGAACCGACCTACACCGCGAAGAGTGGACATTCTCGTGGCCTTCGCTCTCCTTCTGAGATCTAGTTTGTTTAGAGATTGTGACAGTTTGTGGGCCCTTTTAGCGGGCCGTCGAGGGTCATCTTATGATGTGTCGCTGGGTAATGGCTGATCCACCGGGATTCTCGCCATGGGCCACCCCGGTCCGCCGGGGAGGTTGACACATGGATGGTAGGCATCGTGGGTTCGCCGCCTGGATCTCTAGGAGCCTCGCGGTGCGAAAGGGGGAAGCGCTTGTCGAGCTACGCCTCTGCCCTCCCAGCGCCTCTCTTCCTTCGCCATCCTTTCGCGCTGCGACTTATAATGATGACATCCACCTCAACTGCCGAGCCCATAGTGCGGCATATCTAACCTATTCCCGTTTTGGTTGGGGATGGCAGGGGTCCCTTTTTCCTCCCATATTGGGATAGTCAGAAGCATTTGTTAAACGCTAGACTGCCATGGCCATTGCGACATTCCTTCGTGTGAGTGGCCACGACCATTGCCACGCTCCTCCGTGTGAGTGGGTGCTTGGTTGAGAGTTTCGTTAGTGGGTTATGTTATATATATGATTAGGCTGAGCCTACCTATTGTCGTAGAAACCCGGCTCTCGTTGCTCTTGAAGTTCTTTTTCGCTATCCTTCGTTATATTCGTGCCTCCCAGTGAGCGGACAGCCGTTGAGCGGTATAATTAATCCACGTTCCTTTTTAATCCAATAGGCAGGCCCGAAAAGCTTGTCCTAGAGCTTTCGCTACACAATCTGACTGTCTTATCTGTCTGTCGCTATCTTGTTAATACCTCTCTGTTCTTTCGATAATAGTCATGATGCGGTTCCTCATCAGCTCTATTCTCCTCGCCGCTTCAGTCGAGGCGAGGCCATTCGGCCCAACTGTTAGACGAAATGAGGTTGATTTAGGGGGATTAACGAGTAAGTGCCACGATGAGAAAGTAGCTGTAGCATTGTCAGTACCAACTAACACACCGATAGTCAAGGCAGCCAACAGGCTCATCCCCGTCGTCGTGGGAGGACAGCAAGATGTCTTCGTGCCCAATGTAGTAACGGCAGCCGTCGGCGACATCATACAATTCCAGTTTAGCAACGGAAACCATACCGTCACCGAGAGTACCCTGGAGGCCCCGTGCCGACCGCTCCAAGCCACTGATCCGACGGCAATCCATAGCGGGCATATTCCATTCCAAGACGGGCAGACAACAGTCGGCACGTTCAATATGCCCATAACCAGCACAAAAACTTTGTTCCTATACTGTGCGACGGGACCTCACTGCCAACTGGGCCAGGTCCTAGTCGTCAACCCGTAAGTCCTACGCAATTTAACGCCCGGGAGCATCGGCTAACGATTCCTTTCAGCACCAATGATCAGCAGATCGTCGACTACGCCAAGGGGTCGGCAGCAGCGGCCGAGAATATCGATGGTACTACGGTGTCGGGCGGAACGGTGGCTTCGATTCCCCTCGAGGCTGCCGCGTTTATTCCTGCGCCGGTGCAGGATGGACCCCCGGGCGGCGCTGCTCCCCCCGCAGCCGAGGCCCCCGCCGCGGCGCCGGACAACGCGGGGGTGCCCATCCAGACCATCACCGCCATAATCCCCCCCGAGGGAACGACAATCACCATCCCACTTGCTGGCGTTGCCGACGCGGCCACTTTGCCCGGCACGACTACGGTCATTGTGACGGTACCGGCGCCGACCTCGACGCCTCCCGCTGCTTAGGTGGTCGAGGCCGGGCTGAGCCGGGTCGAGCAGCAACGCGGTATTTTGGGTGGAGATAGAAGTGTATCAATTGACGTTTTCGTTCCTGTATGTATTAAAACCAACGTTAGGCGGGCGTCGGATGCCGTATCTTGGCTGGCCGGGAGGGGGCAGGCTTCATGATGATTATTAGACAATGCGATATCCTTGGAGGTACGCCGGGCCCATTGGGTCAATTTCGAAAGTGAACTAGGTTTATTATGAGATTAGTAGTAACTTGTGATGCGAGTCGCTCTTCGTGAGCTCTTCACGAAACCTAGAGAGATACCGTGTCGTGGCCGGGTGTGTAAACCGGCGAATCGGTTGGTATTGTGTATTATTAGCCATGAGAGCCGTGTTGTTACGCGCGGGGCGCCTGATGGAAGTTGGCATCGTATCCAGATACGAGGTAGGGAAGAGCCCTGTTCTACTGCGTGATATACCTCTATGTGTATCAACCGGAGATTGGGGGTGAATGTGTCTGTGCCCATGGAGAAAAGGCATTATGGAAAGCATCGTGATGTGATGCCGAGCAGGCAGGCTATGCAGGCACCTGAAATGAATATCATCCGACGGCCTCGGGGGTTGACTGGGTGTTGTCGAGGCTGACCTGTGGTGGCGTTGAAGATATTGGATTGTTTATTGGGTTGGGCTCCGAGAGATCAACCTCGACGTCTATCTGGTACCTGCGTCTTATGTAATTCTCAAGTAACCTCGGGTGTCTAACGGGCGGGCAGGTAAGAGGTACCTCTAGGAGATAAGTACCGCAGGTAGGCGCCTGATGTACCCGCCCACTCTCCTCACAGAGCAGAGTTATGGTTCAACTCGACTACTACAACTCTGTCGGTATGCACATCTTTATGAGGAGGTACCTAAGCGATGCCATGTGTATCACGTGATGTATGTAGGTAATTTTAGGTCCTTACCCGTATAGCTTCACAGGACGGACTTCGCGAACCCTTCCTCACCTCCTCGTCCTCGCCTCGCATTCTCGTCTCCACCGTTCATATCCCGTCATCCCCCATTGTATGAACCGGATATCGCATTCACACACACACACACACACACACACTCTCTCTCTCTCTCTCAACGGCACGTCCGTCCTCCCTACCATCCCCTCTCTCCCATTGGGCCATCTCTGTTGTTCCTGCAGCCCCCGTGCTCGTGACGAGTGTCGGATCGCCTAGATCGACATACGCTATCTCATTTCCTAACTTCAACATGCCCAATCTCTCTGTTCGTCTATGTTGCATCCCCCGTACGCTGCCTCCTCCTCGCAATCTGCAAATTTCCTAGACGTCGCTCGATCATCTCGTTTACCGTAGCCTCGCACATGTTGACAGAGCACCGGATTGGACTCTCGCTCGCGATCTGCGGCCTCGAACCTGTCCGTCCCTTCGATCATCACGTGAAGAAGAGATGAAGAAACGCTGGGCGGGTCTCGGAATGATGAAGCACCTCGCGTTCATTCTGCCAGTTAACCTTATATCCGCTCCACGATAATCTCCCCCCCGATCCTCCCCGGACTATCGTCGCATTTTGCCGCCTCGAGCATCCCAACGGCTCCGTACTACGTATGCCTGCACAGTCTACGAGGTCATGAGTGTGTGCCGCGCCAACCACCCACCACTCGCACACTTGCATCCGCTCTCCTCGGAGGCCCCCCTGTCGTAGCCGGGTTCGCATGTCGAAAGTCCGTCCACTGAGGCCTAGCCCCGCGCGCGCTTCATTTTTTCTTGGCTCACTTTCGATTGCCGTTTTCGTCTGTCAGCTCCCTCTCGGCGGCTACGAGTCCTACGATGCGGTGTGATCCCTGCATTGATTGGGTCGTCTGCCAGCGAGAGCCTGCAAGCAATGGTTCTATTTTTGGGCGCGCAAATCAGGTTTAGCCTTCACCCTCCCTCTCGCTCCTCGCTTTCACATCTCAGAGAGTGCGGGATAGAATGGGTGTAAGTCGAAGTTGGGTCGAGTTGCCCTTTCGTGCCGACTCCCCTGCCAATGGCAGATTGAGATGCTTCACCCCACCTCCGCCAGCGTGCACAGCGCTTAGGAAAACAACCTGGGCGTGTTACTGCGTAGTAGCCCCGAGATACATACACTCGCACCATGATAGCCGGTAGAACCAGGTCTAGCAAGCGCTTGCCGCATGTTAAGGTGGTATGTATATACATCGGATCGCATCTCTCTCCCTTGCCTAATGAAGAACGGGAGAGGAGCGTCTGTTCTTTCTATCCTTTCAGACGACCTGAAGTTCGAGTGTCGGTCACGGCGGAAATCGAACTTCTGCATCCCAATCCGGATCCTGAGTGTGTGCACATGCGCGCGAGATTGTCGGTATCCGTCGCCGATTTCTCTTGTCTTCTGTTTTAATATGGATCGGGAGACTGCGCTTCGGTAAATAGCCTACTCTACCCTTTAGGACTCTCTCGGCGCCCACTGCCCATTCGCAAACGGGGTATCGATACACAGGAGCACTTACTCGTGACAGAGGAGCGGAATATAGCTTAGAAGTTCACGATGATATCTCCAAATGGACAATCTGGGGGGCTTTCCCTCTTCCCCAACACGTCGAGGTCGCCGTCCCGAATGCCAGCACCCCGACCGCGAGCAAACACACCACAATCTCCGTATCGAGGACAAGCCATACCTCTAGAGACGACTCCGCCGCAGAATGGCCGGCGCACACCAGATAACCTCTCTGAATTCGTCATCGACGGGACGCCACCTCGGGCCCACGATTTGCAATGGTCTTCCAATAATCCGTACTACCAAACCCAAGCAGGGCCGTCGGTGTCGAGACCAGTCCCGGTAGCAGAGCTTCCACCCCGCGCGGAAACGGCCTTCTCGGGGACGAGCACTCTGGTGAGAAGCGATAGTGGTCGATCACGAAATTCGATCGCCAAGAGACCCATTGAAGAGCCTGGGCCATCTACAGAGGCGCCGGAACCAGCTATCCGTTCGATATTCCCCCAGTACGACCACAGTTTACCGTTTGACCGCCAGGAGTACTATCCAACACAGGCCAGCCCGACTCACATCCCGAGGACCGTCATCAGCAGACAGTCTCATGTCCCTGAATGTCGGAGTCCGCCTATTCGAAGCCCCCTAAGGAGCCCGCTTAGTGCAGGTTCTGCACAACAGTGGCCGCGACGACCTCAAGACCCTCCCACTATCCCTCATATCAGCACAACAGAAGATCTGCGAGACTACTGGAAAGTCGCAAATGGGTGGAAGGCCTCCGCGGTAGAAGGCCGGACTTTCTGCATGAAATTGCTACCGGAGAGAGACACCCCGATCTATACTCTGACGTCCTCCACAGCGCAACCGCTTTATCACATGCGGATAGACCCCACGTCGGCGTCAGCATATGTAACGCTGAGTCGACATGATCCAAGCAAGCCTTGTAAGGAAAGGGACCCAGCTGCAAACGCGAGGGCTTCGACTGGGTTCCTGGGGGCCCTCCGGGAAGCAGAAGCTAAGCCGTGGCAAGAAGCCTTAACTACCACTCTAGAAGAGCCATCACGTCGTCTCCCCCCGAACGACGGCTTAGTCGCGCTATTATATCCCAGTGCAGCCGCTAAGGTCGCGTTGGAAAGGTCAGACGATATGCAAGCGGTGATGGCGGCCGAACGCGAGTGTGCGCGGCTGGTCTGGGATGAGGATAGCAAGAACTACTTTCTCGTGCACCCGGCCCTAGCGTCGCCTTTTTGCGTAACGATAGAGCGCAATTCGGCGTGGAGCCGCACTGAATACGCCGTGGAGCACATCGAATCACCCCACCACATCGCCAAACTCACGCGAGACGGCACGGGCGAAGGCTGGATCGAGATCGATACCCTCGTGGCAGGACGCGTCGATAGCTATTACATCCTCGACGCCGCCGTGTGCGCACTACTGCTCGTTGCCAACATCGACGAGAAGAACGTGCTCGTCGAGCACTTCGAGCCGCCGCCTGTGGCGCATCTACGTAGCTCGGGCTCTCATAGTGACTTCCGGCGGAGCACAAGCCGGCTCAGCAGCTTGATCCTGAACAAGAAGAACAGTGGCAGCGGCAAGAAGCGGGGCCGCCTAGAGGAGCTCGAGCTCGACCTCGAGAGCCAGGCCAGCAGCCTCGGCGGCAAGTTTGGCCTCAAAGACAAGGACAAGCAGCGGTTACCGGGGCCAACCCGCGCAGCCGTCAGCCTGTTGAGCTTCGGGTTCAAGTGCGTCATATGGGTGCTGACGCTCACATTCAAAGCCGTCAAGGCTATCATAGTCGGCTTGAGCAAGTGTCTGACTAGCGACAAGCTCTGACAGAAAGGTGCGAGGCCAAAGGATGGACGTCAGAAAGAGGGAGAGGACGTGGGAGCTTTTAAGGATCTCGGGAAATATCGAGCGGGAGTTATGGAATAGATACCCCCATTATCTATCATATTGGCCCAGTGTCGGCGTTATATCTATGTATTAACGGGACGGGCGAATATTTTCCTCTTCTACCTAGGGCGTAATCGAGGTCGCGCGGGGCGGCGGACCTAGCGAAGCGCGCAAGCGGACTTTTTAACTGGCGGGTAGGAAATCCATTGTACATACATACACATGGGGTGACGGATATTAGACCTGGGTTATTTCTTCCTTGTTTTAGGGGGGGGGTATCGCATCGCTAGCTATGTAACTCTAGCCAGTCTCGGAACCCTGGCCGGTCCTATCCCTATCACACATAAGCTTGCCTACCTAGACGCCGCCCACGCCACCAATAGGAGAGAGAAAAGAAAGAAGAACAAAGTCGAGAAAATGCCCGCCCGTGATCGTCCGTTTGTGTCTGGTATACCGTTTCAAATTGCACATACAACCTCATGCCTCCTCCCTCTTACTTGCGAGGCCCCCCCTCCCCCTCCTTCCTCTCTAGCCCGCGACATAACCCTGTCCACCAAGCCTCGCCCACGCCCTTACTTGCTAAGCCCGCCTCACCTCTTGCGCTCGCGCACCTTGAACTTGTTGCCGGCCTTGGTGACGCCGGTCATGGCGGTCGGGGTCTTGGCCATCTTGGCGCGCTGGACCTCGAGGGCCTGCTCGGCGCGGGCGAGCGTGCGCAGCTTGCGGCGCGCCGCCTGCAGCTGCCGCCGCAGCCGCGCGAGGTGCTTCTTCTGCTGCAGCAGCGGGGCGCGGCGGGCCGGGCCGCTCTCCTTCTCCGCCGCCGCTGGGGCGTCCGCGGGGCTAGCGGCGCCGGCGCCGTCCTCGCCGTCTGCGTCGGGCTCGCGGCGCGCGCGGAGCATCGCGTCGCGCTCGGCGGGAGCGTCGGCGAAGACGATCTTGCGGGGGGCGCGGGCGCTCTCGCGCGGGGGGCGCGTGGGCCCCTCGTCCTCTTCGTCGTCGTCGTCGTCGTCGTCGTCGTCGTCTAGGTCGCCGCCGAGCGCGGCGACGCGCTCCTCGAGGCCGCGGACGCGCTTGGCGGCGGCGTTGCGGGCGGTGCGGACGTAGGCGAGGTCCTGGGTCTTGAGGAGGCGGACGGCGTCGACGTCGAGGGCGCGGGCGCCGCGGTCGCCGGCGACGGTGCCGGACCACTTCTTCGAGGGCCGCGCGCCGTCGCCGCCCGGCCGCACCAGCGCCGACGCCGCGCCCGCCGGCCCCCGCCGCGACAGCATCCCGAAGTAGAACTCGTCCTCGTTCCGGTCCGCCGCCTTGCGCCGCAGCGCCCGCAGCTGCGCCTTCTTCCGGCTGTAGTCCTTCGCGCGCAGCGAGTAGTCCTGGTGCGGCGTGGGGTTAGCGGGGGGGTAAGGGAGAGGGAGAGGGAGAGAGGGAACAGGGCTGACGGACCTTGTGCTTCTCAAGCAGCCCCAGGCGCTCCCGCTCGTGCGGCTGCGCGCGCTCGCGGTGCACGCGCCGCTGCACGGCGTTCCTCATCGACGACATCGTTGGTTTTCGGACGGTGTGTAGAGTAGTCTTGGGACTGGCGCCGTCGAGGACGGAATCGGGTGGCTCTTGTCTCGGGGGCGGCGGTGGTTAGTTAGTGTTAGTTAACGAGGACAAGAGGATGGATAGGTAGAGAACAAATGCAGCTTGGATGGCAAAGGACCGGAGAGAAATTTTAGTGGAGCTCTGTAGATATGTAAGCTGGTTGTGATAAGATACCTAAGATAAGATAAACGTGACGTCATCATCGAGTCCCCAAGTACCCCTCTTCGGTCATTCTTAGGTGAGTATCTCCTACCATGCCAGAGACCTCTGAGAGACCTCGTTATATCGCGAAAAGCTCGAGAATCAGTCTACGAGCATTCACTCGTATCCATCGCTGTGTTGCAATGGAGAGATTCTGTTCGGCTTGACTTGAACTTGTGTCTTAGCCCCGTAGCGGATCCCTGACTCGATTACAACAACTTCAACGATGCCAAGACTTATCGTCTTCCACTAAGTCACCTGTTCACGTCTTCCTATGAATACTACGTCCTCTGCTAAGGCATCGGAACTAGAGCGCAGAGCGATAGATTCGCCGTTTACCAATTCCACCGCGCAACTTCAATTCGTTCTTCCTGTTGGTTGCAGAGAATCACCCTGGTTAACGATGGGTCCCATTTTTTGGAAAGCAGCGACCTACCCTAGCGAGAGAGAATCTACAATATCCAAGTTCCACCTACCTGTGTGCTCTACACCACGCCAGCAGCGACGGATACGACCCCCATGATCTCTATCGAACCTCACCATAACGAAGCTCCTAATGTGTCCCTTCTAGCGGCAGATATTGGCTAAGTTATCGTGCCTCGAAGTTCAAAGGTGTCCCCATTAGGAGAAGCAGTACCGCTTACAAAAGCCTGAACCTGATCAACGCATTTCTTCCGTTGCCAGTAACATGTGTCATTAGGAAGCAGGGTTCGTCAGTTGGAGACGTTGGGCCTTGGCGAACACTGCGCCGGTCCGCACCCGGAAATCCCCTGTGTACGGTGTTCCTACACCTAGGTACCGCTTTCACGTCTATATGCTCTGATACCCTTCCTGTTTCCGTGCCGCAGGATTCGGAAGGCGTTGGCTACGGGGATTGGGACCTCTCTAAAAGGGCCAGAGGAAGAAAACGATGACCTTCAAGGCTGAAATCGGATCGTGATAAAAGCCTGTGTTGTAAGTAGATGGTCTGGGAATGCTACGTAAGGATTATCGACATGTCTTGGCTGCCCTTCTTGGGCCCTTTTACACCCGACCAAACGCCACTCCGCCCCTGGCAACTTGATAGGGTCACAGTATCTATTCATTATATCGAGGTTTGGTATTTAGGTTGTCATTTATATGTAGAATCCACGGTTAATCAGCGTGATTCTCGTCACAGGAGGCTATAACGGAGCGTGTTTTATTGTAGGATTATGTGTGTCGAGGCATAGTTATCTGAGTTTACTTGTAGTCTATGTTGGTGCCCACTTCCTCCTCCTATCGTGCCCCGAACCTCTCGTATCCGGCGGTTGGTGGTAGCGATGCAACCCTGCTCCCAGGTATCATTACCCAGGGGCCTTGGCCTGATCTCGGGCGATTGAGATCTGACTGCAGGGCGACACGTCGCACGGGTCAGCCACGAGGGCATCTCGCCGGCAGCGACGGGGATCGGGATCTCTTCCACGCCCGCACCCTGATTTCGCGGAGCGCAGATTAGCAAAGGTTGGTGTGGTCGAAGACGTCGACGATGGGGCTCACGAAGCGGGCGAGGGTCTCGACCTCCTCGCGGTCGCCGTCGGTCCAGACGCCCTCGATGGTGAGGTCGATGCGGTAGCGGCCGGACTTGTTGATGGCGAGCTCGTCGAGCTCGAGGGCGAGGAAGTCGGCGACGGCGTCGCGGGTGCCGGCGTGGAGCCCGTTGAGGTAGCCCGGCCCGCACGTCATCAGCGGCACGCCGTCGACCTCGCTGCCCTGGCTGTCCAAGATCTCCATCTTGGACCGCGGCGTCGCCTCGTACTCCATCGGGTCCCTCAGCCCGCTCCACCCTTTCGGGTCGCGCGAGATGTCGATCCCGAACTGCTCGCCCGTCCGCACCACGAGCCCCGTCTCGTAGCTGACCACGTCCGTGTCCGCGAAGTACTCCGGCTTGCTCACGTCCACTTGGACCGCGTTGACGCGGAATACGATCTTCTGAGGCTTAGCACCGGCCGCCACGGCCTTGGCAGAAGAGATTTCTTGCTGGCTCATTGTGAGAGTAATCTGTGGCGGAGGACGGTAAGATTTGCGTATTTGTGTCGATGCGGATGCTCGAGTCTCTCGGAGGTGTGATAGAAAACGTAGATTATGACTTGGGGTGGATGTGGAAATGTGGTTGATGGAGTTAGGAGTTTGCTGCACACCTTCTCATCCGATTCCAGGGACCGGATGGGAGATCCTTATACCCTTCGGTTGGGCTTGCGGTGATAGTAGAGCTGTAGAACAGGTCCTAAGATGGACGTGACGACTCCTTACAACCTAAGCATTGACAATAGCTTTGTTCGAGTTGCAGAAAGAGATATTAACAAGAGCAGACAGGGCGTTGTTGACCTGGGACAAAGGAAGTGGCTACGAAGGCCTTCCGGCACAAAGCCATTAGGTGAAAACCGCGGGGGAACAAAGTAGAATCGTGACGCGTCACGTCTGTGGCAATAAATCTTGATATCAGAGTTAGAGTGTGAACCGAGGTAGGTTATTGTGCTATCAATCATATTGTTTAGTTCGTTACCGTCGTAGTGTCGCGTCCCTCCCTCGGTCGGTCATCAGCATTCTCCGTTCTTCCGGGGCTACGGCCAGGTACGTCCCGACTATGCCTATTGGTTTTATCACTTCTTTCTCTATTATTATCTTTGAAAACTTTGTCACAATCTTTTATATATACACACACACCACACACACACAAAAAAAAAGCTAGGGCACTGCTGTCGTAGCGATTCCTTGTTCGCGAGATGAGAGGCGGCTCAAGTATTATTGACATTAGACATCGTAACAGGGACTCAACACTTGTTATTAAGAGGCGCGAATAGCACCCGTCCTACGTCGACAGGATTTTGTGAACAATCCAGCAAGACGAGCTAAGAAGTTTCCATGACATTATGATTAGATTAAAAGAAAGAACCATCTAGGGTAGTCTATCGCAATGCCCTCAAACGCCCGAGAATGCCTGTGAATCGGATCGATCCGGATCCCTCTATTCTTCTTTTCCTTTCTCGTTCCCAACCTAGCTCTAGTGACAGTCTATGCGCCTATGCAATGCCGTCCCTTTTCCCATGTCTTCCCCAAAGTCAATTACGCAACGCAGATCTCCTGGCTGTACAGCCTGTCGACCTCCTTGTCGCGCGACGGGCCGCCGCGCGACTTCATGACGTCGACGCGGACGGTGTAGACGCCGCTGCCGACGATCTCGAGCGGGCAGAAGGTGACGCGCCGGTTGCCGAACCAGTCCTGGGCCGTCTGGGGCGCCAGGAGCTGGTTCGGGTTCGCCTGGTGGAAGTTGTGCGCGGGCGGCGTCGGCGCCGGCGTCGTCCCGTCGGCCGCCGCCGCCGCCACCGCCTCCTCCCGGTAATACAGCGAGATCCTCGCGTACTCGCCCGGCGCCGGGTCCGAGCTGCGCCGCACTAGTATCGAGAACTGCTCGCCCGCCTTCAGCGATAGGGGCTGTCGCGCGCATAAAAAGTTAGTAATTGTTTGCGGGAGTTGTCCGGTAACACTAGCGGTGGCCGGGAGCGGAGTGCACAAAGTAATTGAGGAAATAGGGGTAGGGGTAAGGGTAGGGGTAAGGGGGGAATACTATGGGGACGCAACTCCTAGGCTAGGTAGGAAGGGTGAAGCTGTTGGGTGTAGATACTAACCTGGTCATCTTCAATCCAGAATAAATGCCTCTTTGCGCCGGGCCGTTTTCTTCTCGGAGATGTTTTCGAGTCGTCGGTAGATCTCGACAGTCCCGCGAATATCGACGTGATCGCCGGCATAGTTATCGCTAGCCCTGCAGGGGTGCGGAAGAGGATTTAGGTAAAGAATAGAGAGAATGGAGCAGTTGGTGTGTTGTTATCTTCGCACACGACGGTATTGGCGGTATCGAAAATTAAATATTCTCGAACTAGGCTCTGCTCGGCCGAATTCCCGCAACCTTTTATGCGTTCGGTTTCTTGTTTCGGTAGGCCGGAGTTGCGATGAGGCGTCGTGTGAAGGTCACATTTAGGGCTCCGACTCATTCAGAATTGCTGCCCAGCGACAAAGGATGAGTTGCGTCACTCGTTGATAACTAACATGCGTTGTCTCCGTCAGACTTATTCTTCCTTTCATTTTTTTATGAAAAAAAAGAAATACCATATCGGGCTTTCATCGATTCGGCGAATATCTCCCACTCACCACTGCGGCTGCGACGGAAAGAAAGGATAGGGGGGACGGGATGCCCCTCTGCAACCCAACCCATCTCGACGATTTCGGTCTTACGAGGGGAGCACCCAGTTTTCAACAGATCGCCTCAGCAGCGGGAAGACACGGCCCTTGAAATACGCAGCACAGTTCGGGGAGAGCGAGGCGCAGCATATATCTTGGCCCCTATTGGGGTATCTGTCTGGTCACGGCACGCTGAAGGTTCAGCGCAGCTGACGGTGGCATTGGCAGTGAGCAAACCAATGCCCGCCTCCATTGGCTGCGATAATGATCTAGAATGCTACCCTGCAACCCGAAAAGCCTCAATGACCACCGGTCCTATAAGGCGAATTCTGCCGTAGCCAGGTTTCGTCATTTTTTTCTTGATCCAGTCCGCCACCAGGGCTGGGCTGAATCGCTATTAGTCCGCCGAGCGCTGCCACCGTATAATATGTAACGCCGCCCTAGTACTGTGAGCTCCGGGCAGTGACTCCGGTCGGAGTTCTCACGGGGCAAGATAATAAATCACGTCGACGTGGCGATACTGCGCGCGTATATGGCGCACTGGTTACATGGTATTGCTCAGCCACCATGTCCGGGTATTATAGAATACGATGTAATATCCCCGGCATCCGCACGCAATACTGAGAATATTCTATATCGCCTATTTTACACCTCTAGCTCGTGTTTTAACTTATCCTTTGCACTCTCCAACATTCTCTTAGACATCACCAGTGAGTGTACATCGAGATGTAGGCTATTACAACAGTCTTCCCCCGATTCCTATCATCGGGAGACACTTTCGTGATTACGATAATAGAAGTTGTTTGTTGAAATAATAATGAATAATAGTCATAATACTACCAACTCATCAACTTCTCCATTTCCTTGAATTTTATGAGATTTAGGAGCCTGGTGTTATTATTAACTCACGTAACTGTGTTGCCTGACATTGCGTCCCGCGTATTCATAGCCTTACTCATGACCTTCCAAATAGGGAACTCAGCCGACATGGAAACTAACATAAGCTCCACAGGAGTGCGAATATATTAAAAACTGTAGGTATAGAGTAAAGCCTTCCATCCCTCCTAGTGTACGGCTCACGGTATACAGCGACGAGGCTTCGTTCCTAGCCTGGCCGCTCTTCGCCCCATCTGTGCTCCTCGGCGCCCCTTGGTGGGCACCAGGCCTCGGCCCCCAACCTAGGTATTATTAAAGCAACTCGGTTCTCTTACCGAGGTGGAAACGGAACGAAAAAAAAACAATCATTGGTATACTACCCCCTCTGGGCTCCGTAGTATGCTCGCTCTCTTCCCGCGCCCTTAACTAGCAAGCTTTCCCTTTCCCTTTCCCCTTCCTTCTCCCGAGCCTCTTTCATCATCTCCACAGAACCCACAACTGAGCGCGGACCTACCCCGAACTCTCACCCCTTCCGGCGCATCAGCATCCGCTCACCGCCAGTCACCACACCGCCGACCACATTATCTCCGTCCCATTACCGCCGCCCCCATCACCACTCTCCCCTTTCCTCACACCGTCGCCACCTTGTCCCATACCCGTCGGGACAATCTGGCCGCGCAGCGCGAGTCGTCAGCGCGTCTCGTTCCGGCTATTATGATGATGCGCCGACCCACCGCGCTTGCCACCCTTCTGGTTGCCCGTGCCCGTGTTCTCGTGGTGGCCGCCGCGACGGCCCGAGGCGTTGGAGCCCGTCATTTCCTTCTCCCACGCCCCCCTCCATGCCTCCCCCGGGTCTTCTCCGCCTTCCCCTTCCCTTACTCCCGCTTCCTGCTCATCGGTCCGCACGCGTCGCGGAGAGAGGCCGCCGAGGTGGTAGTTGCTGCGAGTTCTGTGGAGGAGGACTCCGTTGCGCGCTGTCATTGTTGTAGGTAGGGTGGTTGGCTGGCTGGATGGCTGGATGTAGCTATCGGTGTATGTGGAGATGGATGTCGATGTGGAAGAGGGAAAGGAGGCAAAGTAAGTCGGTCAGTGAATTAATTATTTCCCTGCGTGCGTGCGTCCTTCTGTCGGTCTCCCTCCCCGGGGACGGGGATCGGGCCTCTGGTTCTGATATGTCTGATATCACCTTGTCCGGGCGCGGTGGGTGGCGGTGGCGGTGACGGTGGTATGGTATGGTATGGTATGGTATGGTACGGTATGGTGGATTGTGGATATGGAGTGGTGATGTGTGGGTACTTCCCGAGTGGGTATTATGCCCTTTCTCACCCCAGCGCCGGCGTTGTTGGTATCCGTGCTGTTGTCGGTGCTTGTTGTCGGTGCTTGTTGCCACGAGGTGCCTAGGTATTCTACGGTATGCATGTAAGTCAATGGACAAGCAAGAAGGCAAGTAGGTAGAGCTTTGCTTTCATAAGCACGTCGACGATGTGAGCTGCTCTGCTCGGCTATAGGACATGGTGGCTAGCGGCCTTCCTCATAAGAGGTGTATCTCCTGCGGAATTTTGCACTGCTGTAATCGTGATCTCCTCGACGGATTTATAGTGACAAAGCCTAACGGTTCCCTCAGCAAGAGTAAGTGAGAAAAAAAGGGGGGGCCGTGGGAGACGGAGTACGAATGGCTTCGCAAAGCTGACTAGGAAATTCTTGCCCGGAAACACAAGACAAGGGTACAGGGAGCCCTTCCGTTCTCATATAAATCGAGGCCCGTTGCTTCGCCTCGTTGCGATAAGCAAAGGCATGGTAGATGTAGGGGTCATATGGGTAATGGTCCCGTGGCAATTCCAGGAACAGTCTGCTGCGGTCTTCCAATTCGACAACTCTAGGCGCAGGGCAAATGTAGGCTGTCGATCTTCGGATCCGTCGAGGAATCGGATCACAAGTACGTCTCTGGTGATGAAGCTGCAGTGTCACGGCTTTCATCAGCTAGATATGCGCGTTCTCACCCACTTTGGGCGATGTCCGCCTCGAGTTCCTTTCTTTCCGCGAGCTGGTAGGGTCCCGGAAGATGTGCTTGATGGCGCCAGCACACGTACACCCGGAGAAATCGACGCCTCCGCAAGTCAATGACGAGCTGTCGGATCCGTTGTATTTATAACCCTCCTCGTGGCACGGGTTCGTCGCTAGGCGCAGCCCCTCGCGGTGGCCAATGGAAGCGTCAGCGTGACGACCACGACATACGTAGCCCTCACACTATGCTCCGATATCGCCGTCCGGATGGAGGTGTTCGAAGGCGATAGGGGACGACGAAGCTGGATCTATCCGACGTTGTGGAATCTGGTGTGCGGAGGCATCGCCTTGCCGGCCGGAATGACGACCAATACGAGGGAGAAGGGGAGGGAGGGAGACAACATGTGGTGCTCATTGGCCATGGTGACCAGTCGACAATACCACTGTTCAACAGCAGAACTCGGTGCCATTGGACGATCTACGCCAACCGTCTGTCCTCCAGGGAGCCGATGGGGGCGAAACGGTAACCTGGGGTCGCCGGCGCAAGCGGATAGGAATTTCCTAAGTGGGACGGTTGGATTCTTCACAGGCGCCGTCTCCGACTTCGACGGCCGGCCTGTCACCCGCACGGGGCCACCCCAAAAGGCCATGCGTGACGGGTCGACAGCGGCGTCGAGGAAGCGAGACAGCAAAAGTCAGGGCGACGGGGAGGTGAAAGAGGGGGGTGAGAGAAGGGAGTGGGATGACCCGCGCCATTAGGTACCTCAGCCGCATAGACCCGTCACGTGCCCAGAGTTAGTGCCTGCCTTCCCAGTTCGATGCATATCTCTCCTGCCTGCACCTGCCTTCTGGACCTGTCCATGTAAGTACCTACCTGTCTACAGAAGGAAGCACCTTTCCTTAGGTACCCTAGGTACTTGGGCCCTTATGATGTAAGGCACTTACCTGGGGCTTGAGGCAGGCACGCAGAGGGTCCTGCAACCTCCCTTCCTGTTCTGCCGGGGTGACGTCCCTCCGTCTAGATCCACCCACCACGCACACCTCCGATACTGCGTAGAGCAGAATGTCGCACCCTCGCTCCCTATGCTCGTATAACCTCTCGAAGTAAAGGTATCGCCGAGCCCCAGACACCTATCAGGTAGTCCGCAATGCGAGAGAGGATCTTCGGAATATACTCATTATTTTTGTACTTCTGTTAAGTCTACTCTTTCTTCTCGAGCCGTTGCCGATGAGAGGCGGCCAGGACCTCGTAACCCAACCCGCCCTGGTAACCCACCCGTCCCGCCGTGAACCGCGATAACAAACTCCCAGACTCCGATTTCCTTGACCCTCGCTGCCGTCTCCCGTCCTTCCCAACCACTCGAGTGTCCGCGTGGCCGTCGGGGAGGGAAGCGGGAACTATTCTCCTAGGTAGCTACCTACCTCTAGCTAGCCGTCGATCAATCTGTCGTTCTCTCTCGCCCTCGCCAGCACCTGCTGCAGCCGCTCGTTCTCCTCTGCCCGGATCCGGCGCCGCGCGCTCTCAAGCCTCTCGACGCCAGCGTTAATGGTCTCGATGTGCACGCTCAGCGGTATGATGGCCTGGTTGGCCACCAGCTCCGGCGCGGCCACGCGGTCCCGCAGGTCGCCGAGCTTCGTCTCGATGTCGATCAGGTCGTGGATCAGGGCGGTAAGCTGTTGCACCGCCGAGTTCCGCTGCGTCTCCACCCGGAACAGCAGCTTCAGCTGCGCGTTGAGGTTGTGCAGCTGCCGCCGGTTGCCGCCGACGATCGTCCAAATGTCCCACAGGATCTGCGACTGCTTCTCCTTGACGAAGTTGCCGTCGCGGACGACGTGCTCGTTGATCAGCTGGAGGCTGTTCTCCGCCCCCTGGAGCTGGCGCAGCACGGCCTGCGCTTCGACGATGAGCGTCGCGATCTTCTCCGATACCAGGGCCGTGTGCTCGACGTATTTGTTGAAGAGCACACGCTCGTCAAAGACAGACGGCTGGAAGGGAGAGAATAGCCAGCCGGTGATGCGCGCCAACGCGTTGTTGTTTTCCTCGCGGTGGGCGGCGATGGAGTCGATGTATCGCGAGGTCCACCGGTTAATGCTAATGACGCTGTCCACCGCACCGCCGACGTGGGTGTTAAACATCTGCAGACCGTTGGCGCTGGTGCGCACGTGGTCGATGTAGTTGTCGAACTCGAGAACCATCTCGTCACGCGTGGGTAGGTCGCTGTATTTGACCATGGTGCGCAAGTCTCGGACGGACGCCTCGGATCGCTTCATCTCCATGGGTAGTGAAACGCCCGACGCCGAATCCTCGAGCACCTTCTCGAAGTTGGCTTGCACGTTCATGAGCTCGTCGAACTCGACACTGCCCGAGGTCGAGGGCCCATTCGGCGGCTCCGGTCGTGCGTTTGCGCAAAATGGGAGGCCCATTAGCGACACCCCAGGTATCCGGCATAACGGGGCTAACGGTGATGAGATCGAGCTGACGAGAGTGTCCTTCGCTAGAATGCAGGCGCCAATGATAAGGTACAGGGCGAGGATGATGGCTAGTGGCCATTGCGCGTAGCGGAAAGCCATGGTAAACGTAGAAAACATCCACGCTGCGAAGTTGAATAAAACTTCGGGGACGGATGTCGTGAACCTATCGATGAGTGAAGTAGCATGTGGTTGCTGATTGTGAGGACTATTTTGGGTGGCGTTGAACGGCCTCGTGTTGGCCTCGGGACGGTTGCCTCTCCTCCTGACGAACTGCGGCTCATTCTGGAGGCTAGGATGAGCAGCCCTCGGCGATCGGTACGCGCCGCTTTGCTGGCTACTGACATCGACAGACGGCATGAAGAACTCGGGGACGGGGGTGCGGTCTTTGTCGACGGAGACGCGCCGCGTCGAAGAAAGTGACGGGTAGAAGGGGGAGCGCAGGATGAGGTGATCGTCGTCCGCCTTGTCGACGAAGTCGCTTATGCTGTCCTGAGACCCGAAGCCCAAGCCCTGGGACGATTGGGAAGGCTGGGTCTGCTGCGACTGGCTCGACAGGAGAAAGTCGTCGTCCAGAGGGTCCTGAACTATGCTAGTATCGAAACTGTCATTCTCGCCGCCCTCGACCATCCGCCAAGAGCTCTCGACGGGGATGCTGGTCATCTTAATCCGCGCCATGGTTGCTATACGGTCGCGCCTCGATACCTAAGGCCGATGCGTGACCAGGTCGAGGCTACGATAGGGACGAAGGTCAAGACGCGCACTCCTCTTCTCTCTCCTTCGTCCGAGATCGAGGCCGGGCAGAGGGTGAGGTGGGGGGGCTTTTTGGATCAAGCTTACCCGGGTCCCTCGGTCCTGTATTGATTACTGCCCAACTCTGTCGCAGAAGGCGACGGCGACGACGAGGGGGGTTCTCGAGATGAGGTAGGAATGGGCAGATGTGGTCCCCATATATATACTGGTGCCAAGATGCCCAGATATGGGGTATCCAAGGGTGCACCGTATGTTGACGTCGAACCTGAGATTCTAGGCTGCCAGGCAGGGTGTGTCTGTGACTCATAGAGGCTCCAGTCGCGAAGCTGAAATGAGCATATACATAGGTAGAAACAGGGCCTATCTCATTCGACGGTCGTTTCGCGACAGAATGGTGTTGTCCTTTTCTCCTGAGAACTCGCGGCCGTTGACGGAGGCAGCCATGGATCCAATCGAGGAATATTCTATTCACTGTTTACTCGGAATGCACGCGGGTGACTTTTCGTCACGGGGCCATTCGCCGTGACTATGATTGGATTCGAGCCTCATCCGTACCTAGTACCTGTTTGCCTCTACAGCTACAGGTGTAAAATTGGCGATAACGAGGTATCAGGTACTTGATTCTGTAGAACCCAACCACCACCGATGACCCCAGCTTAGGTAATCCCAGCTTAGCCACCTGCTAGCTGACCGCGCTTTGGACCCCTGCCAACCCCCCACGGTGGAAACCCCCTGCCAATCGCCCGCAGCTATCAGAGCTCACGGGCAAGTTTTTCGCCAGAGGAAACAAAGGATTTTCGTCGCACCGTACAGAATCGAGATGGTCGCGGCCGAATCATGACCGATTGGCGGCATGTTCTCACGAGTCACAGCGGGGAGGAGATGCCCTCATCTATCGCCTCGATTAGCCGGGCGCGTGGGCGGCGCCAGCAGTAGCCATGGCCTATCTCTCCCATCCGACCCCTCCCCGCGCGGCGGGCCCCTCGCGCAGCTCTGGCGGCGGCGCTGCTCGTCGGACGCGGGGGCGCCGGCGGACGGGACGGGAGCGGCGCCGGACCACCGGCAGATAGGCGTGCGGCAGGGGCTGTTCGCGACGTCACCGTACAGTCCGGGGTCGCCGATCCTGCTGCCGAGCGGGGCGCTGGTGTTCAACCGGCTGGTGGGGTTCCTGCGGCGGCAGTACGTGCGGTACGGGTTCTCGGAGGTGATCACGCCGACGATCTACAAGAAGGCGCTGTGGCGGCGCTCGGGGCACCTCGACAACTACGCCGAGGACATGTACACGGTGACGCCGGGGGGCGGGGCTACCACCACCGCCGCCGCCGCCGCCGCGGACAACGAAAACGAAAACGACGACGCCGACGACGACGACGACGCCGCGTACGGCCTCAAGCCCATGAACTGCCCCGGCCACTGCCTCATCTTCGCGCACGAGCGGCGCAGCTACCGCGAGCTGCCGGTGCGGTACGCGGACTTCTCGCCGCTGCACCGCAACGAGGCGTCGGGGGCGCTGAGCGGGCTGACGCGGGTGCGGCGCTTCCACCAGGACGACGGGCACATCTTCTGCCGGCCGGCGCAGATCGAGGGCGAGATCGCGCGCACGCTCGACTTCGTGCGCGTCGTGTACGCGACGCTGGGGCTCGGGCCGTACCGGCTCGCGCTGTCGACGCGGCCGGCCGACGGCCGGCACCTCGGCGACGCCGCCGAGTGGGACCACGCCGAGGCCGCGCTGCGCCGCGCGCTCGACGCCTCCGGCCGCCCCTGGGCCCTCCGCCCCGGCGACGGCGCCTTCTACGGCCCCAAGATCGACGTCGTCCTCCGCGACTCCGACGCCAAGGACCACCAGACCGCCACCGTCCAGCTCGACTTCCAGCTCCCCAAGCGCTTCGGCCTCGCCTACCTCGCCCCCGCCCCCGCCTTCGAGCGCCGCGGCCAGACCACCACCGACCCCGACGAGCTCGCCCGGTCCGGCCTCGTCACCCCCGTCCTGATCCACCGCGCCGTTCTCGGGTCCGTCGAGCGCCTGATGGCGCTGCTCATCGAGCACTACAACGGCAAGTGGCCGTTCTGGTTAAACCCGAAGCAGGTAATCATAGTCACGGTCAATGATAGCGAGCCGGTGGTGGGGCTGGCGAGGACCGCCCAGGACATTCTTACGGGGCGGGACGGGCCGGCAGACGCGCCGGTCTCGAACCTGTCGCACTTAGTGGTGGACATTGACGATCGCGGCATCAGCCTGGGGCTCAAGGTGCGCGAGGCCAAGACGAAGGGCTACGGGGTCATCGTAACCGTCGGCCCGAGGCAGGTGCCGAACGGCACAGTCACGGCCGACCTGTCGAGGCTAGGAGGCGGCGGGGATGCGGGCGCGAAAGAAGAGATGACACCTCAAGAATTGCTTGCGCTCCTCAAGGCTAAAGCTGACTCGTATCAATGACGAAGAGATATACACAGAATCCGCCCATAATCTCGCCCCCTTTTTTTTTCTCGCTTCGCTTCCTATAGCGGGTATCGCAGATTTCTAGCTAGAGAGAGAAAAAAACAAAAAAGGGAGACGCGAGAGAATACAGACGCATAAAAAGACAAGAATTTACGTCTGCTTAGTCTTCGTTATCGTTCGAATCGTGACCTCCATCCTGTGCCCTCTGCCGGTCCCGCTCCTCCAGTTTCTCGAGGATCTTCAGGGGCCTAGAAGAAGAAAAGCAGCGGGCGATAGTCAGCATAGGCGCAGCGCCGAGGTGGGGGCGAGTAAGGTCGTGGTGCGGATCCGAGGGATGGGGCAGTCTACCCTCCTGCCGCTGCAGACTTGGAGGGAAGGGTGGGGGGAGGAATGGGGGGTGGACTTGCTCTTTCAGACGGTCGGGGACGACGTGGCCCTGGGCCTCTCTCGCCTCGATGAGCTCGCGGCGCTTCAGCAGCTGCTCGCGCATGTACTTGACTGTCTCCTTAAGCACGAAGCCCTCGGAGCGGCCGTGGCCCTCGAGCCCGGGGACGAGCTCGCACAGGCGGTCGAAGCCGGCGCGGATGGCCTCGCGGCGCTTTTGCTCTGGCGCGCGGCGCGACGACGATCAGCGGTTTGTTTGTGTTTCTGTTTTCCGGGGAGGGAGGAAGAATATGGGGCCCGAAACAAAAGAGGGCGGAGGGGGGGGGAAGCATAGGTACCTGATGCGATGTGGTTCTGCTTCTTCTCTTCCTCGGTCAGACGCGGCTTATCGTCGTGAGCGGCGGTGGAAGACTGCCCACTGTCTGCGCCGTCCTGGGGGGACTTGGACCGTGGCTCCGACATTGCGAAGGGAAGTGGGTGGGAGGAAGAGGGAGAGGAAGAGAGGGGGAAACAGAAAGACAGACAGAGGAAGACAAAAAAAAAAAGAGATGTATGTGCTAGGTATGCTATATATATGAAGAAGGACAGGCCAGGTGCGCCGTAGAGCCTGGCGCGAACAATGAAGCCTTCGTCGGGAAAAACCCCCTCCCCCTCAAAACGCTACCAGTGGTCGTCGATGTCGGCTACGGGAAGACATGAGCCAGGCGCGTGTTGCGATGCTGCGGCGCGTGCTGTCGCCGCCGGTGATGGCGGTGGTGGGCAGGACGGGCCGATGCTGGGTGGTGGTGGTGGTGGTGGCGGTAGTCGAGCAGTATCCGAGAATGACGGGCTGGCGCGCACATCTTACATCGGAGGGGGAGGACTGCACCTGCTTGTGTGTGTAGACAGGGGGCGGGACGGCGGCCGCGTGCTGGGCGTTCAGAGAGAGAGAGAGAGAGACAGAGGAAGACAGCAGAAGGTAGAAGAAGAAGACGGCGCTCGCGAAGATATCTCGGGTGTGAGGTGGAAGTAGGTGGCGTATTCAGACGAGCTCCCGTTTTGTCGTCGACTTGCAATTAATACCTGCCACCACCTGCTGGGAAAAGCGCATGTGACACTCCCTTCGTCTGCCCCACCACCCACCTCCAGCGGCCCGCCAGCTGAGAGGTAGGTATGTACCCAATACGACGCACCGACGTAAGGTACCGGAGGGTCTGACCGAGTTTCGCGCGTCTGCTCGGTACTTGTGGCCACGCGCACGAGTACCTCGCAGAACGTGACGCGTCCATACGTCCGTCACGTACACCACACTCCGGTGCTATGTACCCCTATCGGGTTGACACGTCCCAAGTCAGCCAATCGCTACGAGTCCGTGTGTGGGAGCCTTACCCTTCTCGGCATCGCCCGTCCAGCCCCCACCGAGCCACGAACGGTACATGGTCTCGCGCGCTGGGTACTTTCGGTGAGAGGTACTTCGACACCCTCGTATGTTAGGTACCTGCCCCAGGCGGTGAGGTCCCTACTTACTGACCTAATGTACCTACGATGCCTTAGGTTGGGTACTACCTGGGTGCCTTTAACCTCTAACAAAGCACAAAAGCTACCCCCCAAATCCGATAAGATAAGCCTTGGGACGAAGCTCAGCCAACCCCGCCGTCTGATCAACACTGTCCCTCACTGGAGCCAGCAGCATTGATGCTTGTTGTTCGTAGCTCCGCTCCTCTCAAGCATCAATACCATCAACACGACAACACCCATCACGCTCTTCCATCCCGCAACACACACACACACACACCCTCTCTCTCTGTCAAAACCCAAGTAAGCCACCGACGCCTTACCCTCCCGTCACGCCAACTTACGCACGCACGCACTAACCACCGCGCTCCTTAGCCCACAACCCACGCCCACCTACCTCCCTACGACCCACACTCTCACCCCCTCCTCCAGCCATCCCCCACAGACAATGGAAGCCGCCGCCGCCGCCGCCGACGACAACGACGCACCACCTTCCTACACCTCAGCCACCACGACCGCCCTCCCACCGCGCCCACGGCCGCCTCCCCCTGGCGCACTCCTCGAGCTGCCAATACTGACGTACATGCGGACGCACCGGGTCATCCTCGCGTCCGCGTCGCCGCGGCGGCGGGCGCTGCTCGCGCAGCTAGGGCTGCCGGACCTGGAGATCCGGCCGTCGGCGGCGCCGGAGGACCTGCCGAAGGCGGAGCTGGACGCGCACGAGTACGCGGTGCGGACGGCGCAGCGGAAGGCGCTAGACGTGTACGCGGCGCTTGTGGCAGCGCCGGCGGCGGGGGCGGGCGGGGGGCGGTTCGCGGGCGAGGAGCCGGCGCTGGTGATCGCGGCGGACACGGTGGTGGTCGCGGGGTCGGCGATCCTGGAGAAGCCGGGCTCGGCCGCCGCGCACGAGCGGATGCTGGCGCGGCTGCGGGACGCGGGCACGCACCGCGTCGTGACGGGGGTCTGCGCGCTGGCGCCGCGCGCCGACGCCGCGCACCCGGGGTACTGCGCCGCCGCGGCCGCGGTCGAGACCCGCGTCGCCTTCGCGCCCGTGCCCGACGACGTGCTCGCCGCCTACGTCCGCACCCGCGAGGGCGCCGACAAGGCCGGCGGCTACGCCCTCCAGGGCCTCGCCGGCTCCCTGCTCGTCGCCCGCGTCGACGGCCCCGTCGACAACGTCGTCGGCCTCCCCGTCCGCCGCTGCCTCCAGCTCTGCGAGAAGGTGCTCTTCCGCCAGGGCCGCCCCGGCGCCGACGACGACGACGACGACGGCGACACCGACGAGGAGGAGGACGGCGACGAAGAGGAAGACGACGAAGAGGACGAGGAAAGGGCGCAGGATGCAAAGCGCGGTGGATAAATAGCCAGGCGCCGAATAAATAGGGCAGGCGCAGAATGGGGGGGGTTCCCCGGGGGGGGGGGGGGTTCCCTGGGGTTCCCCGAGGCGGGATAGACGCAACAGATACCTACCTAGCCACTCCAAGTTACGACCACGAATAGAGAGCACGGTACCGGTATATATACACTTTTATATTACTCCTCACGGAGCGCGACTTTATATACAATCCTGTCGCCATCTTCGAAACCCTGGGGTCGCGCCAGAGCCCGGGCCGTGACAAATCTGCGTTGAACAAGGGGACGCCGACAAAACGTCCCGTGGGAGTCTTCTCTACGCCGTCACAACTGCGACCGCCATCCAGCGTGTTTTGAAAAAAAAAGAAAAAAGGAAAAAAAAAGGAAAAAGAAAAAACGAAGGAAGAAATAGTCATGCTGCGATGCCATTTTCTGTTTCCCCGCGATTATGACCTGACAACCCGATCCTATCCTGCCTATCTAATCCAACCGTCGTCGTCGCGTGTGACAATATGGCCGCGGACACATACGGTGTCTGACCAGATCCCTGCCACCATATACGCCTGTGGAGGTATATATAAGGCTGAGGGGAGTCTCACGGTAAAAAGAGGTAGGGTATATGGAGAGGAGGCGTAGAGATAGGTATAAAAAAAAAAAGGAAATACATAACCAGGGTAGGATTGCGCCGGGAAGAGAAACGTGGGGAAAACGGGCCATCGATGGGGAAAATTACAAGATGTACGCGTGATTGTGACAGTAAATTCTGGGTATCTGTTAATCTGTTATCGTCATCGTAGAGCCCATGTGGGACATGGTGCTCGCGCATTCAGTCGTTGGCGCTTCAGGAAGTAGGTGCAGACGTGGGGGCGGGGATTGCAAGTGTGTGGAGGTCGTCGGTGCGTGGAGGCGTAGGTGTGTTGCGTATATAGATACGCCAAAGTAAGAGGCGAGGGTAGGTCGGATGGATTGCTTGTGCCCCAGCCAGACTGAGGAGGGCAATGCAACAATCAAGGAAAAATGCAACAATCATAACAAATTGAAACCGCGACCGCATCCCCTCTCGCATGGTTCCCGAGTGACGGGGAGAGACTGGCCGCTGTCCCGGCCGCTTCCGTCTGTCTGGGTTAGGGCTCTACTCGTTCGGACGATCCGAGCGACGGGCCTTCTGCGACGCCCAGAAGGCCTTGCCGCTCCGGGGCAGCGCCTGTCCGTGGACGTTCCAGCAGTGGCTACGGATGTTATCGGTGCGCTGGTGCGGGAACGGCTTGCCGCAGAGGGGACAGGCCGTGCTGAGCGGTCCCCGGTGTTCCCGCCGGTGCCGCGACAAGTGGGAGCTCGCATGCTTGCCGTGGAACGATTTGTCGCAGTCTGAGCATTGCCTGCTCGGGACGCTGTTCTCCGACAGCGTCGTGGCCGCCGTCCTAGAAGGATCGTTAGGACTCGGCTTTGGGGCGAGGGTCGGATGAAAAGACCGCAAAGGTGAAAGAGAAAGGGGATGATGGTAGTGAAAAACCAGACTAGGAAGAAAAAAAAACAAGACGTACCTCGACAATGTCGATATCACCGTGCTGGTATCTGTCAAGCTTCGGCTATGTGTCGTCGGCAGCGACGATAGGGCGGTGTAGGGTGCGAGCGGGTGACGACGATCGCCTGACGGCTCTCCGAGCGGCATATGAGAAGGGCGTCGCGGTCGGAGAAGATGTGCAGGACAGAACGCGCCGCGGAAATTCCTCGCTAGCTCTTCGGCATACTGTTTGAGGCCTTGGGCCGACTCGGTCGGGAGCCTGTTGGGCGAGTTGGCTCTCAGCACGACTCGCACGAAGGAACGGTACGAGTTGATCGACGGCAGCAGGTTCTAGCAAGTGCGTATTTTGTTAGCTCGCTATCCGACAGTAGAGATGGCGGCGACACTTACCGCGCTCAGATAGCACATGTATCTTGCCGCGTCCCAGAACGAGTGTATCCTGCCCGATTCCACTAGCGAACGGGCCGTCGAGACGATCGCTTGCTCGACGGCTCCCCCGCATGCCGTCTCTAGCTGGACCAGTACAGAGGTATCGAGGGGGGGGAAACGGTACCACCCATCGCGGGAAAGGCTAGGAGCCATCGGCGGCGGGTAGTCCTGAGGAGGGACCAGCGGATTCGCATCGTTGTGGGAGAAGATGTGAGCTAGGTCACACCTGCTGAATGCTAATAGCTAGTCAGCGACCGAATTCCGCAGAGTTTGGTAGGCTCCTATACGTACCCTCTATGAAGCCGACGAAAATACCGAAGGCGGGTGATTGGCGCACGGCTGTCCTATTCACCTGCACGCTATACTGAGCCACGTTGGTCGGCTGCATCAAGAGATAAAAGGGGTCGAAATCGGCCTGAAGCTGCTGTGGAGCGACGAAGCTGCTGGCATTGGCGACGGCAGGGTGGGCGACGAACCCAGCGGGTGGGAACGGGCCTGGTGTGCCATAATACGGTAGCCATCCCGGGGAGAAATCACCGTTTGGGGACAACGGCCACTCGTTCGTATTCGGGCTGTAGGCCGGTTGGGCGTACCTGGGCGTGTCGGAGGAGAGGTCGGCGTCGGCGACACTGGTCGGGTAGGAGGGAAAACTAGCAGGTAGGCCGCCCCCCCCGGCGCCCATGACGGCCGACGACGAGGGCGTGGGAGGGACGGACCCGGCCTGTCGGGCATCTACTGATGCCGAGAGTTGATGATCATCTCGCACCAGTCGTGCGAATAACTCAGCGTTGTCCTGGATTTCGGGGGTCAAGGTAGCCCAGCCGATGAACGCGGACTGGGAACTCAGGCTTTCGATGTGGTCAATCTCAAAGACGGCATGCTGCACAATCATGGCGCAGAGGAGTTCGTCGAAGCGGCTAGGAACATTGTTCTGTTCCATCGCCCCCAGCACGCCCAGGCCTGTGTCCCTCACCAGGCTCGGCTGAGGCGACCCAGCAACCCAGTCCCGCAGCGCGACCGACATGTCTGTCCGGGAGCACCGGAGAAGCTTCTGCACGCAGGCGTCGATCTTCTGCATGAACCGCAGCGGGAGCCGCCACTGTTGTTGGTGTTGCTCGTCCCGAGAGCGGGACGGCCCGCGCATCATGGACACATTGATAGGGAGGTCGAGCTGCAAGGTGCTAATGGCGGAGGCGAGGTCGGGCGTGTCGACGGGAACATCTAACACCACTCCGTCAGTCGACGACCACCCGGTCCGAGAAAAGGGAGAGCGACAGCAAATGCAAGCTGGCATAGCACATACCATGTGAAACACTCAGATCTATAGGCAGACGGTCGAGGAAGTTGCAGACGAGGCAGAGGCGATTGATCTTGTCCATAGTGGTAGCGTTGTCGACGAGTGTGTTGCCATAGTGTGACGGCGGCGTGGCGAAGGGATTCCCGAAATCCCCCATCAGTGCCACGGGGGTTTTGGATCCAGTACGACGCCTTCCCAGCAACTGGACCCGGTGGCGGCGGGGGGAAACTATCTTGCTTCGGGTGCCGGAGCAGAGCAACGGGTAGTTGTATAGGTATAGGCGTGTGTGAACGCGTAGGTGTGATTGTGTGGGTGCGGCGGCGGTGTAGCTACCAGTGTGTGTGTGCGTGCGAGATAGGGATGGCGACGAGCCTGATATAGGTAATGAACTGTGTAGGGACAGGAGCAGGGTGAGGCGAAGCAGCACTTGAGCGAGCCGACCCTGCGAGAACAGGGAGGCGGGCGGGGGGGGGGGCTCTGGCAGTAATAAAGCAAATCGTGGGTAGTGGTCTGCTACCAGCAGTTGGTTGTCCTGCAAATACTTACCGCTTCTATGTGCGATTTGTCCTGGCAGGTAGGCCACCTGGGAAGTAAGCCACAGAGGATGTAGGGACTGTCGAGTGTGTGCTCTTGCCGACGTACCTCGACTTGCCTGTCGGCGCTGAGGGGCCTGTCTCCCGCTGCTGTTGCTGCTGCTGCTGCCGCTGCCGCCGCCGCTGGTGCAGAATTGGGCCCTGAGGTAACCAGCAGATAGGATCGCGTGGTCTCTCTGTCTCCTCTGCCACTCTCGGTGTGTCGAGCAGCCCAGGAAATCGGTGAAAACTAGGCGGGGCACTCGACTGGATGGGCGGCGGGGTGTCGAAGGTACCTTTGTGACAGCGACGGGAATGGAGAAGATGGAGGGGCGGAGCTTGGCTGGAGACATGATTAGCTGCTGTTGGGCAGCAAGCCAGGCCGGACGTGCTCTTCGAGAGACGAGCTCGCAGCCCCCTACCCTTCCCTCCTTTTCCCCTTCTTCCTTACCCCTAACTCACTAAGCTGTGTCTTGCCGCCTATTTTGCTTCCCATCAGCAAGCGACTTCGCTGGCGTGGCTGCCCTTGGCTTGCGGCCGTCGTCCTTGACAGTTGGCCTGTCCGGCCTGGTTCCCACTCCCCTGCCTCTCCTCGTTTTTCCTATTCGGCCGTCTCGCCGTCACCTGCCCCCTCTCTACGCTTCCCCGACATGACGCAACACAATCGCTCCAGAAAATAGGATTGCCATAATACGTACCCGCCTAATACCAAATGGGGTTTTTTTTTTCTTTTCTTTCTCGGCCTGAATCGGAAGCGGACAGCGACGCTACCGTCCTCTGCTGCTAATCCAGGTAGACACCGCTGCAGCCGTGCTGGTGATGTTCTATAAGTAGAATCGTCCCAACGCAGGTGGTGCGTATGTATGGCTTTGGTACCTGATGTTGACGTGACTGCCTGGTAGCCTTGCCGTGCGCGACGAGGAGTTGCCGACTCGAGGCTCGAGATATGCGCTCGGGCTGTTTTGCGACAACGAGACGGGCGCAGAGGATGGAGGAGAGACAGAGGAGGTGGCTATCCGATCCGCCGCATGAGCCTCGTGTTTGGGTTGATTGATGATTGATCGGATTGTTAGATTCGGCATTCGAAGTTGCCATGTGGGTAGCCGCTCTGCCCTACTAACCTTAAGCGGGCGGCGTAGAGAGTAACCACTGGCACTACCACCACTACCACCATTACCACACCACCACCATCGTCATCACTACTACCACCAACCACTACTACCACTCTCTTACAGGCGATAAAGAAGCACTTCTACATTTGCTAGGGGGGAGGTAAGCAAATAACCCGAAGCTTAGCGCTTCCACCCGCAGCGTTTCACTCGTGCGCGACAGATCGCGGGTGCGACCAGGGAGAATCGCATTACCTATGTCTTGGGTTTAGGTTTTTTCTAACAAATTTTTTTTCGCTCTCCCTGTCTTTTCTCCCCGAGGTCGTGGATCCGGCCACCCTAACCCCGCCATGGCGTCGGTACCAACCCGCTTTTCTAATTTTTTTTTCTCTTTCCCGCAGGACCCGCGATACCTACGTCTACCCGTGCAAGCGGCGTGGCGCGGGGACGATGTGGGCAGAGGAATAGCCGCGATGCCAGACGAAGACGAGACCAAGCGAAACGGACCCTGCCGTGTGTTGTCTCCGTTCGGCGTGGGTTCGAGTTGTGATTGACGCTAGGGCTGGCGTGACCCGGCTACTGGTAGAGAGGTACCAGCCCAGGGTGCTGGGGTGGGCGGTGTGTGGGACCCTGTCTACGTAGAGCTGCCTGCAGCACCGCGCATTGCACAGTCCTGAGCCAATGTCGTAAGCAACCTGGTCGTGTAGGTACGTCCATGCCCTGACGGACTAGGGTACGTATCCTGGTTATCCGCCAGTGGTAATGTCTGTGTTACCTCGACCACTTGGGTGGTGGTGGCGGTGTTCTGCCCTCCCTTCCTGCTCCTCCTGCCCGCCTGCACGCCGAGTCCACGTCGGGCATGATAACGATGGTGCTGGGAGACCGAGCTAGCGAGAAACGACTGGGCTTGCGTTGCTGTTTTGCTTGCGCCTGTGGACACGCGAGTGTCCTGTTCTCCTGGGAGCCTCCTTACCCGACCTCGACTGCGCGGTTGCGGCGCGACCGCTGCGTCCATGGCGCCCTCGCCGTGGCCACGATCTCCTTCCCTACCCAAGGAGTAGCGTCGCATCGAGTGTCTTAAGCGCGGGTAGCTTGACTATGGCGGTGCCGCGGACGGGGAAACAGTCCCTGCCACGTAGACTGCCAGCTTATCATATACCTACAGCTGACCAAGCATCCAAACCCAAGGCGCTGGCCGGCGTTGGGAAGAAGGATTCCGCATATCCGTGTAGCCTGGAGATCTTGATCGTCTTCTTGCTGCCGGCGCACACACTGGCGCGTCTGCTAACGGTACCTAGTGTCACTTCAGCCTCAAGTGCCTCCTGGTAGGTTAGTACGTGGCCGCGTTCTTGAAGCTGTAGGGCATGCGGCAGTGGGTCGGCCACACCACACCAAACCGTACACCGTCTGTCAGGTTGTCCGTATTTCGCAGGCGAACGCAGCAAACCAGCCTCTTTTCCCGTTCGCGATGCCAGCCATCGCGCGTACGCAGGTTGATGCTGGACGTAAAAGCCCCTATCCGCGTACCCGTTGCTTCCTACTGCAACGTTGGCTTACCTTGGGTACCTACTGACCGACGGCCTAGTCACAGCGCAGCAGAGTGCACGCATATTGTTTGGTTGCGCCCAACGGTCTGGCCGGGCGACGCCCTCAGCACTCGTTGCCGTACAGGTGAGCCCAAAGAGACACCTTGGTACTAATAGCGGCAGCATGAGGAGGCTCTTCGTGACAAATCATCGCATCAAACTCCGGATGCGTGAAAATTTTTCTGTCACCACCTGCAAGAGCATATTGGACGTAGGATGTCCTTGTCTGGCCAAAGCCACCCCTTCGCACCCAGGCGTAGCAGAGGGGGAGAGGAGGGGGAGGAGAACGAGGCGAGGAGCAAATTAGACCCCTCCCATCTAGCCCGGCGACGTGGGAGACAGCTATTATTGTGGCTTTGCAGCATTACACTAGCAACCGTTAACGGGACGCGCTGCGTATGTGCTTATCGTGATCCTTCGAAGTGGCGAGGAAAGATGCCAGCGACGGCTAGGACATAGCAAGGTCGAAAGCAATAGGGCCGTTACGCCATACCGTCCAGCAGAATGCTGGCCGAGAGAAGAACAGGTCAGAGGAAAAGGGCAGGGTAGAGAGGAACCCGGGAATCAAAAAAAAAAAAACAATCAAAAAACGCCTGGGTATTATTGGTATGCACAATTATGCAAGCAACTAATTCACCTTGTACGGGTGTAACACACTATCTCCGCGAACCGGTAATTCTCATTACTATTATTCTTCCTCTTGTTAGTAGATATTAACATCATTATGCTCGCTAGCGCACACTAGTCCGTCGTCCTGCGACACCTATCCGCAAAACCCACAGGTATGGCACACCAGCATCTTCGTCCTCCTAGCTCGGCACGGGCCGGGACGTATAAAATCCCGTGTGGCGATGGCGCGTTGCGCTCGGGACGAACGCACCCCGGCCGCTGCTTCGGGTTGGGCCGTCGGTGGTCGAACGATGGCCGCGGGGTGTACGGGAAGGGCAAGATTCGCCACACCTCGAGGTCGTGGGCAAATCCCGGCAAGTCACCCTGCGCCCTGGCCGCGTGGAGGTGGCCTGGGAGGTGGTCCGGGAAGTGATCCGGGAAGTGGCCTGTTCGGGTCAATCTGGGGTGGTCTCATTCCTCATTCCTCATTGCTCACCCGACTTCGGGATCTGCTCCGGGGTTTTTTTTTTTGGGTCACCTGGGCCGCTTCAGGGGGTGCGCTTCCGTATTGAGCACGTACTCGTCCAGATTGATAAGATCTGGTGGCGAGAATATCAGGTAGAAGTATCGGAGAGTCTCCGCCAACCAGAAGCTCTGTGGCCGTGCCAGTCAGCCTCCGCCCAACCGTCGTGCGGTTCCCGTCGTTGCGAGCAATACGTACCTCCATAGAATCCGTCTTTACGGTCTCGGCGTTCCGCACCGACTGGATTGAGGAAAATGCCAGCTTCGTCTCCGTCGCCCTCCGAATCGACTGGAACATCTTCCACGCCATCTCTTGGTACTCGGGGTTCCCCGTCATGCGGTACATCAGAAACACGCTCTCGATAGCCTCGGGCCGCAGGAGGTAGCGCGGGTCGCGCGCGGTCTTGAAGCCCCTCGTGAGCTGCGTGTTAGCCCCGTTCAGCCATTCGTCCTCGTCCCACGGGCACGGCTCCAGCGTCTCGCACTTGAAGAGGGTGAAGACCTCGGGCATGATGCCGGCGGGCATCGCATCGTACGCCCACACGCAGCCCCGCGCGAGCCTCTCGCCGATCTGGACGTGCTCGGGGATGTCGAAGAGCTTGCCGCCGAGCCCAAACATGCCGCCGGCGAAGCAGGTGAGGTGCTGCGACTCCGCAGTCAAGTACGGGCCCGTGCTGGGCGTGACGTACACGCTCCCCGAGAAGAGGACGTCGTCCTGGTTCGGCGTCATCGGACGGAACAGCAGGTTCTCGATGACGGTATCCATCGCGCCGCGGTACAGCTTTTCGTATACCGGCTCCAGACCTCCCAGCAGGGCGAAGGTCTTGGGCAAGTACTCGTACAGGCTGTCGGCTAGCGCGCCGAGGCTGAAGCTGTTATCGCTGTCCAGCTCCAGCTGGGCCATATCGAAGAAGACCGGCCACATCCCGGGCAGGCTCGTTCGGTTCTGCCATTCCTCCAGCACCCGCGTCACTCGATTGATGGCGTCGTAATACTTGCTGTTCCCGGTTAGCTGCGTGAGCCGCGTGAACTCGAGCGACGAGGTGGCGACAGACGCCGACGGGTCGTGATACCCGGCCACGAGCTGCCCTTTCTTCGCCTTGGAGAAATCCATCCAGAAGGGGGGCATGTGGTTTGGCGTGTCGTAGGCCATGTAGAGCATATCGCCGAGCTCGATTGCTTTCTCGAGCAATACCCGTTCGAGGCTGAGGTCGTACGCGCTCAAGAGTCCGCCGAGGTGCCGGATGGTGGTCTCGAAATAGTTGCACGAGGTGTCCTTGGTGCGGGCCCAGTTGATGGTGGCGGCGGCGGCGGTGGCTTCGTAGAACTCCTCCTTGAGGTCCATGATCCACAGGGTCGGAAGGGAGTCGACGAGCGTGGCGCCCCACCCGCCGAATCCAGGCACATCGTGCCCTTTACCGGAGACGGGCAGCAGCTCGTCGTAGCCGAAGCCGATGTTTTTGTAGCTGGTCCAACTCTTGATAAATGCGGCCTTCACCTCGGCGCGTCGGTCGGCGATGAGTTCCCTCCTCGCGACACCCTCGGGGCTCGGGTCGGTCGTGAAGCGATACTGAACGGGAGGCAACGACCGGGGCGCGCCCGTAGGAAGGGGCGTGTACTCGGATATCGGGTACCGCAGCGGATGCTGGGACCAGTCGTAGGTCGACCGTACGTAGGTGAAGCCGAATAACGTTTCGCGGCGCTCGGGGACGAGGGCGAGCAGGAGATACAGGAGGACGACGAGGCCTAGCGAGGCGAAGATGCGCGTCTTCTTCCGGAATATGGCCAGCATGGCGTCGTGAGGATGGTGGTGAACCTGCCAGGCGACATTTTCCGTCCACATGGAGAGGCGATGGGTAAGAAGGCCCCCCCCCGTCCGTCCACCGGTAGAAATACCTCCTAGCTAAACGGCTTACTACCGCCCACTACCAGCCTGGCCCCTCGCTCTCATATGTATTCCGATGCACACATCAGATGGGACAACGAGCGCGTAAAGCGAGCGACGGAGGGGGGCATGTAAGAAGGTGGAACACACGAGTTACGGATGCTGAGCAGCCGGTTGGGGGTTGGAAGGGGATCTAAAAACGCGCCGTGCGAGGGTGCATGTTTGAGCGAGGCAAAAAAAAAAAGGAAATAGAGGGCGCGAAATGATAGAGGTGGCAGGATTGGGGAGGAGGATGCTCTTGGCGCCGACTTGGTGATTGTTGACCCTGGCTTCGGTCGGCTAGATCGGCGATCGGGAATCTGTTCGCGGATGGGCCATCGGTAACATACCTCGTAACCCGTGCGCTGGCGGGCGCTGTAGAGAGGACCTCGGGTAGGTGCCTGCCTACAGTCACCTCCAACCTGGTAGGCGGGTTTCACCGTTGGGGGCATACTTAGGTAGGTAGCTATTGACGTAGGCCAGTAGCGAGCAACGCTCCGTCGGAACGTGGCCCTTCTCCCCCTGGCTAAACGCTTAGCACCCCAACTTGGCTGCCGGCACCACACCAAGACGTGCTCGCAGGAAGCGCCAGGCTGCTAAACCCGACTGAAACGCGCTGCCTGAAGTCCACTGCCCAGGGTTTTCCCAGCGCTCGCTCGCTGTCAAGCCGACCTTGCGCACTTTAGATCGGATGCACCGTATATACAGCATAACCAACCGCCTGACCCGCGAGAATGCTCGAGGGCCCTGCCGATAAACCTCCGCCAGTGCCATCGGCGCTTCGTCGACGACGTCTCTACCTCCGCCGGTCGTCCCAGCGACAGGTATACACGGCCATCGCACTTGTTCGGGAGGCGACCCAGATGGGGGCGTCTGCCTTAGACATTGTCGAACGGCGACAGGACTAGGCCCGCTGGCAACAACCCCTCTCCGGCTAGCTCTGTGCCGCGAAAGCGGATCTCTCTGCTTGCGTAATGGGTAGCAGCCGGGAACAGAGGGTGGTCAAAGACGGCCACTAGACTTGTGGCGCTCTGGGTGATGCCTAGATGGCGACATGGAGACAGCAGCACCAGCAGCACCAGCAGCGCTGCCTGGCCCGGCTCTGGCGGCTCTAACACCGCGTAACCACGGAACTGCGTCGCGGATAAGAGAAAGCGGTGTTGGCTCTAGCTTGCTTTTTTTTGTCAATAGCGCCAAGATGCTAACGTTGTGTCGAGACGGTGGGGGGGAATCATGCTTATCCCGCGGCCCCGCTACACCTCCCTCTGTGGGCGCGGGCGTCAAGGAACTCATTCCCGTTTGGACGGCCAGATCTCGTCAAGCAGCTCTGACGAGGGCGCCGTCACGCATAGTAGAACGGACAGTAGTAAACGAGTGATGGGGTTGAAGGTTCTGTGGTGTGATGCTATAATATCGTCGTAAAGCGGGTGCGTGTCTGGACGGGGAATGGCACGAACGGGCCTGCAAACCCATCCCAGGCGCCTTGACCTCACTGGCTCCCGGGGGTGAAACGGGTTTCGCTCTGCCGGAGTTACCTGCCTATTGTTACCTGCATGATGCCGCCATATGAGCTCATACAAGCACGTAGGTTCGAATCCTGCTGTAGTCAAACCCGGGGCCCGTGTAAGTCCTTATTAAACTGCGACCCACGTAAAGCGACACGGGAAAAACCCGAGATGCTAGATAGGGAGCTATTAAATGCTGTAAATATCCCAGCTAAGCACGCCGCTGGTACCCTACGGAAGTCACGGGATAGCCATTGGCGGTCCCTCCTCCTCCTCCTCCTCCTCCTACTACTACTACTAGGTACCTAGGTATTGTTACCTTTCCAGCATCGTGGTGGCGTAGTATCTATGCCTTTTCATTTTATTTTCTTTTGTCTCGCCTAAGATCAGACTTCTCTATTAGCCCGTGATAATCATGCCTAGAGTAGCTTCTTTTACTACGGTGTTATATAGACCTAACACGGGGCACGAGAAACGCATAGTCCCGACCAATAAATAGTCATCCCAAGCATTTAGGTAGGTAAATACTTCGCTCACCGCATCCTTTTATGAGCACCTGGCGGGTAACAAACAGGTAGGTAAGTAACACTTGCACTGCTCGCCGATTGCTACATCCAATTCCGCAGCGAATTCCGCAGCGAACTAGAGAAAAATCCTCGCCGCTTTCACCCGCCCGCTTCTCCGCATCCCGCGTCTCCGCAACGGACCACCGCTATTGGGCGGTGGACCAGCTTGCTCGTCTAGTCGCTGGGAATTCGTGCTGGCCCGGGGTGTAGATATGTATTCTATACTCACAACGGTTTCCCGTTCGTGCCAGAAAACTACAGCACTTTCTACCCTTTCCCGCTCCTGGACCGCCTGGGATGACGCGGGAAATGGGAGCGCCCGCCTTACCCGCTCGTTGGGGAGTTCCTTATGCGCCCGTGTTCAACGCACAAATACAACACCCCCAGCCATGCCAGAGTCCGAATCTTCATAAAATAAAAATAAAAAAGAAATCGGAGTAAATTACGCCGCAATGACAACTCCCGGAGGATTTCGAATCTGAGGCCGATATGTACGACGTACATATAATAGCCCCGGAACGCGATATACCTACCGAATACGTCGTAGTCCCGTATTCTTTTCACAGAATAAGCTGAAATCCGACATATCATATTCACTCGTTAGACAGACCCGGAACCTGGAAGGCGTAGGTTCAAAAATGTACACGTACACATGCTGTATGATCCCGGTTGTGTAAAGCTGAACATCCCATCTCGTGAGAGTTTACCCTAGTTATAATACATGCTGCCTTCTTGCGTCTGGGTATATCCAAGCACCTTCTGTGCACGCCTTCTCCCAACTCCTCTTCGTCAGCCTTATCTTGTATATACCTATACCCTGTCCAGGCCCCTAGACCCGTAAATATTCGTACATCTTATTGATGACGACGCTCCCGACGAGCCGGCACTCTTCTTCCTCGCAAACACCCCATAATACAGTTCCACACCCAGAAACGCGCCTTACCCATGCCAGTTGACACCACCATGCTTTACCATACCAATAAAACCAAGGAAATACGTTGATAGGTGGTATAAACACCTAATCCAGGTCGGAAAAAAAAGTCATCTAAACCCGGGGAAGACCTTGATAACCACACGCTTCCCTACGATTTATTAGCGAATCATCCCAAGTCTTTGACATAATGAGAATACTTGCATCGCCCTCGTCCGTCGTCGCTGTTCGTCTCGTCAACCATTGCGGCGAGGTCCTGCATGCGTTGCTGAGTTGTCCTGACGTTATTCGGCACGTTGTGTCTCGGCTGCTCCTCCAAGTCGACATCTTCGTCGCTCCGGCGCGAAGAGGACACCCGGCAGATGTGCTTCTTCACAGAGCTGCTCCAGGACGACAGTCGCCGGCGGCCCCTCTCCACGTCTACCGCGACGCCTCTCCGTGACCGTAGCCTTCGAGTGCCGAATTCTCTGCGCACCATGGAGTTGGTAATTCTAGGGCAATAACCACGCGGGAGCATCGACGCCCTGCAAATCGGGCAGAGAGAGCTGAGGCGACCCAAAAACTCATCGATGCAGTCGGGGTGGTAGATGTGACCGCAGGGCAGTTCACGGATGATTGTCGCTCTGGATTCGAAGTTCTCGAGACAGATATGGCATGAGGGCTGGTAATCGATTGCCGAGACGTTCTTCCCGGTTTGTCCGCTACGGGGCTTCCTACTGGCTTCGGTGGAGTCCCTCCCTTTCTTCGGCGGCAAGTTTGCCGACGTTGGGGATGACGGCAGCGGCGGGTCGTAAAAGTAGGTAAAGAGGGGAAAGGTCTGAATGTGGGCTGCCGGTACCGTCAGCCGTTTAATGCCTAATGCCTCCAGATTAACCTCCCCCCGCATAACACGCCGGCGTAATGCGGAGCGGCGTCGTCTTTGAACGAAGTGCATGAGCAGCGACGTACTGCCGATTACGGCCACGATAACACCGATAATAATGAGGACGAAGGCCCAGAGCGGCAGCGTTGCCGTCACCGTCACCACTGTCAGCTCTGTCCACACGCGCACAAAGTCAGAAGGGTCCGGCGAGTACGCTGATATTATCTGATTGCTGAACGGGACTTGCGACAAGTCTCCGGAGTAGAGACTAAGCTGCCGCATCATCTCGGCGCCGGAAGCGCCGGGGATCGCATAGACGGGATAGCGGTTCTTCGTCTTCCAGCCGCCACCGTCTCCTAGATCCCAAGCATCCGCATCGGGATCCGGGGGCTGACTGGCGTCGCCGTCCGGGAGATACACTAACATAGCTCGGATGGGGTCCACCCGAGCCGAGGCCAGAAATGATTTCGTGCAATCTACATCGATCCACGGCGCAAGCGCGACGAGATTATAGTTCGTAGTTGGCAGATTTGCTCGTCGCGTGACATTCTGCGGGATGTGGTTTGCGGCCAACTCCCGACACGGATCACCTTTAGCAAGTGCCGGCACGTACAGCAGACCTTGGATCACGCCGTTTGTCGTGGGCACCGACGTGGTGGAGAGAGTGGTGATATTCCCTAGCAAATTCTCGGAATACGCTATCTGGCTCTATAGCAATGTGCGCGAGTAAGCGGCTGACTTTGCTTCTATTCTGCCTTTCTTTCTTCTCTTCGCCAGGATTTTTTTTTTGGCGGGGACGACTTCCGGGGACGGATTACTTACAGAGAGGGCGGTAATATTTCTAAGGATAGTGCCAGGGATGGAACGGCCGTCGGACCAAGTGGGATTGCTGAACAACAATCTAATCGTAGCCTGACATCAGCAAAGTAACCCAAGACGCAGGTGGGTGGTCAATGAGCGAATATGGTTATGAACTCCATTGCTCGCACGCGCCGGGCATGGCTGATCCGAGTGGTGGCAAGGAGCCCCGGTGGCTGACAGCGAATGCGACGGAGAGAGCTTCGTAGCTGGTCCTCGCCCCGATGCTACGATGCTACGTCGCACGACGGGGGGAAAGGTGGTGGGCCGCAGATGCACTGTCAGGGCACTGCCGGCACCATCGAGATCTCGACGACGGTCGCGGGCACGGAAAACCAACGGGGTATCTCAGAGCCAGCCCACCACCAGCCGAGACGAGAGAGGATTTTGGTAGGTATACATGTATATGTCAGGCAGACACGCATGGGGACGCCTACAGATACGTATAGAGTACATATCCGTCAGAGCGACTGGGAGCCATGCTTGGCAGCGCCCGGCAACGTGGAAGAGGAGGAAAAGAAGCTTTTTCTTGGCGACGTACACGACATTCCGGATGGTTTGGAGTGCTGTCAGAGGAGTAGAACAAGCGTCAGCCAACGTCGGCCGCCCGTTGCCAAGCAGTTCTAAGGAAGCGCTCGGGTTGGTGCCAAGAAGGGCAATCGGCCATAGCATGGCGGATCGACTTCTCGGCAGCGGGGAAGCATACCTGGGCGGAAGGGGAGGGACGGGAACCAAGAAAAAAAAAAGGGGGGACCGAGACATACACATGCTCTTCTTCTAGTCATTATCTCTTGCTACCGAGGCGCCAGCTGAGACATTACGATCGGAATTGGCAGATCAGACGGCGGCCGGATAGAAGGAGAGAGGAGAGCGGAGGAGAGAAGGAGAAGAACAGTCGAAAGGGCCGACGGTGAACGGGGCGGCTAGGACGCAGCGAGCAATAAGAACCAGAAGTGCGAAAACGGAGGTCGATCGAGGTGGTCTATGCGTATGGTGTACGTGTGTGTGCCGTGTGCGTATAGGAAATGATGGAGGAAGTCCAGGGGGGAAGAAAAAAAGGGGATGAAATGATGATGTTCTTGGCAGAGTTTTCAGGGGGGGAGAGGAGAAGAGAAAGGATGAAGGCGGCTGGCAGCACGTCGCAAAAGACATGTGGGAGGACCGGGATGGTAGATGGGTGATGGAGGATGGGGAAATCAGCTGGTGGAGGGGGGAAGCAGATGGGAAAGCGGCGGACGGGGGCATTCGCCAGAGTCGATACATCTAATATATAGGAGGGAGGTATTCTATAGGTACCTCGCCAGGACGGGTGTCCCCAGCGCGTTACGGAGGGAGCAGCGTCGACGGCCAGGCCAGCAACCTCCACCCACGGGCACCGGTAGCACAACCACGACAGGCGACGCAGGGATCGGTTCGTCGAAAGATGCCGGCCGCTCAGCTAAAGAAAGCCGCTGCGATACCTACCTGGGTACGGTAGGAGGTACCTACCTGTAGGTATTATGGGAGGTATGTACCTATAATACGGAGGGAGGGTTGTGGATAGACGCATACCGTAGGGACCACAGGCACCAACACACCCCCGTTTTAGATCGAGGTGTTGCGCAATGGAGCACTGTCTAGGTATACCCTAACCTACCTGGTGCGTGTCCACATGTCACATCCGCCTCCGGCCCGGTCCCTCCCCTCTCCTCTGCCTCCCCCGCCCATGTTGGTTTGACAATCTCTCCAACCCTGCCAGGGCCAAGAGGTATTATTATAATGTTTACTCTGCCCGGTCGCTTTCCTGATTCGATACCCAAGTTGCCCGTAGGCAGGCACTTGCAAATGCTTCGCAGCATCACCCTCCCACGGTATAAGCGCATGCGGTGGTCTAGACGTCCGACGACGTCGATGTAGGCACGATGTGCGTAGGCACACGCACACACACTGAGCATGCGTGTATTTACGTAAGTCGTTACGGACCCGCCGTATGGACCTGATGGAGAATGACGCAGGAGCATGGGTGAGAGATAGAAGGGTAGCAGGTGAGGCTAGCTAGCTGGCTGGCTGGCTGGCTGGCTGCCCGCTCCCAACACATCAATAGGTGTAATCACAAGCATGTGTGCCATTGAGCGGAGCCGGGAATGCGAGGGCTGGAGCGGCAATGGGAAAAAGGTAGGTAGCGTGACTGGAAATCGACCAGGTTGCTGGCTGTCCCACACACGGCACCCACACCCATGTACGAGATTCCCGGTCCAAGGATCTGTTCAGAACTCGTAGGTAGCTATCGTCTCACCTCCTTCGTCATCGTACCCGTACATGGAACGCGAATCATTCAGAGACGCGGCAGCGTCCACGTAAGAATTGTGGCTATCTACCATGTCGCATAGGCTCTACCTACCCGTGTACACCTATAGGTATATCAAGACCCCGACGAGCCGGGCAAGCCACGGCTTGCTATGCCCCTGTTGAATGTCTGCGTACCTTACATGCCTACTACGTAGTCAGGACTCCTCTCGGTTTGGGGGAGGGAGTTTGGGGGAAGCCCGTGCGGATGAATGAATTCGTCTGGCCCGCAACCTGTTTCCCTCCTACATCCCATCTCTATCTACGTGCAGGTATGCAACCAACCTACGTATCAGCACCGACACCGAAGCCTCCCCCCCCCCGGTTATCCGATCTGGGCTTGACTGGAAGGACCGAAGATTCCTGGAAACGGTCGCAAAGGCATGAAATCGATCTATATGTGCATGAATCCATCCCCGTGCCCACAACCTAAAACCGCCACACGAAGCTGTATGTGCCGAAATCCTGGGGAATCCCTCTGTATCGACTTGGATGGCGCTACAGAGGCTACCCACACCCAGCACAACGACGCACGGGCAAGAGCAACATCATCAAGTGTATTCGATCGACTTTCTTTTTCCTTTCCCTACTCATTTCTTTCCCCCTTTTCAGGGATGGCCTCATGCTTGCGTCGGGCTGCCGGACGCCTGGCCGGACAGGGCCTACATGTGCAACATTTTTTTGCTTGCGGTTCTGGCCCACCGCCTAACAAGCCTCCCACGATTGTTGCCTCGGGATGGCGGTAGGGAACTCCGCCCCGATGGCCTGTCCCCATGACCCCGCCCCATTGGCAGGCGAGGAGAGGAAGAAAACCAACGGACCACTCGAACGGCGCGTTCGGGTCCTGGCTGCCTGCAGGTTTGCTGCGGTAAGTCCCTGAGGTACGGACCGGTAGACAGCATCGCGGTACTCGTCTTGCTGTAAAGGACATACCAGCCTGCCGTATCTGGTGTTATGACGCTGCAGCTGGGTGGCATTCGATGGGCCACGTCCTCTCGCCGGGGCGGCTCCCCATTGGATTAGGTAATCGGGAGGAAATGAATAGGTCGTGGGCAGTTTGATGACGAGGCTTGGGGCCGAATCCTTCCGCAATTTTACCTCGCCATGGCGAATAAGACGCTTCACAGGTGTGCCATATTTTGGCCCAGACTAACCCGGTCATCCCAGGCCAAGATAGACCGGGCCAGAACCAAAAGCTTGACCCTTTCCCCCGGGCACCCCAAAAAGCTTGTCTCGTACCAGACCGGATGGAGCGATATGGGAAGCGAAGGCGTCCCTCTCCGCCAGCAGCATTCCCCTGAGCCACATTGCTACCTTGGGTACCCAACCTGGCGAGAGAGCACGGTGGCATCAAGCAGAGCGTAAGATCAACCATGGCCAGCATTCTGTGCCCCGCTATTGCTTACTACTGCCTTACTTAAAGCGGGCATCCAGTCCTGCTATCACGTACTCCTAGACCTCTTTGCCCAAGTATAATACGAGCCAACGCCTAGAAGTCCTTACAATCCGGACGGGAACTGCCCAGCTGATCCGGTAGCGAGCTGGGGGCCGTACACAGGCGAACAAATAGCGCGGACAGGCGCCATTCGAAGTAGTTAGAGCAATATATGCGTATATATTGCCCCGCTGTCACGGATATTCTTTTTCACTGATCTTGTTTCCCGAGTCTTCCGGGTCTGCAGCCTGTGCTGCCACCCTACATGTTCTCATCATTCCCTGGACGACCTAGCCCCCTGTCGGATGTACGCATGGACAGAGTACCACGTACCAACATCCGCCCACCACGCTTCGCTGCCCATCCCCATCACTCGAGACCCCTGGCGAAAAGGGGCAATGAAAAGAAACGAACATATGCTCTACTATAGCTGAATAGAGTATGGTGGCCGGGGGGGCTCCTCTCGTTTTCTCTTCTTCCCATCACTCGTTAAGAGAACGATAACAGCCAACCAACATACGAGTCACCCCAGAGTAACGCGGTACAAGGGATCGTGGCGGAGATGGTGCAAGATAGTTGGCACCATTCATCATCAAGACGAATAAATTAAAAAGAAAGACCTCGGTAAGCAGGCCGTGGACAGGGCGTGTTCCCTCTGTCTACCACCTCTTCCCACCCCCCTTCTTTCCGGTGGAGAGATACCCGATTTTCAAGTACCATCGCGTACGTACAATTACGTGTTGCTATCATTGGTAACTATTCGCTATGTATGCTTATAATATTCTTTCCCTTCTTTTTTCACTCTTTGCTGTGTTTTTAGCCTTCCAATTACCACCGAACGGAAGAGGGGGTGAGCGTGGGTGAGTTCGGGGCGGTTATGTCGGAAACGCGACGGCGATGCCAAGAGCCCATGCCGAACCAGCTGGACCGTATCCTCTCGGCGCCGGCCCGAAACTCGGCCGAGCCCTCTTCGGTCACCCCCAAACAGGCCTCCTACATGGCCCTAACATCTCACTCAAGATGACGCGATATCTGTCCCGTCATGTGCGTTCTCTATGAATTTAGCTCGTCGGGGCCGCTGGTTACCTATATTTGCAGAATCCCTTTTATATTGTCGACTCCGCAGATTTATGCTCTACTGATCCAATTGCCAGCCTTCCCGAACCGACAGTAAGGTGGTATTCAACTGTAGTGACACGAATAGTTCATGACCATGAGAACGTCCGCCAACTACTGGCCCCGGCATCTGCGTGGCATATAAATAACAACCTAGGCGTAACACCCACCTAGGCTAGGTAATACCATCGAGCGGCCCTCGTTCCCCGCCCTTCGGTGCTTCTTGCGACGACAATATCTCCGTCGGTTGTGGTCCATTCCCCGACTCGCCCAATTTGCACTACAGAAGAGTAACGAAGAAACAGGGCAAAACACGGGAGAAAGGAACCAACCTGTCAGTGCTACAGTTCGAGTATCGTACACGGTACTGGTTAGCGGACATGTGTCACTCAAACCGATCCCATCATTACACCTCTGGGAGTTCCTCGCCTCGGCCGGTGCTACACCTCGGGAGACGGCTACGCAAGACCCCCATCTCCAGTCCCGCTTAATAATATCTCTATCCATTTGTTATCTGTCACGTTAGGGAATCTTATATAATAACCCTACCTGTTCCGCGAGGGAAAGCTACGCGTCTGTCCACGTTTCCACGTGACACATACGACGCATCAGCTGCCTCAACTGCGGATTTACTTGGCTGATATTACCTCCTGAACAGATCAACGCCTAACAGATGCGTCCCTGAGAGCTTTGAATTTTGTCGAATTGATAATATCGTCTGCGATAATCTAAGAACGGAACATTGTACCAACGAGAAGTGTGAAGAATTTACGTAAGCTTAGCATCGTAACGGCCGCGACTGAGCACTCCGACACCAGCCAGCAACCATCGTGAAGACTTTTAGGGTCCAAAAGAAGTAATACAAAGTTGCGAAGATGGCGTTGCCCGTACGGAACAACTACTTGACAATAGGGGGATGGGATGGGGAGCTAGGCAAGGTGCTAGCGAAACGTCTCCGACGTCACCAGACTCCCGTAATAATACTACACTATATTATTAGTCCTCGAGTAGAAGACAACTTGGTGTTATCAGAGGGCGGCCTACTTTCGACATTCCAACAGTTACGCATAAACGTCATTTGTTAAACGAGCATTAGGTCCCCTGTATTGATACAACGACTTCCGAGCTACCTTCAAACCTACCCCCGCGTAAATGAATGGAGAAAGCCAAAGGCGAATAAGACGAGCAGGAAAAGAACAAACCAGAAAAATGCAAAAGAGGAAAGAAATTCTAACTGCGCATCGCTGACGCCAAGTCACCACGCCTGACCAGTCCCACCCACAATTAACCCCCTGCCATTAGACCAGCGCCCACTTCTGCTCCCCCCCCCCCTCTCTCCTATCTACCTCCTCGTGGCTCGCGTTTAGATGGTGCAGTAGTTCGCGTGGCGGTAGTCGCTCAGGCACCAGCGGGCCATGCCGTCGGGGGTGACGAAGGTGGCGGCGAAGTCGGGGGTGCCGACGACGTGGCAGCCCTTGCCGCCCTTCTCGACGGTAGCCGCGGCGTTGGCGTAGAAGTCCTGGGCGTCGCCGACGGTGAGGCAGGCGAAGTCGGGGCCGCCGTGGGCGCGGTCCTTGGCGGCGACGGTCAGCGCGCACTGGTGGATGTTGCTCTTGTCGAGGGCGACGCGGCACCAGCGGCTGTTCTGGCCGGCGGCGCCGTCGGCGCAGTCGCGGGTGCAGACCTGGCGGCCGCGGTCCGCGCCCAGGCTCGCCACCGCCGCCGAGCACGCCGAGATGTGCGACGTCATCGCGCGCGCCGCCGGCCCGTCCCCCGTCAGGCACTGGATCTCGTTGACGGCGCCGGGCAGCGCCGGCGTCGCCGCCTCCGCGTTCCCGCGCCCCCCGCGCCGCGCCTGCCGCCGCGCCGCCTGCTTCCCCGCCGTGCACTGCTCGTCGTACGTCCGGTAGCCCTCGAAGTTGGCCGCCCGCCGCCACGCCGCCACCTCCGCGCCCGCGCCGCCGCGCCCGCACCCGCACGGCATGATGCGCTGGCCCAGCGGCACGTTGTAGCTGACCGCGCCGGTGTCGCACACGGGGATCGTGAAGGTGCCCTCCCACGCCGTGCCGCGCTCCCAGGGGCGCGGCGCGGATCCCTGGGCCGCCGCCGCCGCGCTCGCGCGCTTGATCGCGTTCTCGCCGTCGTACGCGAAGCCGTGGGCGCGGTACGCGGCGACAGAGGCCTCGAACACGTCGCGCAGCGCGAGGCGGTAGCCGGGCTCGACCCAGCCGGCCGCGAGCTTGTCCCAGCCGACGGGGTGGTCCATCTTGCCGGTGGCGAAGGTGTTGAGCCCGACGGTGAGCCCGGCGCCGACGGAACGCTCGTGCCAGAAGTACAGGTAGTACACGCCCGGGTCGCCGTCGCGGCAGTACTTCATGTCCTGCGGGCCCTGCCGGTCCTGCTCGCACGACCCGTCGACGTCCGTCGTGTACGTGATGAAGATCTTCTGCTGCCGCCAGATGTAGTTGATGGCACGCGCGTTGAACTGCTTCTGCAGGTACCGCCGCAGCGTCGACAGCTGCGACTCGCGCGGCGTCGAGCTGAATTCGGGGCCGGGCCCCCGGAGGAACGCGCCGCCCTTGGCGTAGTCACTAGGTAAGGAAGAGAACTCGTAGTTAGTAACGGTGTGTTTTGCGTGTATAATTTTCCCATAATATCATATACCCGTGTTCCTATCCTACCGCCGGGGTAGATGCTTCTCCACTTACAGGAATCTCTTTCCGTGCCAGTAGTTGCCGATGGCGATGTTCTCCTGCATGTTGTTCAGCATGGTCCGGGTCTGCTCGAAGATGTTGGTCATGACGGCGCCCAGCTCGGCAAAGTCTGAGAACTTCTGGTCGGCTGGTAGCTTAACCACTTCTCGGTACTCTGCCCCGATGCCGTTGACGAGGTTGCCGAAGGCTCCAGCGGACTCCTTTCTGAGATCGGTAGCTTTCACCCAGGTGGTGAGCTTGGAGAAGCCCGCTCCGATTGAGACCACCGTGCCAAGTGCGATGGTTAGCTCCTAAGCACCGAAGTCAGCATGCCCCCTTAATATGTGGAGTTGCGGCGTTGGCTAACCCTTATGAATTCCTCGAACCTCTTGTTGATGGGAGGGAAGAAGTTCTCGGAAAGGTAGGCGGTCATTCCATTGAGGTTCATCTGGCTCTCGTCAAGAGCTTGCTACAGAGTTGATGTCGCGAGTTAGCAATGACCAACACCCACCCCGAAACCTTTGCGAAGTGAGCCATGATAAGGGGGAGGATGCCCTACGATGAGGTCTCTGAAGTAATCCTGAAATCCTTGGACCGACTGCATTACCAGATAGACTGGCCGTTGCTTATCGTGGTCTTTACATTCCTCTCCCCAGTTACCGGAACAGGCAATGTCTGTCAATAGGTCAGTTACAACGTGTCCCTGAGTATGTGTATCGTTAGCTATTGCCTACCTCCACAGAAGACATCGCCGAAGCATACGTCGTTGGGCTTTTGGCAGTGATAGTTTTCACTCTATAGTTCCACGTTAGCTGTCCCGTTACACTGGGGTTTTAACCTTGGATAACCTACCCCATTCAAGTACATTCTCCCAAAAAGGTTTACCTAGATGCTGTTAGAAACTTGCCGAAGGTGTGGTAATGCCGATGCCTAAGCACATACAAAATCATTTGGCCATCCGTTGACAATAACCTGGCTGAGGCCCCCTCCGTTACCGCCCAGGTACTTGTGCCACCATTTATTGAACCACCCATCCGTGTCGGCTTCAAACCAGTTGGTGACGTTGGTGGAATCCCAGGTTGAGAAGCCGCATCGTCTCTTGTCAAGCTCGAAGGAGGTGTGCTTGCCGTCATCCGGTAGAGCTACTGGGCTGGAGACAGCCACAGAGGAGAGTAGCAGGCCTACGATGCCTGCTACGAATGGGTTCTTCATGCCCCCCGAGAAATGACCGCGGGCTGTATAGTTGAAGAATGAAAGCAATTCGTCTAGGTATGAGCTTGGGAGCTATTGTAATGAATCGAGAGCAGTGAAGAGATCGATCTCAAGCGGGAAGGTTGGGATTAATTTATATATTACTTATTACCTTGCAGCAGAATTTACTGCTTTCTTCTTCAACTATGCCGTTGAGGCGTGTGCTATTTCGGGCTTGCATCACACTTCCTCGTAAAACGCCTTCTGTCAAATACCCCACGAGAGTGAGCGATGATGATTGTGAATATGACACAGCCGGGGCTTTCCATCTTGGCATCGCTATTTTATGATGGAAATCTATGCTGATAATTATGAGGCTGTGATACCCTTCGACTGGCTTATATCGTACCCGCCCTCGCAACGAGCTGTTAGGGTCTAGCAGCGGCTCACTCTTACTACCTTTGATGACTTATATCAACGCAGCCCTCCTCTCTTCTGCTGAATAGCCGCGATGCCGCCAATCACGGGTTCGATGCTGACGCCGAACGTTCTGACCTAGCTACCAAGGTAGACCGAGTATCTGCTGAGGTAATTAAACCCGAATCGGCGTCCCATTGGCGATTGGCTGGTTCGCAACGGCATCACAACTCCGCCATCGTGGTGCTGTTTGGTCGTTTTGCCCGGTGTATTAATATTATACGCAGCGCTCTCAAACCCGTGCCTAGCCCATCCCACCTGTCGCAAGCAACCGCGCCTACCCGCCTACCGGCTTAAGACGGAGGATCGTGCCTATGAGGCCTGATTAAGCTGGCCACGTTATTTAAAGATTGGGTGTGGCCTTTATACATTTAGAACACACATTCCTCTTGTAAAGACAACGCGGATTGAACTGTACTTGAGGGCGATATTTCCAGCCCACAAGTTCATTGGAATACCTGAATTGACATTCATAGCCTGTAGCCTTTATGTGAATACTCCAAGTCATACAGAGCGTGAACATCATAACCTTACTTTGAAGACTATTGAGGATATATAGAACAGATAAAATTACTTGAGAACTGTCCGGGGGTTGTTATTAGCTTCACCTTACTTATCCTTCAGGGGTCTTGGCAGAATAACATGAGATTTTCCCGGATGGCTCATCATGCTTTTCCCATCCTCTCTATAATGAGCTCAAACCCCAAGACGTCGCTGATTGAGGCAGCCGTCGACTCGGCTGGACGTGGTTTATCCAACTCGTTAGCGTAATGGCCCGTTATTAGGGTGACTTAGCTCGCTCTTCAGTACTAGACAGTGTGACGTTGCCTTTTGGCGAGAATAAGGCGGGAAAACGCACCGGCGGACCAAAATTGAGAATCCCATACCGGTGCTTCCACTCCGTGAGCAGCTTCAGGCTGCAATTCATTGGTGCTATCTTTTGGATGGTAATGAGTTCACAGCAAGTTCATGTCGAGTCCGACAGATTTTGATATTTTCTGTCGTCCTTCTTGATTTGGCTTGTTCGATTCGCAAAGCCGACTCCCCTTCACCAAGCATGGTTGGTGCAATATTGTACATATGTATACGGTGCGGAGAGTCTCGTATTGGAACTGTCAACCCCCCTGAACCAGCGCCCCCCCAATTTCTGCATCGCTACCTTCCCCTCTTCTGCAACATGGCGATCCAAATCCTCTCCGACTTACATCTCGAGGCTCCAAAAGCCTACGATCTCTTTGAGATCATACCCAAGGCGCCGATCCTAGCCCTGCTTGGCGACATCGGCAACATCAAGGCGCATAAGGCGGAGTGCATCGCCTTTCTCACCCAGCAACTCCACAACTTTCGCACCGTCCTGTTCGTGCCGGGAAACCATGAAGCCTACCACTCCAACTGGCCCGAGACCCTTGAAATTCTCCGCGGCTTTGAAGAAGTCCACAAGGACGCCTCGCTAGGCGAGTTCGTGCTACTAAACCGCACAATATTCCGGGTCCCCGACACCAATACGGTCATCCTAGGCTGTAGTCTCTTCTCCCACGTACCGCCCGAGAGCCGAGACCACGTCAGCATGGGACTGAACGACTTTTTTCAAACTGATAACTGGGATATAGACGCCCACAACGAGGCTCACAAACGAGACGTCGCATGGCTCAACGCGCAAGTCGCGGAGCTTGAAAACTCAGATGTCAACATCGTAATCTTCTCACATTGGGCCCCCTCAAGAGACGATCGTGCGATAGATCCCAGACACGCTACGAGCCCGATCACTCCCGGCTTCGCCACAAATCTATCAGGGGAAACGTGCTTCAAGAGTGGAAAGGTCAAGGTTTGGGCTTTCGGCCATACCCATTTTAATTGCGACTTTGCGGTTGAACGGGAGGAGGGCGCTGCACCATTAAGGCTGCTTACGAACCAGAGGGGTTACTACTTTTCCCAAGCTGTGGGCTTTGGCGCAGATAAGCTTCTAGAGGTATAAGTGGGATATCTACGTAGACGGCACAAGGTCGGCCTCGTCAACTTAGACAGACTAGATATATTAGAGGATGTGCCCGGGGCAGAGGAATAATCATATCTAACATCCGACCTAACAGCACTTGATCCGGTGTCTTCCATAGCCCTCCATCATGCACAGATATAACGCCTGTTATCGAACTAATCGCGGGCTAACCGGCAAACAGTTGGGCTTTCTGTCTTAGATTAAGGTATTTACGTCTGTACGCTCCCAGCCCTCTTTTCTTCTCTCCCAGCTTCACGTAGACTTGTAGTCGAGGGTATGCCGACTAAAACGAAAAGGTTTCCAATTTGAATTAATATACAGTATGTGAGGAGAATTTTGAACGTGAACACGAAAAAATGTGTCCGAGATGTACAAGATGATACACCCCCGCGCCTCCCAGACTCGAATAAGGAAACATGTGAACTCCATCAGAGCAAAGAGATATTAATGTCGAGCACAATTACAACAAGCCAACACAAAAACGGATTGGTGGAGTCCGAGCCGCTTCTTCAACCACTCTTCAGTGTTCCCGCCATTGGTAATAACATCTACAATGCAGAGCTACACGACGGCTTGCCGCGCACTGGTCAGCCTGAAGGAGGCGGAAGCAAGTAGTATCCAGGGTTCCATGTGATATTTTGGGTCCGATGCAGTCTAGGATGGTTGTATCGAATACGGCCAACTCAGGGGTTGGGTTCTCCTGAAGAGAACTGCTGGTCGCGGCGCCCGGCCGCGCCCCTCTGATTTGAATGATGATAATTGTACAAAGAGCTCAGCATGATGTTGCTAAACGTCGGCATACCCCGTGCAAATCCAAGGCGTTGGGACATATAATAGTTAGCAAGTTTGTTGTGGGGGGCTCCCTGCCCTAAGCGCCGAACCCCCAACGGCATTAGGCTCCTGGCAAAAACGGCTGTTAAATGCAAAGCCCAAGCTGCCTTCAACCGCGCCGGCCACCAACATTACCTGTGTCATCCATCCGTCTGAGCCAACCTGGCGCATTTCTTCGCATTGCCTTTGTCTTCTCTGTTAGAGAACAAGGGGAAATGTATACGAATCCAAGCACATCAAGGAGGAGAAAGTTGTCAACGGTAAAACATGTCAGATTATTCAGAGGCGTCCGTGGCATCTATAGCCTCCGCCCTTAATTCCTCCCAGGTTCCTAACGTCCTTTGGGGCCATTGTCTCCTCAACGTCTACGGCATCCCTTCGATCATCGCCGTAGGTGCGCCTTCACCGACAATATTTCAGGGCCTTTAGATTAATGCCACAGAAGTCCATTGATTTTGTCCTTCCGGACAATCTGCTATCGCGGGGTGCAGAGGCTCTCAAAGCAATACCCCGTCTCAAGCCATGCCCAGATCCAGAAACCTGTCTCGCAAGTTCCGAAGAACGGTACACGCCTCCGCCGGCCTTTCACCTTCATATGGACACGTCCGAGATCACCGTTGACCTCTACCTGCAATCAGAAACACTTTGGTTCCTTCCGACGCTCGATGACGCCCTTCTATGCGCAGATGCTTCTAAACTTCCGCCATACTTCGTGCTTGCTTCCGACCAAGACTCTCTCCCGCCTCCACGGCTTGGTCGTGGGTCTGGTGTTTTCCAGTCAAGCAAAGAGGCAGTTGTCGTTCCTAAAGCTCACGTGCTTCTGGAGGCGTTCATACGCCTCTATGCGCGTAACTGGGGGAAGCGTATAGGTGCCTTTTCCATGGCTATGATTGCGTATGTGGAGGAGTACGTCGATGACGATGGGTTCCTGGACACTAGCCAGCTTCCGGAGCCGCTTAAAGCTTTCTATTTCGAGCTGAGGGAGGGAAAGAAGCCGCTCCGCCAATGGGCGAAAGAATTGAGGCAAGCTCTTGGGGTGCTTGGAGAAGGGTCCGACGAAGAAGATAGCTACTAGAGCAAGCAGCTTCTCCGCAGCGGAGTCACGCGGCAACCACATCCACCTTGTTCGATGAGACCGCATGTAAAATTAAAGCCCCATGTTTTGCTGTTCCTGTTCTTATCGTCGTTACGAGGCTTGATCTAGCGATCTGTGGGCAGATGCCCACCATATTAGCGACCGTCCTAGCACCCAGCTTTCGTCATACTCGATGTCTAGGGCAATTGCTAAGCCAAGCGCTTCTCTCATTCCCAAGCCTGTTGTTCCGGTCGGCGATTGAGACTACTTACGTCAGTGATATTACGGTCAAGGCTTGATGATAGTGGCTGGAAGAGATGTAAAGCGTGTTCTATGGGCATAAGTATTCTCCCTCGTCATCGCAACCATACCCAACTCCCCGAGTGAACATCCCCAGGCACGTAAAGGTGCCTATATTCGACCATAAAGCCAGCTTCCAAGGTATATGTTGGAATGACGAGTGACTTCAATTGCAGGAATAGGCACTCAACCTTAGTTAACTTAAGAAGCCAAGAGCTTAATAACATGCCACGTAGCTATCTTTAAGCAACGTACGGGCGGGCTGGCCACGCGCGGAGGAAACAACGAAATGTGGGTGATAAGCTGTATAGTGACTTACTAGCTAGAACAAAGGGAATAAATGGAGGTGGACCTAGCTAGGAACTATTATATAGGTGCTCAACTGGCCAAGGTAGGTCAGGTTGCTCCCCACCGAGGAGTAGCTCCTGGCTAGAGAGCCATAGGAGGCGTACGCCTAATTCGTGACATTTATCTTTGCGATCGGCTCGCGCCTCTCGAATTTCAATCTCAGGGGACCGGGAATGGTCGAAAAGCAATCCAACGTCTTGTCATGCAGCAACGTGCCGTCATCGCCAGGGGCGAAACTAATGTTGAAATAGTCAAACAGTACCACCGCCAACGTACGAATTTCCATAAGGCCCAGGTTCTTTCCGACGCACGAGTATGACCCTAATGAGAGACAATAAGCCGATGTTGTTTTGACTCATCATACGAGGTTGAGCTGCTAACCGATACCCCATGGCATAAACGCATTCCTGTTCTTCACCATCTCCGGTTTCGTAGTCCAACGCTCTGGGATGAACTCTACCGCACGCTCGAAACAGTCCTCGCCTTTAAAGCACTTATGAGCTTTGACCAAAATCACCCAGACTCATGTTAGCGGAACACCTACGACGTGCTAGCGTATATTGAGGCACAAGAACTGTAGTGTTGCCTGGAATGCATGTGTCATTGATCTTGATGCCCTCAGGCGGCGTCATTCGCAACCCTCCCGAGGGTATAGACGGGTGAAGACGAAAGGTCTCAAAAATGCAGGCGTTGAGATGTTGAAGACCACTGAGCTGAGAGGTATCCGAGTAGGAAGTCAAGGTTCCGATCTCGTCGCGGACGAGGGAGGCATGGTAAGGATTAGCGACTAGATGGTAAAAGAGAAACACTATAGCAGAGATCACAGGTTCTCTAACAGAGGATAAGCAACCTCACAAGAGGGTCAGATAATCACAACTGCGTTCTCAACTTACGTGCCACCCGTCACCATGGTTAGAAAGTCACCCATCAACCAATTCCAGTCTTGCTCAATGGTAGAATTCTCCTTCGCGTCGTCGATTAACCACCCAATAGCCTGAGCACATTAGCAATGCACATAGGTAGATTTAATTAGACTAGCCATGGCGGACATCTTGTTTGTGGTGATCGCTCTGCGTGCTCTCGTCGGTCAGCTTGAGGGAACAAATCAGGGCCGTGTGCCTACTGATATAGAGAACCACTCACACGGATTCGTTCGCGGATGGACTCGTCCGCCCAGGACAAGTAGCTATTTACACCACGATAGAAATTCAAGGAATCAACTATATGAATCAGCCAGGGCGTCGCTGTCATATAACCGAGGATGATGGTTCCCGCTTTAAAGACATCCAAGACCCAGTGGCCGTGCCTAGCCTCAAGCATGCCAAAGGATTTGCTGTACTGTACAGCGCCCATGACATCGAAGCCGTAATACTCAAACCACTCCGTTGCGTTTATTGATTGGTTCAGCCGCTCCTCGATGGCATCTCGGACCAGGAGAGCATGCTTCAGGATGGTGGGCTCGTGCTGTTTGAGAGCCTTGATGCTGTAGGCGTGGTCCCAGATGCGACGGCGCCAGTCGTGCTCCCTCGGGACTCGAGCCAGCACAACGGCGTTCACTGGAGCCAGGTTATCATACCAATCCGTCTTCGTACAACGCGAGCTGGGACTATGAATGGGAAGCACAGCATCGGGGTGGAATATAGTGATCTCGTTGGGACCAGTCCGCACGAAGTCGCCATATTTTTTATGGAGGTCGTCGAGGAACATATGTTGCCGAGAGTCCCTGGCTTTCACCAGGTGATACAGTTTGGATGCGGCTGCTAGCTTGGGGCCGGGGAAGGACTTCGTCTTGTGGAGGAAGAGCCGGTACGTGACGACACTAATCGCTAGCGAGGCAAAGTACGAGACTTGGGGGAAGACGATACGGTATGGACTCAAGCGGGTAGCGTCGTTCGAAAATATGGAGTTAATAGCATGAGGAAGGACTAGGGCAGCAATATAGAAGGAGAGGATTCTAGGTGCTTGAAGATGGTGCTCGCCGTGTTGAAAGTAGAGCACATGGGAGGCAATCCCAGTAAATGAGGCCATCGTACACTGACATAGCAAGTCCATCTTGGAGGCTGGAATAGCACAAGGAACAAAGCGAAAAGCCAGTTGCTGTCCCTAATGGGATATGGGAGAGGTTTACATGGACACGGAGACCTCGAAGCTTTTCGTATTTATGAAATATGATTTTTAAAAAACATCTCTCGGGTAGCTTGACACTATTGAATCGATGAGAGGGCAGCGCGATGTTGGGACAGCGACCATACATTGCATAAGAATCGGGCCGCACCCGAGGTGTAATACCTAAACGTATCCATTGCAGGTTGTGATACCATGAATTAGGAAGTCAACACAGCTGCTGTCGTATCAAAGGACGATGGAACTAATATCGGTGTGGGGTGATACGATGTAGGGTAGACACAGTCAGGTTTGCCCCTATTGGCGATTTGAGATGGACAGCATATTGACGGCGAGCCATAACCCCATAGGCATAACCGTTTCGTGAGAGCTCGGTACTCGGTTGCCGCTAAAGTAAGGAAGCTGAGAAATAGTTGGTGCACGGGAATACAGACATGGCAAGGCATGGCAGCCTACTGCTCCCCACAGCCACCTTGGGTTACGTTGGTGCTCTGCAGAGCTAAAACTCGAAAGCCAGGCTGGGTGAGCCATCATAATTATGCTCGTAAGCGGCATATCTCTCAATATCAACAGCCTGCTTGCCGATTTAAGAGTGGTAATGTCAGGGTTAATAGGGGGCAAAAAAATAAAGGCTTGTTAAGTTGAAGCACATGCGGGTGTATATTAAACACCCTTTCTACCAAAATACTAAAGTCGTTAGGCCTCTACCAGCACACCTATTTCATACCACTACAGTCTATCGTGGTGAACGAAACAGTCTAGTCGGCTTTCCGAGTCGACCGTACAGCGCTGCGAAAGGAGATTTCTTTTGCTTCTGTGCCTAGAATATACTGGCTATGTCAGCCCCAAGTCCCCCCCGAGACGGCGATGTAAATCGTGGACCAAGCCTATTAGCCATTTTCTGGGCTGAAGTAGGCATTTCAACCACTTTCGTCGCCCTTAGATTCTACACCAGAGCAAAAACAGGGTATATTGGAGCTGATGACTGGACGATCCTGGTGACTCTGGTAATTACCTACTACCGCACAGTTTCCCCCTCCTCTAAGCATTCCCAGGTTATGAACACAACCACACTATCCCTTTGCACGGTTTTGGTGCACTACGGTCTTGGTCGCCACATCTACTACATTCCGGTGAATCACCTATCCGAGATGAAAAGGTGGAACTGGGTCGTGCAGCCTTTCGGTATCTTGACTCTTCCCGTAGGGAAGATCTCGGTCGTCCTTCTGCTCGAGCGGCTCGTAGGGCATACCTCTACTCGACTTCGGTGGTTCTTATGGGCCAACATGGCCTTATTCACTGCTTCCATGGTTGCGTCGTCCATCCTCAACTTCGCGCAATGCAATCCACCCCGCGCACTTTGGTCTGACGTACCGGGAGCCGTCTGTCTACATCCCACCATCCAGGCCAATTATGCCACATTCACCTGCGCCTACAGCTCATTCCTCGACTTTGTCCTAGCTCTCGTCCCCGTAACCTTCGTATGGAAACTCAGGATGTCTACCCGGAGAAAGATCGGCCTCTGCATCTTGCTTGGTATGGGTGTCCTCTCTGGTGTCTGTGCCGCAATCAAGACGGTTCAGTCAAGCAATCTCAGCGTCCGAGAAGATGTGTCATGGGAGCTCTTCTCGCTTTATGCATGGAGCTCGTAAGTCGTCTGACCACAGTATCTTGTACCCCAAGAGTCTGACCGCTGATCATAAACTTGGTGCGCGCGGGGGGCAGTTCCGAGATTTCCCTCAATATTGTCTGTGCCTGCGTCCCGACTCTTAAGCCTCTCTTTGACTACCTAACAAAGAACAAGCCGCTCCGACGGGGGAGTAGCAGCGGCGATAGCCGCCCGAAGGGCTCGCCGCCGCAACCGCTCCATCTCCATCGTACTAAGCGGAAACCATACGGACATTGCTCGGCGCTCGATACCATAGCCAGTACTCGTTCCGAGACTGCAGAGCTGGTATGACGGGCGTAGCACCAGACCCCCAACGCACGCAACACCACCCATCTAGAGGCGGGGGGTGGGTACTAGGGCCAGGCTGGAGCCGGTAGAGGTAGGGGAAGGGTATGTTGGTGCCTCTTCGTTTTTATTGCTTTTGGGGTCCGAAATGACGGCAGGCTCTGAGAGAGAGCACAGTTGTATCCCACCAATTATGGCAACATTCTCCATCCCAGTCCGAGAGATAACCAGAAATTATTCGTGGCACAGGGCGCAGCCTATCGTTACATATAAGCAGTACTACTCCCTTCATATATATCTTACCAACCACAACTCCGTTTGGGGAAGGTCACTTTTCTTTTCTGCCATATCGTGCAGTCACATTGCATGTAGTCTTTGTATTCTTCCATATCAGCGCTTGAGGACGTTCATCGAGCTCCCTTTCAATCCTGGTAGACCGTGTGTCTTACCTAAGGCGTTCATTACCAATATACCTTCCTGGCTTGGTCCCTTTCGTAGAGCGATTCTCAAAATCGCCTAGGTTGTCAACTTCGGTAGATAACAACCATGGAAGCCATATCTGAGATCGCTGCTCAACTTGAGGCTTTGGCGCAGTCCCCCCCTAAAGACAGTGACGCGCGGCTCAATCTCTACAATGCCGCCAAAAGCCTCATGGTAGCTACCGAAGACCCGTTCAACACCATATGCCGTATAAATGGATCGGTAAGTTGCGCGCTTGACGGGCACTGTAGCCGTCTGTGGGTCTGCATAGGCTAACTTGTCCGAGCCCATGATCCTCACCTTCTGCCAAGTGGCCTGCGATCTGAAAATCTTCGTCCGGCTGGCGGAAGCCAAACATCCTCTCTCGAGTGCGTTCCTAGCCGCTCCATCAGGGGCTGAGCCGGTGTTTCTCAGTAAGTGCCAACCGCCAACGTGAAGAACCGAAGACGAACGAGGCTTGCGTACCTGACTAGACTTGGCTCAAGGTCGTATCCTCCGCTTCTTGGCCTCAAATGACATTATTCAAGAAGCGGGAGAAGACGAGTACGTTGCGAATGGAGTTACTCGCACTCTCGCGCGGCCCGGTTTCCAGGCCGGGATTTCTCATACGTGAGTGCAATTTATCCACACGGATCGCTTAACCCTCGGGCACCCCCCCTCATGAAAGGTTCGCGTAACAGGTTTCTGGCTATCATGCCCTGCCTTCAGGAGACGCCGAAGTTCCTCGCTGGCACCAAGTACGCAAACCCGACCGACGTCTTATACAGCCCCTTTCAGATCGCCCACAAGACCAATAAGCCGTCCTATGTGTGGGCAACGGAGCAGCCCGAGCTCATGGCCAACTTCAATCTGTGGATGACAGAGCAACACCAAGGCCAGAGGACCTGGTTGGATGTCTTCGATTTTGCCCACCACGTGAGCGACTCGGGCCCGGATACCTTGATTTTCGTTGATGTCGGAGGCGGTATCGGCCAGCAGTGCGCCCTCCTTAAGAAGGCACACCCTCAGGTGCCTGGTCGCGTAGTGCTTCAGGATCAGCAGTTTGTGCTTCTCCACGCCATCCCCGTAGAGGGGGTTGAGAAGCAGGCATTCGACCTCTGGGAGGAGCAGCCCCTGAAGGGTGAGTCTGCGTTCCCCTCTTAGACTGTTATACAAAGGTTCGCATGCTGAGACAGTATCTCAGGGGCGCGTATTTATTACTTGCGGAATATCCTAGAAGACTATCCTGACGACAGGGCTATCGAGATCATTCGGAATACGATGCTTGCCATGACACCAGACTCACTCCTCGTTATCGACGAGATGATTATTCCAAACCAGCACGCAAGCCAGCGGTCTACGCTGCAGGATATGACCATGATGGTTAGTCTGGCGTCGGCAGAGAGGACAGAGAGGCAATGGGACGCCCTCCTTGACAGAGCTGGCCTGGTTGTGGTGCAGAAGACTGCGTACAATACGACTACGGGAGAGAGTATAATCGTAACAGAACCGAAAGGGAATTAGAGGGCAGACAGCCTAACCCACATATATGTGTCCCTATTCAAAGCAGTTTTTATATTGCACGGCGATTGCCGTCTTCCTACACCAGGGTGTGTCAAGCAGTTGCTGGACGCTAGAGCCTGAAGATATGCCTGCGCACCAGACATGAGTTCAATTTCCTGTATTATTCTCGCATCCTCTGAACGCTGTGTAGAAGATAGGTTATCTTCGAGAAGAAAAGATAAACTGGAAGCTATTCCCGTTTGCGACCCCCCATCGTCATCCTAGGCTTCGTAGAAAATGAGATACTACGTGGGGCTCTCATCAACGTAGTATCTAATAAGTTAAGGAGAGCTCATGGGGCGTGCCATGGGCTGGTTTAGCCTAAGGAAATGAAATCACCACGTAGATGCCTCTGATCCTCATAACGGGAGTGGCACGCCTGATATTGTCGGATCTCACCCTCATCCATTGTGCTCTTGAGGCTTGTTCCACCGCCACCGCCGCCTCTTGTGTCCATCTCTCCTCCAACATCTTGAGCTTTCTTTCGTTTACCGTCCCCCCCACCCCGGCGCTTCTTCACCCTACCGTCTCCACCTCCTTCCCCGCCTTTCTTCTGTCTGTCATCTGGACCACCTCGGTCTTTCTGCTTATGCTCTTTTCTCCCGCCGTCTCTTCTGACGATCTCGCCGTGTAATAAGGGGATATGCTTAGAATAGGTTCAAATTCAACTAATAATTCTATAGGGGGTCTCTTAGGTCCTTATTCCTTCCTAAGTTTCCTAGTTCCTTTCTCGTCCTAATATATTCCAGAGGTACCTTCGTACCTTGGTACCTAGGTACCTTAATACCGAAGCTATCCGTAGCTTATCTAGGACTTTCTTTAATAGGTCGCCGAAGTAACGGCCTTGCTACCCGATATTATCCTTATAATCCTTATAACCTAATTATTAGTATAGGGTTCCATTCCCGTATAATACTATCTCCCTTCTTCGGAAAAGCTCGTTTTTAAGCGTAGGTTAAGTACCTAGACTCGATGGTTAATAGGTTTATTAGGGTTCTATTAATGGAATAACTTAACGGCTTTTTTTATTCCTTCGGTAGTAAAGTACTTCTATAGTTCCTAAGTCTAGTAGCGCTTAGCCGGCTAACCTTCTTACTTTATTAAGTACCTAATAACTTCTCCGGTCCTAGCGGAATTTAGTACCTTATTTACCTCGTAGTCTTCTGCCTTAATCGGGGCTACCTTTCGTAAGACCTAATTAAGGTTAGGTAACTCCTAATTATTAACGCGGTAAGGTTCGATAAAGGATACGTAGAAGGTACTATAAATACGTTAGTTTCTCGGGAGCGTTAAAGTTACGGTAGTAAGCGAGATAACCTTTTAAATCTTAAAGGAACCGAATATCTTTTTATTTATCTTTTTTATAAGACGCTTAGTTTTAATATTATAAGCGTTTAATATAATAAACTACCTAACTTTTAAAAGGAGTTCTTCTTTACGGTATTTATCTATTTATCCTTTTATCCTTTACCGTACCTTCTTTAAATATTATTTAGCTTCGTTATATACCTTAGTTATTTAATAAGCGTAGAGGTTACTTCCTAGATTCTTAGGGGTACCTAAAAGGAGGTTATATATTATTAGGTATTACTTATAATTAGCGTAAAAGGATAATATACCGGTAGCTATCGAAGTAATATTATTATAAGTAAACTCGGTAGTAGGAAGTAAGCTTTCCTAGTCGCTTATTTCGTAATTTATAAAGGCGCGTAGGTATGCTTTTAAAATTTAATTAAGTCTTTCCGTTTATTTATCCGTTTAAGGGTAGAAGGTAGTACTTATTTTAGGCTTAATTCCGAGGAGCTTTAGAATATCCTTTTAGATATAGGAGGTAAACCGTAAGTCCCGGTCGGAGATAATATCTAAGGGGATTTTATATAGCCGCTAGTAGTTACGGATAAAGATAGGTATTAGATCTTCGGCCTTTTTACCGTCCTTTTTTAGCGGGATAAAGTACGCTATCTTAGTAAAGGGATTTATAATAATCTATATGGAATTATAGCCGTTAAATATTAGTAAGTTTATAATAAAGTTTATTGCGATTATTTACTATGGTCGGTAATATAGTTTTATAAGCTATAATAATCCGAACGGGGTATACCGAGGTACCTTATTCTATTAGTATTCGCGATATCTTCTTACGAACTCCTTAATTATTACTTTTAAGTTAGGCTATTAAAAGTTTCGGGTAATAAGCTTTATAATTTTATCTATGCCTATATATCTTACTATCTTAATATCGTATTTAGATCTAATTACTTCTTATTATAAGTCCTTAGGTACCTATAAACGATTTCGTCGGTAGAGGAGGTCTTTACGAAGCTTTATTTCTTTACCGGGTTATTTAATTAATTAAGCCTAGTATTCCGGGTCCTATATAGCTGCCTTTTTTACTTACTTAACGAACTCTAGGGTCTAGGCGGGTATTAAGATGCTACTTAGTCGTACGCTAGAGAGTATTACCGTTAGTAGGCCTGAACTTTTTAAAAAATACTTCTCTTATAGGACCGTCGTTATCGGCTAGTCCTTAGCTCCTCTTTTTTTAGGGCGATATTATAATAGTCTAGATAAAATATCGGCCTTTTTATTTTACTTCCCCGGGCGGTAATATATTATAAAGTAATACGAAGAAAGTTATTAAGCTTAGCGGGCTTATCGTCGATTTAATACTTTTACCGTAGTAAAGTACGTTAGGTTTTAGTAGTTTAAGTATACTTTTATTTAATGCTAAGTACCTTCGAGATAATATCGCTATTTCTCGAATACGTCGACGATTATTAGTAATTCCTTATTATATATTTTATAATTTATTTCCGTTAGGATAAGTCGTCTTAAGAAAAAGGCTATTAGTTTTAGTCTTTCTTTATCGTCCTTTTACGAGAGGATAGCCGAGATAATAAAGTCCGAGGCGTCGGCTTTAACGATTAAGACTCGATTAGGATCGAAATATATAAGTACCGGGGCCTTCGTAAAGGTTTCTTTTAGCTCCTAAAAGGCCCTTTTTATTTCGATTTCTTATTTCCATAGTTTACGGTCTCCTTTATTAGCGCTAGTAATTAGTCTAACTATACCCGAAAAGTTACGTATAAATTTACGGTAGAAGTTAACGAACCTAATAAAGCTTTATAAGTCCTTAAGTATGGTTAGGGTACGCTAGTTAAGGATAGCTTTTATTTTATCCTTGGATATAATAATATCCTTAAGGCTTATATTATACCTTAAGAACTTAACTTCTTACGTTTGCTAGGCATATTTCTTTAGGGCTATTATTAAATGGTTTTCCGTAAGCCGTTTAAAGACTTCTTTAATTAGTTTATTATATTCTTCTAGCGTATCGGTATAAACTAGGACGTCGTTTAGGTAGGCGATAACCTCTATATCTAAGAGATCGCGAAAGATATGATTTATTATGGCTTAGAAAGTAGCGGGGGCGTTAATTAGTCCTATAGGTATAACGGTATACTTATATAGCCTATAACGCGTACGGAAGGCGGTTTTTTATTCGTCGCCTTCCTTAATTCGTATTATATGGAAGCCCGATTTTAGATTAATTTTAATAAACCATCGCGCTATCTGAAATAAATTCTATAGTTTATTAATTAGCGGGATAGGGTATCGGACGGGTATTATAATTTTATTTAACTCCCGATAGTTAACTACCGGTTTTAATACGCTAAGGTCCTTCTTATTTACGAATATAATAGATACGCCGCATAAGGCTTGGGATTTCCGGATTTTCCTTATAGCTATTATTTTATCGAGCTAAGGCTTTAAGGCTTCTAGCTATCGCTTATTTATAGCGTATAAGGGTTCCTACGGGGGAGTAGTTCTTAAACGAAGCTCGATAATATGGTCCTATGGTTACCGGTCGGGAAACCGTTATCCCGCTTCCTTGGTTATAATAGGAACGAAGTCGCGAAATTATTTAAGTACCTATAGCAAGGCCTTACCTTCTTACGTAATTCTTATACGGGCTAGTTACTAGCGATAATTTTAGTACTTAGGTAAGTTAAAGTATAGTCGTCCTTCCTTAAATAGCCCTTAGGGCGGGTATTCTTTTATTTATTATTACGGTAGGATAATATTAACCTCTTTATTTAATTTACTAACTTCTTAAGCGACGTAGTAAACGTATTCATAGCTACGGAGCTTTATTTCGTTCGTATATTAAAGTCCTTCTAACGGAATCTTAGAGCCGTCGAATCTTATTAAGGTTCGTAGCTTCGAGCGTTAGTTAGTAAGGAGGCGTAGCTACTTAACCTTAGCGGCGTTAATTAAGGGTACCTCGCTCCCGGTATCTAAAAGGACTCGCAAAGGATATTCCTTTCTTTAATATTTTATCTATATCGTATAAATAGGTCGTTTATCCGATCTCGGTTCGCTTAGGTTACGCTAGGGGACTCGTAGTTTTTTCGTCGTTAGTATTACTTCCGTTATTTCCGGCGTTCGGAGCCGCTTTATGGCTATAATCTTTACGTTATTTTTACCGCTCCTTTCTTCCGTTAACGTTTACGGGGGAGCATTTAAAAATCCCGTTCCTCGTTAAAGTCGGATAGTTCTATAATACGAGGGAGGGTTTCCTCCTATCGTATGGTAGTATCGATTCTAACTCTTTTATTAGGTTATGGTTCTAGTTCTTCCCTTCCTCTTTTTCCCGATAAGACCTTCTTAGGTAGCGCGGGTAAATCCCGTTCTTTTAAGTCCTTTTTAACGAAATAGGCTAAGGTTTAATAATTATTCCTTCTATAACGCTAGTAGGCTTTCTTATCCTTCTTTCGCTAGTTAATTACGGCCTAGTTAATTCCGGCTAAAGCTTTTTTATTACCTATCCATCGTAAATCCTTAGCCGGTACGGGTTTCTTATTATCCTTACTTTTACGTTTATTTACCGGTTAACCTAAGCGGGAGCGAGTTTCTTTTACGGGTTACCTTTATTACTAGTCTGCTTTCGTATACTCCTTTTACGAAGCGGACCTTCCTTTTCCCGAAATCCCTAGATTAGCTATTATGTTTTTATAGATTTAGCCGGCTTCTTTAATTACTTTAAGAAAGGCTTTATCGCTTTCGGGGATATTATTTAATCGTAAGTAAACTAGCTTAGTTATTTCATCGGGTAAGGTACGGGTAATATAATTCTAGAAGGTAATTCCCGACTATTAAACGACGTCGTTAAGATCCATAAGCTCGGTAAGGTATTAAGAGATATCTCCTTAGTACTTAAGTTCCTATATTTTCTTAGAGTTACGATATCGTTCGGCGGGGTCTTTAAATCGTTCTTAGAGGGCTTAGGAATACCCGGCCTAAGTATCGACGATTATTAGCCTTTCTACTTAGGCTAGTCGTTATTAATACTAAAGCTAGGCCTTCTCGGTAAATATCGATCCTACCTAGTTAATTTTTTAAACGTCCCGGGTAAAACTTTCCTCGTAGGTTTCGAGGTAGGACTTAACCTTAATTTATTATAATCGGAACTTAGCTAAGTCTTTACCGTCGTAAGCCGTAGGCTTAATAAGATATACCGGATTAATCGTTACTGTAATATTTCGTCGATTATTTATAGCTTTAGTTTAGGCCTAAATTATACGTTCTTCGGCTAGGTCGAGGGGCTTTTAAGGCTTTTTAGGGGTACCCGGGAAACGTCGTAGCTTCTACGGGTCCTCTGATTTTAAATCGTCCGAATCGTCT